GTTCGGGGGGCGGTGGATTCAAAGCCTGGTTTTACGCGGCGTTCTTGGGGGGAGGTCATTGAGGTGAGGAAGTCGGGTGTTGTTTGACGATCGGGACCTGAAATGTCAGCGTGAGATACAAAAGATGGTGGAGGACGTACACTCGAAGCCGAGATTCTCAAAGTATTGCTTCGCTTCGTCGATGCGACCAAAGAAGATCTGATGACCCTCATACAACACCGTAACACGATCAAACAACTACCCCCATTAGCATCCCATCTCATAAACTTCATCAGAGCACTTACATCATACGCAGACTGCGGCGCCTGATAAATCGCCACCGCAGCAGCAACACCCACAAGATCAGCCTGCAACCTCAAATTCCTGCAAAAGTTAATCGCGTTCCCACTGTCCAGCCCGCGCGTGGTGTTATCCCAGCACTGCAGTTTCGCCCCTGTGAGCGCAGCCTCAGCGATACTAACGCGCTTGCGCTCACCGCCGCTTACACCGCGCACAAAGTCGCTGCCCACGCGAGTATCGACTGTGTGGCTTATACCGAAGATTGCCATCATGACGTCGCGCATCATGGTGTCTGCTTGGGAGCGGGTCACGCCGCCGGGGACGTGGCGGGCGCTTACGGCTGATGAGGCGAAGGAGAGGGTTTCGCCGACGGTTAGGTGGGCGAGATGGCAGTCGATTTCGGCGTTGTAGAGGACGTCGCCGCGGAATGAACGGCGGATGCTCTTCTCGTCGATGCCTAAACTTGTTAAGAAAGCTTGGGAGATATGGGAGTAACGTACCTCGGAAGTTCATGTAGGAGTCTGGTCCAACTTCGAGACCAGCTGTCTCGCCGGCAATAGTCTTCAAAAGCGTTGAACATCCTGAACCCGGTGGTCCAAGAACAAGTAACAACTCCCCCTCATCAACAAGACCCTCAAAATCTCTGAGGATATCAACCCGTCTCTTCTTCCCGCCGCTCACCAAACCAGCAAGGTACTTAACCACATCAATAGGATAATCAACAATAGTCTTTTGATGTTCCGCCCCAGATCCCCAGCCGTAAACATTCAAGTTCTTAAACGCCACGCCCAGACTTCTCGACGGCGCAGCTCCAGCGTCAGACTCGAGTAATCTCACAAACGCTTTCACCCAAGCTCTTGGATCAAAGGTTGGTGAGTTGGGGTCTAGCTTTGTGCCGGGCTGGGGTGAGAAGGCGTGCAGTTCGTTCCCGGCTGTTGTAGACACGCGGGAGAGTTGACGGGCGAGATTGCTGATGTGTTGGGTTATGTCATGCTGAGGTTCTTCAGTTGGTGTATCTGTCGAGTCGGAGTGACGGTCGTTGTATTTGCTGTGAGAGGACAATGTCCTCGATAGTGGTGTAGACATTTTGGATGAGTAAGATGGACTCAAGTGAGATAAGGAGGTAAGAATGACTCAATCGAGACAAGGAGATCTATTTAAGCTAAAGGCATGGATGCGGTTCAGTTATGCTTATGTATGTGCATCAATCAATATCCAAGACCGGCAGATGAATAACGTAGAATTGAACCGATTGATTCACTCGGTCTTTTCCAGAACATAAACGGAGTCGGGAAGGGTCAAATCTTTTTACGAATATTACTCTTCTTTTCCCCGGGTCCCCGCGGACAATCACCCCATGAAATGCCCCGACGGACTCGGGGGTCGTCATTGGTGAGGAAGTGGATTCGTTACCCACTGCGCAAGGAACCCGCGGGTGGCCGACATCTCGCTTATGAGGAGGAGGCCTGATTCGGGATAGTTTCACGGAACGCGAGTTTTGCGCTTTGCGGCTCTGAATCTGACACAATGGGGTTGAATGACGGGTAATGGATGGCTGAGTGCGGCAATTGAGGTGAATGTGATGATTCGGTCTTTGAGTTTCATCTTGTCACGAGGCTATGATGCTGCATCACGATGTAACACGCGTCTCGCTCTTCGCTGTCGCGTCACTCGGACAGCGAAGAACGAGTGCGAGCTGAACAAGTTCAATCAAACCATCAAATCGCTAAATCGTTATGTTTGTCAGTAATTCCCACTTGGTTCAACTGCCAAGAGTAAGATGTCAGCCACGTTGCGCATCATTGGGTAAATGAGTTTAGGCGTGATGGGGTCCATCGTACGTTATTTCTTAGTCTGACCGTGTGCGCAATGCAGAGAATAATCGGGCTAATTATCTGCCATGATCGGAGAGATAGATCTGCCGTCTCGAGTCCCGCTCGAGATCGGTCTTTGAGTTTATTTGTGGTCAGTGCGGGAGACGCGCTACCCTACACGTTGATGAGATTGATGAATTTGACCCCACGGAACAGGAATTGGCGCTCTGTTGGAATGGCAAAAGAATGGCATTGAGAATACTAATATTGTTATTAGATGAACCCGCGAAGCTTTGGTTTTTCATGACGCGTCGATAAAGTGAAGCTGCCAAGTCTCGACTTGGCCGAAGTGAGCAAAACTCACAATTTGAGTCAGTGTGAAATTCAGCAGCACTGACTTTAGGCTCACAATCACTAACGAGGATATGACCTATTATAATAGTAAGTATTTTTACTGAGATACTTAATTTTACACTGAGCGTATTAGCAAGCACTGTTTTAGCGGCTTTTAAACTTGTTGCTGGTGATGAGTTTTAGTCTAGACTCCGGTATGTGAAGCCTATGATTGGTGGCAATGCATACATCACTTAGCTCGACCGTTATTCCGCTTATTGACCTATGAGCTAGCCAATCAGCTTATGACTCAATGGACCGAGGTGAAATCAGGCACTTTAATATAGAGAAAGATATATAATATTATAAGATAAAGTTAATGTCTCTATGTCTTTTATTTATTTTTTATACTATTTATATACTGTCTGGTAATGCCTGTAGCTAAAACAGAGAGTCAGACATTGACCGCGGTTTAATAATAATCCGCGAATTTATAATTCATTCCGACATTATGGGTATTTATCCGCAATTTGTAATTATTTCCGAAATGCATCCGTGGTATCTCCTCATAACAGGGAATGTAACCCTTGATCTACAGTGTCCAGTGTAACTCTGTATCGTAATACAGCACATGTCAATGCAGCTAGTTCTGCAATGTCACGTAATTTGACTGTTGCATCACGATACAACGCATCTTATCGAGATAAGCACAAGATCTAGTATCCACTCTCAAGTAGCCGAACCGAGGTAGACCCACTCGCTCCCGAGCTTAATCCCAATATTTGAAGTCAAGAGCATCTCCTATCACCAACACAACTCCATTCATCACTCTCTTTACAACCCATACCAAGTAACAAAATGGCTCCAACATTAGCTGAACAAGTCGCGGTAGACCAAGTCTCCCCCGGAGAATACGTCTCCCGCCTCAACCCTATCAGAATGGGCAACGCCATGCCCATAGCCTACGGCGGCTGCACTGCCAGCATCGCCGTCAACGCAGCGTGCCAAACAGCACCCGCCTCAATGTCCCTCTACTCTGTCCTCGGGCACTTCCACGGCCCCGCATCAACGGATAAGAAATTGCACTGCAGCGTGACAAACATTCGCGATACGCGATCTTTCGCGACGCGAAGGGTTCAGGTCAAGCAGCAGCAGCCTAATGGGAAATTCCGCGTTTGTATGGAAGTCCTCGCTGATTTTCATGTTATTGAACCTTCGAGCTGGGATTACTCTGAACCGACGTGCTCTAAGTGGCCGAGGGCGGAGGATTGTCCGAATTTAGAGGAACTAGTGAAGGGATTGTTGGAGAAGGGGAGTATTACGGAGAAGCAAGGACAAGAATTCACAAAATCCTTCGCTGCGAATGCTGATTTCTTCGACACGCGGTACTGCACCGCCGGCGTGTCCGCCCAAAACCTCTCCGGCGCATCACGCAACACCAAAACAACACAAGACCACCTCCCCATCACTGAAAAAGTATCCGCCGAGTGGCAGCGAGCTCTACACGACCTCCCCAGCCCAACAGCCAACATGAGCGCGCTAGCATTCCTCATGGACGGCGGTCTTTCATTTCTGCCGTTGAGTCATAATCACATGTGGTTCGATGACACCGCTGCGTGTTCGACGCTGGACTTTGCGTTGAGGATCTTTGTACCGGATGTTAAGCTGGGGGAGTGGCATGTTAGGGAGAGGAAGACTAGTAGGGGAGGGGGGAATAGGACGTATTCGGAGGGGAAGCTGTGGGATGCCTATGGGAATTTGGTGGCGAGTAATACGCAGCAGTCTATTATGAGGTTGAGAGAGGGTGTTGCTGTGCCTAAGCTTTAGATTGGGGTGACTATGTACAGGAAGATATTAATAGAGTAATATGTATTTTTTATTTTCGAGTCCTCCGAGTATGTATCACTCTTCATCAGTCATCGTCGGTAATGAATGGCTGCCGCCAGTTACGTCTCACAGCAGCGTTTCGAATATCGATCTCACGGTCCCGCGCTCCCTCTGTCGCCGCCTGCGCAGGAGTCATCCATTCTGACCCGGCAACCCCTGCGACGTCTGCACTCGCCGGTGCGGTATACCCAGGAGCTAGATAGCCATACAGTTCCATCCGAGCAGAGTTCTCAGAGACAGCGTGATCGTTCATGCGTGCGAAAGGAGCTGGCAGAGGATATCCGGGAGTCATCACTGCTTCTGGGGCTCGGGGACCGGTGTCGACGATCGGAGCGGTATGGTGCTCTTGCGGCGGGGGCACGCATGGTGATTGTTGATGATCATAGATCTGCCCATCCGGTCTGAGATGGGCACTAGAAGAAGGGACACTGGAGTTCTCGACTGTAGGAGTGTTTGGGACAGAAGGATGAAGGACGCCATTGGCATCAAGGGCTGGGATGGAGTTGGGAACAGTTGGTGCATGATCAAGGCCGTGCCACGGGTTACCCGTCTCTGAGCTGATAGTTGCTTGCACCGCAGCAGCATCGGATCGTTGTGTAGGAGTTTCTTGGTTCATAGGCTCAGCCTTGACCCGCGTCCCCTCCTCCGTCCACTCATCGTATTGAGGCATCATACCCGAGCCCTCTTCAGTATCACTATCATCATCTGGAATCTCAATCGCCAAACGCATGCATGATCCCAACGGGGGCTGCTCGACTTCCGTACTCTGCTGCTCATTCGAGACATCACCCGTCGCCGCGCCGTCATCTTGGTGTTCTGTTGGACATGATCAGCCGTAGGTCAGGCACTTTGTCGTCTAGAGCTTAACTTGCCTGCTTCTTCCTCACCATTCCTCAAACGATCCCTATCCTTCATCCGCAGGATAAACTCATTGACCTGTTCTTTATGATCAATCCCCTCGTCGTTAGGATCATAAGCACGGAACTCGTTCATGGCAACCCACCCGATAGCGCACTCCCACGGAAAAACATCTGCATCAAAGTACATGATTGGGTACTTGCGTTTATAGTGGTACTTTCCCCCAGGCCCGTAGTTCTCAGCCCACTCAACCGTACCGGTAGCAGGGTCGTAATCATAGCAAACAGGAATATGCTTCTTCAGCAAGGCCGTGTTGTCCATGAGATTCATGTCCCAGCCGAATTGCCGGAAACTACCCCACGGTAACACAAGGATAGCAAAGAATCGTTTCGTCTTCTTCCAGAAGGTAGTGTACACCTCACCGGGCTGCGGGTCAATACCAGTGAGGAACTGTGTGCTTCGCGTCTGAGGTCCTCCGTTGGAATGCGACGACCCAGCCGAGACACTGCTGAGAGGTCTACCATATTGCGCGTAGGTAGGTCTCTGCGCGGCGAGGTTGTTCCGCTTGGCTTTGTCTTCATCGCAGTTAAGAACTCTTGTGCCGAGAATACGAACTGCCTCATCGTAATTGGCGTTCATATGGCCGTGTGTACCAGCGGTCAAGTGCCTGCGAGCTCCATGGATAGGATTGTTACTCATGAAGTGCAGCTTGTGCTTCTTACACTCGAGGATATACCAGAAACCCTTGTGTTCTGTAATTATGTACTTCGTCGCGGCATTACCATCTTGGTAGACGTCGTCGAAGTCGATCGCTCGGTCGCCAGTGAGAGGTCCTCGTGGTTGAGGGGCATTCGATCGGGGTCGTTTTGGAGGGCGGGGGAGGCTCCCTTGAGAGATATTCGCAGGTCTCTTTTGTTGGGCTGTCGAAGGCTGTTGGGTTTCGTCTAGAGATCGGCTGGGGGTATGTATCTCTTGATCTCTCGGTGTTTCGGCGATGGGAGCGGACTCGTTCTGCGGCCTGGGAATTGGCGGGCGGAACGCCTGTAAAACAGGGCTTGCATTCGGCGTAAAGTATGACGAGCTTGGGGCCACTTCGGTCGGTGATCCAGCAGAAGCATCCAAGCGAGCAGAAGTGTTCACAGGCAGCTGAGTCCGCTGTCGCCACTTGCTGCACACTCTATCTCCCAGCTCAGGTCCAAGTGTATCGAGCAAGTCCAAGATAAGAGCCTCCTGCTGCTCCCAGTACAACTCCTGGTATTCTCTCTCTTCATCATCCTTATTCGCTTCGCGCTCCGCCTGTAGTTCCTTAAGCTGGTTAATGCAGGATTGAAGAGCATCCAGCCTCTCTGCATCAGATTGCACGCATGCCGAGGCCGCCGCCACTTCAAAGTGTGCTTGGGCTTCCCTATGCCTCTCTTGATACTTCTCTTCAGGCGACTTTGTCGGATGCAGCAGAGGTGTCCATTGCTGAATGATTTTATGTATCGGGGCGACTCGCGATGAATGTATGCCCGGGGGAATACCTCTGGCGGGGGCCGGTCTAGCTTGCTCCGCCATTAGGGCGCACTAGCTAGCAGTATCGAACGTCGCGTGCTATAATTGGCTTTAAAAGAGCAGCGATACGCTATGCATCAGCAACATCGCCAGAAAGAATTGATGAGAAAAAGAGCGATTCAACAGACAGACGCAGCACATAAGGAAATAAATAAAAAGAAGAGAAAAGGAGGCCACTCCCGCACGCCTTTGCTTTTTTTCTTCACAATGGGCAGCCTGATTCTATGCACGTCCAATCAAAATATTGGTAGGCGGGGAAAGTTCCCGGTGCCTCGACGACCAACAAGCCAACCAATTTTCAGCACGGTGAGGATCCCTGCGGTTTCGTAACGGTGGCTTGCATGGGGAATGGCCTAGGCTTGTTGTCTCTTGTCGAAACGGTTGCCTTGTTGTGTGTACTTACCGTTGCGGACCGTTGAGCGGTGAGACTGTGTGAGGCTGATTGCATAGGCGAGCTAATAGTCAACGCGACCTGAAAAGTGAGTATGGTCTGATTGAGGATGACACTCTCACTACGACAAATGTTACTGTAAGAAAACGAAGTATTTAAGTAGATGATCGCTTGTTTCGGTCAGTTAACGGGGCTAGTTAATCGAGCTGCGGACTGAACAGCTTGAGCTGGCCTGATAGAGTCATGCAAAGAAGCGTTTTGCACTATGTAAAAATACTTACGACGCTGCGTTTGTACACGGGTAGCAGCATAACATGAGGGCTAGAACACGGAAAGACACGACACAAAACCTGTTTCTTTCCAGATTGCTGCACAAAAGAAACAAGCAATTTATCTCAAGCTTGGCGACATGTTTTCTCCAGCTGATGGGTGTAGAAGACCGCCAGTACAAATCGGGAAAACGGCGGGTATATACTGTAACCTCTCTTGGTGGATCTTAAGTGAGGTCATATCTATAGGACACTACCTACAAGAGGGAATTTTAAACAAGGCCCTGGACATGAAGACTCTGCAAGGTATGAATTTACTCTTTCTCTTAATACAAAATGAATATCTCTACAGACATTGTGTACTGAAGTAATTAGACTGCAAGACTTGTTCCCTGCGCCGCATTCGCTGCGACCATACTACCCCGCATTGTCTGAAGTGCACGGGACGAGGACTGTCCTGTCCTGGATACAAACGCCAGATCCGATGGGTCAACTCGATTGCGAGCCGTGGCAAGTTCAAGGGACTCCCAGCACCCACTCTTGAACCAGCCACTCTTCCGTCTCCAGAAGCTGTCCCTAGCACAGTCCAATCTCGCCATGACAAACTCGATGAGCCATCCCAAGAAGCGGTAGATCAGTTGATAGAATATTTTACTCTGGAGCTCGCCCCGAAGAACGTATGGGTGCACTCACCAGAGAATGGGTACACGCGCCTCGTCGTTCGTCTGGCGCATACACAGCCTGCCCTGCGGTATGCTATCATCGGGCTATCAGCTGCTCACCAAAGCTATGCGTCGGCCAGCACAACAAGCGGTTTCTCGCAAAAGGCCCATCTCAAGGCCATCACATTGATCACTGACCAAATCCGAACCTTGACTAGCATGGGAAACCAAACACTACCCACAGGGCACCGAGAAGCCACAGATGCAGTGCTTGCGGCTACCCTCGTGGTGTGCAATCACTCTCTCCTGGACTGCAGCACGGCTGATGCAGTTTTCCACTTGAGAGCTACGAGAACTCTGATAAAGTCTCACTTGACCAAAGGAACTACTGATAATGAACTCTTCACCTTTATCGCGAACCAAGTCGCAAGTCTTGACATAATGGCATGTACTACCCTTTTTGATCCCGATCTTGTCCGAGATGTCGTTATGCCCAGGTTAGATAGTGGCTCAGTTCCGTTTGGCCATTTTCTACTAGGCATACATAGGATCACCGCTGTCTCGACATCGTCAAATAGCGAAGGAACTCCTGGTAGTGACCCTGAGTTTCTCGAGGAGCTCGAAGACGAACTTGAACTCGCCAGAGCAGCTACATATATGGCAGTTGGACGGACATTGAAGCCTTCCAGAGACGCTCATCTCTCGGACACAACTCTTCTTATCGAGGCCTTTCACCAAGCGGGGCTGATATATGCTTGCAGACGACTTGGGGTTGGAAGCATTGGGGGCTTTGAAGAAGTTCACCGGTCTAAATTATTCAGGCTACTCGAAAAGGCTATCACTAGAGGAAGCTATCTACCAGGTCTATCATGGCCTATCTTGATGGCTGGGATTTCTTGTCATGGATACCATGATAGGATTCAACTTGTCCGTCAACTGTGTCACGATCTGGTCAGGAGCTCTCCTTTCCAGTACTACTCTAATATTCTGCGCTTTCTCGAGGAGTTTTGGGAAAGTTCAGATGATGATTGGATTCTTGTGGCTCGAGCGTGGGAGAATAGAGGTGAGCCTCTATTAGCAATGTGAATTTTTGATACCACTTCTTAATGAAGGGGCTCTATGTTACATGTGATCGCGTGGGATTATATACTTGTGCTGCTTCTCAAAGATCTTCTCCTCGTTCTCCCAAGCTTCCATGTGAGTGGATATGTGCCAGTCTGTTTTGGTAGCAGTCATCTCAGCTCGGCCCTCGATTGCCAAATTGAGATCACCGCGGCCAAACTCTTGACGAAAGGCCTGCTCAGCGCGTGCCGAGAGGGGATCGTCCGGCCGAACGCGGCAGCTGACTTTGGTCGTTCCACCAAACCGCCAACCGTTGTCCTGATTCTCAAATAATCCCTCGTCGTTGTCATAGATAATGGTGACCTCGTCAGTCTCCAAGTCTCGGGTGATGCTGGATTTGGCTCCTGTAGGACGCAGTACAGCCGCCTTAAGCGGCGGACCATTCACCGCTGGCTCAAAGGGTCTCAATTGATTGTCCAGCGGGTTTTCTTTCCGCACTGGAATCTCTAGTTGACTGGAAGAGCAATCGATTGTCAAGGCTGGGGCCTCGGGGGACGGCCAAACAACAGGGAAGTATGCGGATGATAGAGCAAGGCGAAGTCGGCTGCCTGCACTGATTCGCTGGCCACATTCGTTCAGCTGGATCCTGACGGTATAGAAACGGCCTGGCTGGAGGTCTTGCAGATCAACGTGACTGTCTCGGTGGGTGAGGTTCAATAGACCGTACGACAACTTTGTAACGCTGCCATCAGCCAAGACTTCTGATAGCACTGCTGCAATAAAGGCCCATCTTTTATCACTAGCAACACGCAGATCAAGGGTCGCAGGACCGAGGATATCCAAGGCTTGGGTGAGAGTTGGGCTGTCAAACACCAAAGATCCAATCTCTTCTTCCCTTTGGTCTCCCGGCATATCTCATTCTGTACCATAAGAGATCCATCTTCCTGCAGCAAATCCGGTGGTCTGAGGGGATTTAAGCGTCAGATACTCCACATTCTGAGGAGGTGTAACAAGAAGCTGCCCTGCTGCGAGCCCCATATACATCGGGTCCAGGCCATCAGAGGGCCAGTTGATTTCGGCAACCCATCGCCCAGGACGGTGGCTGTACAGTCTCTTCGGGCCAACAGTGTCGTTCACGTAACACCTGAGCATAGGTTCTTCCATGATGTTGGTTTCCACACCCTTGAGCCATTTGTCCCACCATCGGAGAGACTCTTGTAAAAAGCCAATCTGGGGACCGGGCTTTGCAAAGTTTGGATATTTGTGAGCCCACGGTCCGACTAGCCCTTTCCTTAGGCATGTAAGATTCTCAAGCATCCGGAAGATAGAATTTGAGTATGGGTCATGCCAGCCACCCACAAGGTAGACAGGGCACTTGACGGCAGTATAGTCTTCGCAGATAGAAGCGTGTCTCCAGAATTCATCGCGTCTTTGATGTCGATGCCACTCCGCAATGTATGGCGTTCCAAGCTCAAGGCGATCCATCCACATCTTCCGCCAGCTGTTTCCAACAAGGGCAGGATCTGGTGGTGTAGGAGCGATAGAAAACATAGTCGCGCCCCAGAGAAAGTTCTCCACCAGCTGGCAGCCCCCCTGGTAGTGGACATCATTATCATAACGGTCGTCGGTCGAGCAGATCGATATAATAGCTTTGAGTTCAGGGGGATTAAGAGCCGCGATCTGAAGTCCATTGAAACCTCCCCAAGAAATACCGATTATACCAACAGAGCCAGTGCACCAGGTTCTTGATGCAATCCAACGCAAGACTTCAAGGCCGTCATCCTGCTCTTGTTTGAAATATTCACCCAAAAGCAGGCCTTCAGAGTCTCCTGAACCGCGCATGTCGACCCGAATGCATGCATATCCGTGTGATGCAATGTAAGGATGATTGAGGGCATCTCGATGGCTGGTTCCATCACGTTTTCGGTAGGGAATGTACTCAAGAATTGCAGGTACTGGATTATCCTCAGCGTTTTCCGGGAGCCAAATCAAGGCTGAGAGGATAGTTCCGTCACTGAGTGTGATTTGTTCGTTCTCACGAATCTGGAGAGGGAAGGGCGCAGGAGACATAGTGACGCTGGAGGAAGCTGAAACCAATGACCTGTGTATTGAAGGGTTCGCAGATAAGGAACAATATGAGAAAGAAATGCAAGGGAGGGGAACAAGAACGACAAGATATTGCATTACTCATTGTCTCGGAATAACCAGCCTCTCGTTTACGCGAGGCCGTTCATTATCGAGATGTAGTGGCCCCTCCAGTGTTAGTGTTCTTTAGGTACTAAGAATCTCGACAATCTGCGGGGTAGAAGGTGCGTTTCTCGATATAAGATCTTGGATGGGTTAGTATAGAATACTATAAAGTGGTTCTCTTTTTAATGACCGAATTAGGCCAATGCCTGGGGAGATGAATCTATGAGTTTGAAACCATAGATGACAAACTAAAGATGAAACATTTGTTCTCGATTGAATATCTCAAGTGGGTTAGCATTGGCCATTATGGAATAGTTCTCTATTAGACACCCTAATTGGGCTAGTCCGCAATGCGGTACATCCTAGCTCTCTCTATTTAATACCTCTAGTGAGCTAGAACGACGATATCATTCTGTCTTTTAATTCGCTCTTCCTAATCAGCGTCACTATCTCAACAGATGCCGACCTCGCTAAATACAGTAGCGTCCGATAATGAGGCAAACTTGGGATGTTGGCCGATAATCATTACAAATATTAAAAGGATGCTGGCTGCCCCATTATCCAGCAGCGAACCAATACTAGGCAATATTGTAGGTTCCTTTATAAATCGATACTTGCAATGGAACTTGTCAGCAACAGTCAGAGCGTCTCGCAACATCCCCAGAAGGGAGATGGCGGCCCCAAGACTCTTGAGGTTACGGATGCCCAGAGCGTCGAGGCCGGCCATCTGACCGATACGAAATTCAGCAGACTCTCGGTATGGGTCACGCTCAGTTTCATGTCAATTGCCGTTGCCTCGGACTCCTAGTAAGCTGATAGTTTCATTGCTCGCTTTTAGTTGGCTGGCACTGATGATGGCTTTTTCCTTCCAGCAACGCTTCCGTGATTGGAAGCGTGTCGCTCTTGTTTGATGCCATATACCCAGATGCCATGACTTCATCAATGTACTCTCGGCTCTCGAACTCCTTCCTAATCGGCATGATACTCGGCATGATCCTCTTTGGCTTCATCGCGGACCATTATGGCCGCAAGACTGGAGCTATTGCCACCACCATCATCCTCACAGTTGGAATGATCCTCAGCACTGCTGCTAGCGGAACGTCACATACGGGGTTGCTGTGGATGCTGGTCGTTGGGCGAGGTGTTACTGGAGTGGGCGCTGGAGGAGAGTACCCTGTCACCGGTGAGTTTCCATGACTGTTGAGGAGACAAGAAAAGTTGCCCTGACACCAATATGTGTAGGCGCTGGTGCCATGGAAGCCACAGACGAGGCCAGCGGATTCCGCAAGCGACGAGGTTTCATTTTTGCAATCATGAGTGAAGTCGCTGCTTCCCTCGGTTATTGCTTTGGCGGTCTGGTTCCAATGATTCTACTGCTCTGCGTCCACGAGAAGCAGGAAAAGTACGAACTAGTCTGGAGGCTATCCTTTGCTGCCGGCATGCTTCCACCTCTGAGCATCTTCTACTTTCGCCTCAAGATGGCCGTTTCCACTGCCTATCGCAAATCAGCTCTTCAGAGGCAGAAACAGCCTTACCTACTGATAGTGAAAAAGTACTGGCGAAGACTTTTGGCAGGTGGTTGGACGTGGTTTATCTACAATTGGATTTCCATTCCATTTGGAGTTTTCAGTTCAACTATTGTGTCTAGAGTCGATCCGGGTAATTCTCTGGTTGTCTCTTTAGGTTGGGGAGTTCTGATCAACTCATTCTATCTCCCTGGTCCATTCCTCGGTGGATGGCTAGCAGATAAAATCGGCAGAAAGCAGACCATGACGCTAGGCTTCGTTCTTCAGGCTATTCTTGGTTTCATCCTGGGAGGGGCATATCAGTCGATAATAAAGATCTTCCCTCTATTTATCGTCATGTACGGCATCTTCTTGACGCTGGGAGAAGTCGGCCCTGGAAGGTAAGCATCTTCCTCTCTCGAGAAAGTCGATTATTGACAACAATCTAGCACCATTGCTCTTGTTTCTGCCGAGCCATTCCCAACCTCGATTCGTGGTCAAGCCAACGGGATTATTTCGGCATGGGCCAAAGTTGGAGCAACACTAGGTACTCAAGTAAGTATTGGCTATCTGTGCCCAAACCTAGAAAATAGGGCTGACTTGAAAAAGGTATTTACAGCGGTTCTTAATCGCTACACTGATGATGTTGATAAAGGCAACCGGGTTGTCTTTCTTATTGGCTCTGGTTTCGCGGTTGTCGGCGCAGCCGCAGCATGGTTTATGCTGGAAGAGACAAGTCGCAATCTGGATGACGAGGATGAGATATGGAAGACCTATCTTAGAGATAATAATTGGAGTGGAGATTGGGGCGACAATGAGACTGTGGACCCTGCTAGAGTGTTGAAATAGAAGAAGCCACCTTATACAATTATTCTCCATTTTATTACATAGGATACTTTACTTGAGCTTCAGCTACTAAAGTTGTTGTGATGTAATACATACGTTGTGTATTCTTCAGCGTATCTTAGTGTCATATACATGCACAGGGCGCAAGCCCAGTCGACTGGGTTTAAGGTACTCGCCAAGAGACGTATAACATCAATATTCCCATGGTTGTATTGAATAAAAGTGTGTTTGGTAGTATAAGATATCTAGTATCATTGCTTAAAGTAGAAGAATGAAGTAGAAGTTCATGTTCATACACTCCGCCCATCATCAGACTTATTCTGAAAAGCCAACTCTCTCAAACTCTCTGAATCCTCTGTCCTCGAGTTCATCATAGTCCGAAGTTTACTCCTCCTCCCACGCTCCTCACCAGCCGGTTCATTGATCCTCGTCCGCGATCGCCAAAGTCCTCTCTCCTCCAGTAATGCTTTACACGCCGCCCAAGACGTAACAGCATAAATAACCGCGTTCCAAAATCCCTGCAGCGGAAGAACCGTCGCGCTCATAAACTGCAAAGGCTTACTGACCTCCGACGGATGAATGTGCGAATACATCCTATTAGCACTAGACGGAATCCACGTGATTAGAATCACCGCAAAGAAGAGCATCGCGACTTTTGTATAAGCCCATGCTGCACGGTATACATCGTTGCTAGGCCTCACCGCCGGGCGCTGGATAGGTTGGGGTATTGTGCTGGTTACACAAGCAATCGGCTGAGGTGGCTGCTCACCAATAGCATGCACGCTAACTTGATGACCCATGTTCTGTAATTGTATCGCGTCGGGTTGCGTCGCGGCTTCGGAGGTGATGGTCACTTCAGTGGTCTTCATGTTGTTGACAGTGCTTTGGTGGGCGTAAGATAATCCGCCTGAACCCGAGCCTTGGGCTTTGAGGAGTTGTTGACGCTTTCGGTAGATGGTGCCGCCGGAGCGGATGTAAATTGCGAGGGTGATGGCGATTATGACCCTGTATTGTTAGTGCACTGTGATGAGCTGTGAGGTAGGTAGACGTACCAGATTGGGCCGTAGAATGTTGCGATGCGGAGAGTATCCCATGATGAAGTGATCCAGCACCATTGGACAGCGCTACCATAAACTCTGACGCCATCGCCATTCTTGATGAAGATAAAAACGAACGCCGGCAAGAATGGGATACCGTAACAGAGCAATAAATACGGCAACTCCATCTTCCTCAATCGCTGCGCATCAAAGCGATAATAGAACGCAAGGTAAACATTAATCGCCATCGCAAGAGTCCACAGCGCATCAGCCCCAACAAATCTGCACGAATTAGCCAAGCATCACATCAATCATTGGGGTACTATACGTGTGGAGTAGAAACGCTTGTATCTGACATCCCGCCCCATCAGGTGCTTCAATAAACGAATCCGCCATGATGAAGCAAATACTCGCCATGATATTCCCAAACGACGCATAAAACACAAGCCGATTGATCGGTTTGTGGAAGGCGTCGCAGAGACAAAAGGTTGTGATGATGAAGAGACATCCTATTAGTGATAGAACGGAGCATACTTGCTGGATGATGGTGATGAGCTTGACATCGCTGGCTGACAGGCCGAGTTCCATATTGTCAGCGAAAGAATCCCTAAAAGGACAGTCGTGCTTTATCTCGGGGAACAAGCCATTGTTAATGCTTTAAATGTGAGGATAAGCACCTCCTTTCATGTGAATTTGCCGAAGGATTGATCTGCAACAGGGAACCCCATATTTGATCGCCAAGGGGAAACCCGGGACGTTGCAAATCATGGACCTAAAGTAGCATAAGGCTTAAATAGTCCCTGTTGGTAACGGTTCCAATTGGCGCAAGTCAAATTTGTAGTGGGGAGCCGGTAGATGGCTTCTTGATTTTAAGGCTGTTGTTTGAGGGATCGACGTTGGTGTTGCTGGATGGAGGAGGTGAACGAGAGCGATGGAGAGTGAAGTGAAGATCGGAGGGAGCTGAGAACAGACCTACGAAGCTTGTCTTTATGTGACAAGCAAATGCTTGATCATGAGCGATCATGGGCGCCTCAAATCCCTGTAGGGCCATCGCCAGCATAACGGGCATGTTTCGCATCATGCAGTTATCTCGAAACAGTAGCGACTTACCATGCAGTTTAATACAGAAATATGTCCCAGATATCAATACGAACAAGAGCCACTTCTCCCCTGTGATCGAGTTGTTTTGACTGACTCGCGCCTGAGACGCGGTCAGCCTGATTTTCGTTTTACCATGCAAGTGCAAAACAAGAGCCTTTGCCCGATTCGGCAGGTCAGCAAGTGATATTCCCGCCATTTGCGCAATGCTGATGGATTTAAACATGCAATTCGCACAGACTCATCGGCATTAGCTGATATTGTGCAATTTCCAGCGCTGACATGTTACAGGGAGCGGCCGAGGCGCGGCGAGGATGCTCCGGCAGTGAAGAAGGGGTTTTGCAGGCTTTGATGGAGATATAGCGATACATATTCCATTACCGGTGAAGAATGGTGACGTGTAAGAAGAGACGAGAACGAGCAGTGACCATTTGGCGCGGGAGCAAGCGATATCCCTGTAAGAAGCCACTGAGGCTTACGGCAAGAGCATGTGTTGTAGCGCGCAGTGTCACCTGAGGAGTAAGCGTAAGATGCGGGGAGTCTACACTAACACGGCTGAAATGTCATGCGACACGTCGACATTCGATTATCACATGCAGTTGTCTCGGCAATTGTCAAGGGACAGAGGGATTGACATAAGGAGTTCATAGGCATTGATGCCGTTGCGCTAGACTATACCAATCAGGAAGGTCAGGTCTTCAAAGTCGGCAGTCCTGAAGGCTGTAGAATGACAGTAGCAGTTAAAGAGGCGCTAATACAACGAGCTGCAGGTAGTTGCTCTGTATTACAGTCTTAATATTATGATTACGTTATATTTTATTTTATAATCTTGCTATTCGCATTGCATCTATGTACTATATATAAGACCTCGCATATCATATACTAGGCTACGTTCTTTAGTCTAAGTGCGTTCCATTACAGAGAGCTTGTCGAGCTTGTCCAATATCGATGCTGGCTCACTTAGTTGATAGATAGCGCGGAGCTAGTAACAAGTCAGCCACGGAATTAAGCGCCATCGAGAAGAAGTCGAATTTGGTGTTTCAACTGTAATGCCTGCTCACTGAGCCTTCTTTCGTCTGACTGACTTGCAGGCTTCTTCAGCTATTATTTGCTTGCCCTTATGCCTGTGCAACCCAGTAAGCCTCGTTCGTTTGCCTCGCTTAGTCACGAGTTCTTATTTCAAGAACTGCCACGTCAGCGCAAACGGGGAATACCTACTTCTGACAACGACAAACATCTTATCAATGGCAGCCTCTGCTATTTCCCCTGACCAACTTGCCAGACTTTGCAAGCGCTGCACGTGCCTACAACTGACAAGCACAGCGCCAGATGTCATCCTAACCAGAAACCCACCAGCAGGGGAATTGGGCGGGGAACAGGAAGTTGATCTGGTTTGGAATGTGACCAACCTGGGGGCTTTCCTCCTCTCTCAACTGGCAGACAAGTGCGATTTATGCAAGTTTGTTCAAAGAGTTGTGCTCTGGTCTCATCTCCACAATCGACCGGTGGCAGGTGCAGTTCCCATGTCGCTGCACTATGTGTTTCGTCAGGATGAGGCCGTTGGGTATGGCTTAAGGGCTCTACGTATCAGAAGCAGACTTGGTATGCACTAAAGAAAAGCAGACGCAGGCGTAATGACTGACAGAAGACATGCCAGCGGGCGGCGAGGAATTCTCTATCGATTGCCCTATCGCGGCAGCGACTGATCTTGATATGGGCACGTCTCTGGGACTCCAACCGCCTATATCTCACGTCGATGAAGAGACACTATTATGGATAAAGCGGAAGCTGGAGTCGTGTGTATCGCACAACCACTTTAACCCAAACAAAACCTTTATTCCCGATCGACTCATTGATGTAAGAGGAAATCAGCTGAGCCTAGTCCTTACCAAGGACTTTCAGGCCCGAGACGCTGAAAGCCATCGTTACATTGCCCTTACTTACTGCTGGGGCCCAGAGCCTCACGCAAGCAAACAGCTCAAGACAACCACCTTCAATATATCCCAGCATCAGCAGCAAATCCCAGAAACCTTTTTACCTCAAGTCATCAAGGACGCCATCACTATAACCAGGGCGTTGTCGGTCCCATTTCTTTGGGTCGATGCCTTATGCATTCTCCAAGATGATGTATCTGACTGGGAACATCAATGTCGCATGATGGAACAAATCTATGGAAATGCCTACACGGCAGTTGCAGCTGTTTCCTCTCAAAACTGCGAGGAAGGATTTGTCGTCAAGACAAATAGAATCCTCTTTCCTTTCAGAGATGAGTCTGGTCACAACCGTGTCTTTGGCATATACCCTCCTCCCTACCAAGCCGACACGCAACACGAAGTGCGCCACAGCCCTTGGTTTAAGAGAGGCTGGACGTTCCAGGAACGCATCGCATCAACTCGCATCCTCATGTTTTCAGAACGCAACCTTCATTTCAAATGCAAATACTTTGACGAATCGATGGGAAGGGAGAGAACTACATCTGAAATCAATTATGGCATACTCGACCGTGTGACAATCGATTCGGGCAGTACAGTGGCCATCTATCAAGAATGGAACAAAATTATCGCTCAAATCGACCCCGAGTACCATCAGTTTACCCGGGAAACAGATTTCCTTCCTTCAATTGCTGGTATCGCTTTGCTATTCAGTAAAAGATTGAACGATGACTACGCAGCTGGTATGTGGAAGAATAATATGCATCAATCGCTCTGCTGGAATTTGAGCACAGGATACAAGCCTTGGTTTGGAAACCTACTGAAGCGACTGAAAACTCCTTCTCCATACATTGCACCTTCTTGGAGCTGGGCTAGTCGACGCGAAACGTTCTGGTTCCATCTATACCGTTCGGAACTCTTAGCCAATTGTCGACCAGAGTTCGATAGCCTAGAAATAGCTGTCACCTTGCGGGGCGAGTCAGTCTTTGGCGAAGTAAGAGATGCGGCGCTTGATATTACCACAAAAGTATACGCGGGGTCGCGGAGGATAACATATCACGAAGTTTCTCCACATTCGTCTTCGAAAAGCGCTGTTCAAATTGATGGGCGATACTTTGCAGAGATTGAGCCTGATTGCACTGATCTAGCAAGGTCCGAGTCAACTGTGATGCTCATTGGCCTTTTACTGATAAGTAGTACCATTCGACGCTATGAAGATGCAGAGGTCTCTTCATTGAGATATTCTGACAAGTCTGAGACTCTTGGCGACGAGGAAGATGCTGGGTCCGACTTTGAGTCGTTGAGCGCTTCCACTGTGAGTGCTGAAAGTCGCGGCGATTCGGAGAGGATAGCTTGTGGCCTGTTGATCCATCCAACGGGAAATCCAAACGAGTATTATCGAGTGGGAACATTTTTTTCGGAGCCTAAATCTACTGGGGGTCTATCGTTCTTTGATAACGTCGAAGTCAGAACGGTAAGGCTGGTATAAGGCTTGCTTGCGGAACGCGTGTCAAGTATCTATTCAAGGTACGTGTTATGGCTTGAATGGCTCGTGAAGCTGGCTAACCAGGCCAAGACTATGTTGCGCGCATCTGCCATACGTCATCGCTTTTATATTTCAGAATTAGATGTATATACAGCTTCCCATGTATTTTCTTCACGGCGTTGTAGTGATTAATAGTACCGATATGAAAGACCTTTATCTCCCTGTTCCCTTCACACATCTTAATACACCTGCAACCGGAAAGGCCAATACCGGCGATGGAGTTGACCCTGTTCTATGGAGCAGCTGCTATGAGGTTTAGTGCAGCTGATTCACTTTGGAAAAATAGAAATCAGCGACAAAGACGGGAATCAGCTTCTGAAGGCTATCCATATGATCGTGCGTGACTCTTGCTTGGCCTCACTCTATGTGATGACCCGCTCTCATTGCGCCGTATCTAGACAATAAAGAACCAAGGCCGCTGGAAAGGACGACTCTTCATCCAAGCTGAAGGGGCTATAGATACGGATGCCATCGGGCTCTCAGCGAGGGCCGAGATCTCCCAGTGGATTGTAGCGCCACTAGCAAGGCTTTCTAGTGACTGTATGCCTAGCTAGGAATAAGCGCCAGGTATCAAAGTGGATAAAGCACAATGTGCCTGCCGTTGTTGGTCGGATGAAGTCCAATCCTTTCTTTTTCCACTTGCATCCGTTTGAAAACCATCAGTGCGACTGTATAAGGAAGATGTCATTGGCCTGATTTCCAAGGACGAGAAGTGGGGTTGGCCGTGAGTTGGTCGGCCTCCCGCAGGTCAGCCCAACCTCAACCGTCATTCAAAACGAGGGCCTCGCCTCCTCAGATCCAGCGTCTAAATTCGTTTTCTTCTTCGCAAATCCCAGCATAAACATTACCAAGACGCAATAATCCCTACCCAACCTCGATGTTTCTCCATAAGTCAGTATTCCTTTAACCCTCTAATGAACCAGACATTAATGAATGAAGGCAAGAAGATGGTTCACGATATCCCAGGCGCCGAGTCTGACTTTCCCCAGCGATGCCCTCCAAAAACAACTCCTAGCAAAAAGCCATCGGAGCATGTGTTTGACGCGAACGGCGATACCCGGATCATTCTTAGCACATACATGGCCCAGACCTTTGAATGGGAGATAGATAAAGTGCGGATAAAGCAAGAAATGCCTACAAAGGTATACTACAAGGAAAAGAAGCAGGAAAAGAAGGAAGGGAAGAGAGCAGAGTCTCTCATTACAACCTCAACATCGTTAGGAGGCACTACGAACAGAACTCCCATAGACTGGGGTACGACCGATTTCTCAACCTTGAGTAACGTACGGTACTCTCGTGTAGAATTTTCCGATGACGACGATACGGATCTGGGTTGTACTGTCCCTGGAACGAACCGAGACAGCACAAGTATAATACAAGATTGGAACTATGGAGAAAAATGCGCACGGTCCCTGAAGAAGATAGATTTTCGATTACTGGTCTCAGGAAAGCACTTAGAGCTGGCTTCGTCTGTCTTCAAAAAAATGCTTACCGGTCCTTTCGCAGAGGGAAAGGCCGATGTATCAGGTTTTCGTCTGATAAAGACGAGCGATTGGGATCCTGAAGCTTTCAAGATTACCCTGACTATCATTCATGGGTACAATCGAGATGTCCCAAGGTCACTGAGCCTTGAAATGCTTGTCAAGGTTGCCATGATCATTAACTATTACGATTGCCTTGAGAGCGTTGAGCCATACACAGATATTTGGCTCGAAGCCTTGAGATCGGAGTTGCCGACGGTTTATGGGCGAGAGTGCATTCTGTGCCTCTTCATATCATGGGCTTTCGCAAAACCAGTTGGGTTTCAAAATATGACTGAACTGGCATTGAGGCATAGTCAGAAGTTAATAGAAGTTGAGGACTTCCCAATTCCAGCCAAGATCCTTGGTAAGTTACAGTACCAACTCAGTATGACAGCTTGTGCTGACGCAAGCCGCAGAAGCGATCGACATAGCACGTCAAAGCGCTCTCGCTGAAATCTTCTCAGCAATCTACGAGCTCCTTGATCGTCTGCAAGAAGAACAAGAGTGTTCCTTTGAGTGCTCATCTATGCTCCTGGGTATCCTAACGAGGGAACTCAGCAAACATGAGATTCTGCACCCTCGGAACGCCCCGCCGTTCAATGGTTTTAGTATTGAAGGTTCTAAAGAGATGATAAAAGGGCTGAAAAAACCTAAGTGGTACAACAGTAGGGATCACAGGCATTCTTGTTATATCCAGGACAAATTATCTATATCTCTGGCAAAAGTAGAAAGCGATCTGCGTGCGTTCGACCTACAGGACTTTCAGGATAAGAAGATTTATACCTGTAGCTGAGAGCTTAAATCAAGAGAGAGAACTTAATGTAGGAATACTAGGCCAAGGAAGAATTTCAGACAACGCAGGGCATTAATGTTATTAAGCCAGGCGATGTAAATTGGGGAGGTCTGATAATGGTTTAGGTAGAGTTGTCACCTGCATCTCAGTAAGGGCTCAAGAATTGATATCAATGAGGCTTGCAGTGAGTCTCCGTTACATCGTGCCGTCGACTGCATCAGCTTTAAAGAGAGCAGGAAGAGATAATTGGAGAATAGCTAATAAACACTACGCAAATGAGGATCGAAATACCGACCTATGCGACGGGGACATGGCCTCAGCTATAACCCGGGAGCTGATTCGAGTAATACTACTACCAGACAAAGTCGCGTATACCTTGATTATGTTACAACTTCTATCTCAGTGGTTGGATTCTCCACGGTTCTCAACAAGACGACCCAATCAGGCGTGAGAGAGGCTTAACATTACTCTCAGTGAGATCCTATCTAACAGAAAAGTAAGAGTACGCACTTACACCGAGATCAAGTCACCGATGTACCGTCGGCAAGGTGAAGCATACACTCATCCACCCCCAACTCACTCCAAGCTCTCAATTTGCGCATATGAGCCGCTAAACTTGGTTCATCCTTACCAGTCGAACGGCTTTCAAGTATCGCCAAGTGTTCCGCAACGTTAACCTGCATGCTCCCCGAGACAGCGAAGTTCTCTAGATCCCACTCCGTTTCACTCTTCCTGTGCATCAACCCATTGTATCTTTCGTACTTGCCCCCCATCCCTTGTAGAAAGCTCTTCATGCGCTGCTCATTCGTCCGATAAGTACTAATAGCTTCCTTATACTCATCCGGCTTTTCTAGTCTTTGGAGATGACGGCATTGCTGTAGAAACTCATGGACCTTTAGTAGCCGTCGGGCTGTTATGTCGAGAGGTGTTTCGCCATAGGAGTTAAGAAGATTCCACTCCACGTCTTCGTCCTCGAGTTCCTTCAGTGCATCCAGGTTACCGCACTCAACTGCTACATGTACAGCAGTGCCAAATTCTGAGTTCACTGCATTGAGATATTCCGACTCCGGGTACTTCTCAATGATGGCAGAGATGAGTTGGCGTGGGGCGCGGGGCTTGAAGTTTGTTGGACATTCGTCGAGCATGACAGACATGTGAAGAATAGATAACCCTTCATTGTCAGTTGACCCGGACGGTATACACGCACGAAAGAACTCTTCGTCGCTGGGAGGAGTAAGATCGAGAAGAAATAGAATCTGCTTATCGAAGTTGCTGTACTTGCGGCTCTTTCGGATAAGACGTGCCAGAAGGGTAGTTTCATCGCTGTCTTCATCTACACGACGGCATGAGACGTCACATTGCTCGCTCTCATACAGTTCGCGCGCGCGTGCCTCGTAGCCGCCCATGACGGCCTTCTCAAAGGCAGAAATGTCGCTATCTTGTGCTTCGCTGGGTAAAGGCGTGCCTTGGGGCGGCATCATGCTTGGCTCCCCCACAGGTTCCATAATGCTGCGCCCCCCAGGCCCTGGCCGTATCGTAAACGACATTTTGAAGCCTCCTTGCGAAGCCTTCTGCTGCAAGATATCCTCACCGACATCCGGGCCAATCGTTTCTTGGAGCGGTGGATCCCTGATTAGATCAAGTTTAATCTTTGACCTAGCGTTTGATTCGAGGCGCTCCTTGATATCGTACAAATGACTGATGAAGTCTGCAAGTTTGTGCCCCTGAATCGATGCTTGAAGCTGAAAGGCTGACTCAGAGTCCCGTGTTTCTCTCTCAGCAAGTGGAAGAAGGTACTCAACTGCCGTTAGATCCTCGACATCGAGGGCAGTCTGAAGTGTTCTGATGAGATTCTTTGTGAGAGGCTGGATGTCCAAAGATCTCAGATGGTTCAGCACAAACGGTTGGCCGTACAAGGTCGCTGCCGTGAAGATAGAGTGCTTGACCTGCGTGGTGACATCCCAATTCACCACGTGGCCCTGAGCTCCACGCTTCAGAAGGAAGGTGATTGTCTCCTCGCATCTCTTGATGTGATCTTTCCCATGAAGTAATACCCGATCGTACAGGCCCTGGTACCAGTAGTCGACAGCGCACCAGAGCGGAGTGACCTTGAGGGAGTGCGTTTCATAACACATCCAATCCAATAACTGCTCATATTCCTTTCCCTCGGGTAACAGAACCTCTAGGACGTCCGACATGTGTAGTCTTGCTGCATAGTGGACTGGCGAGTATGTCCTCCCACGTTTCTGGGCTGGCATAGTTCCTGTGTACGGCTCATACTTCTCTGCTCCGTTAAAAGGATCCGCGCCCAGAGAAACAAGCACCGAAACTGCTGTTATGCTCGACTGCGCTACTGCACATAAAAGGGGCGTCGCATCAGTAAGGGTGTCTTTCAAATCGAGTTGGCCAACGGTGCATAGAGTAGCAAGGCTGCAGCGGGCCTCTAGATCGGCACCTTTATCTGTGAGGAGCCGCGCTAAAGGAAGGATATCCCCATCTCCAAAATGAGCAAGGAAATGGAGTGGTGTTAGTCCGGAGGTTTCGTCTCTTAGTGGTGCATCGTGCTCAATGAGAACTTTGGCGATTCTGTAGTCACCCTTCTGGCAAGCTTGCATCAGAAGAGAAGTGCACAAGTCGGGGTTGAGACCTGGTAGCTCAAGAACGTTTTGCAAGCTGACATTCCAGCTCTGATTGACCAAATATCTGCAGATGAGCGGGAGCTGGCCTCTCAATTTGTCGCTGTCTTCGAGCTGGTTGCTTTCCGACAAAGCCCGATCCGAAGTCGCAGAGATATCTGCTTCCTCTCTGATACGCGCACTCAGCGCTACCAGCTGGTCTCGAAATACCTCACCACGTCTTTCTGAGCTCAATCGCTTCAGAGAACGCCGATCTCCATGCAGAGCCAAATCGTATAGCCAACCCTCTTCAACCTTTGGATCTATAGGATTCGGCATCCCTATCCAAGCCAGTGCCTGTCCTAGCGAAGCGCGAGCGTCTTCATGTCCCAGCTTGGCAGCAGTCAGAAGATATTGTCCGGCTTCGCGAAGTGATGGCGCTGAAGTGGCAGCAGACCGGTGAATACCAATGAGCCACGTTGCCATTGCATACGCCGCGAGGGACCGTGAGGTTTCGCAGTATGAGTCTGAATCGGCGATTTCTCGTATCTGAGTGATTATTGCGGTGGTGACTCGGCCGGGAAGTCGTCTGAGTCTGCTAAAGTATGCGTTGATCTAGATATACGTACCGTATTAGTCCTGGCTGGGTTGCTGTAATCCTTGATGGAAGTGCTTACCGAAATTGTCCTTTCTGCTAGAGGGACCAGGGTTATATGTCCCTCTTCCTCCACCCCCAGCTTTATCTCTTTTGTGTATAGTTGTGATGGTTCTGGATAAGACTGATGAAGTCCTGGTATGACTGGTTCGGGATCGAGCTCCTGTTGCCTGTCTGTAGCCACAGTGGAATTGCATGCTACGTCCTCAGCTTGGGCCAAAGGTATGTCTACACCTAGGTCGAGTTAGATATCTTTGTTCCTGAGCAAGAGAGGGCGGAGTGCTTACAGTGGCTGAAATAAACCTCCTCTTCAAGCAGATCAAAAGTCTCAAACATTTGCGGATCCTCTTTAATGGCTGTTACAATCTCCTGGTGGAGCATAGTCCTCAGTAACTCGACTGGTAGTGCAGCTCCAGCTTGAAGCTCATCTTCATTGGAGAGCATTGAATCGAAGAACTCGGAGATGAGACCCGAAACTCTGTCCGTGAAGACATGTGGACCAGACGACTCATTAGTGTCCTTCTGCATTCTGATAAAGGTTGCGAGGGCGCCGTCGTCTGCTTTGAGCTTGTGTAGCGACTCAACACCATCACCTGACCCATCTGCTTGATCAAACACCGTGCTCATGAAAGGGCCAACCAATAAAAGCGATGCCACGAGCGTCAAAGAATAGATATCAGCTTGAAGTAAGCCTTGAGCGCCGATGGCCTGCAAAACTGTGGGACTTTGCCATAAGGCAGTTCCTGATTTGAGCTGGATTGGTTCATGTATGTTGGTAACCAGAAGGGAGCAGCCAAAGTCGGTGAGTTTTGCACATGGCCTGCCCTTTTCGTCGATGAAAACCAGGATATTTTCTGGTTTCAAGTCTGCGTGGATGACGCCGACGGTCTGAAGAGCTAGCAAGCCTTGAAAGCAATGGATTGCCAGACGTAGCCTATCTCTTGCATCAAGCGCCGCTGAAGCAAGATATTTGCATAAATCACCTCCTTGGGCCGTCTCCAACACAAGAACAGGCATTATAGCGCGGTCGTTATCTACCCCCCAGCAGATACCAACCATGTTCGTGATGTTCTCATGCCTCCGGAGATGCTCGTTTCTGAGAATCGCGATTTCAGTGCATATAGACTCTGAGAGGTCCCGGCCATCCTTGGAGTTCCAATCCACCGTTCTCTTTGGGACTCGGAGGACAACGTCGTTGAGATGGAGCATGGCCAGTCTATGGATGGTGGTCATTTTGAACCGAGAATCGACATATTTTATGAGTGTGTTTGGTCGGCTTCGCATGACTTGGAACGAACCACCAGACGCAAAGGAAGGCTCTCTCTCAAAAGCCTTTTCGTCGATGCAGATGTTGGCTAGGACTTCTTCTCTTGCAGATGGACATGTGCCTACAGCATCGATGGCGGCAGTGAACAGAGGCAATAGCCCCGGAATGGGCCACTGTGATGCTTTCGCATAGTCTGTCATTATGCAGCTCTCGGCGGCGGTATGGATTAGGTAGAATACTGGGGGCGTGTTTCCTGTGCCAGATAGGCCATATATAGTGATACGCTGAGCTGAATGTCCGGCGCTCTTGCTGGCCGGTCTGTTCAAATGACGCTGCTTTTTGAATGGAAGGCAGAGACTGGAGGCGCGGTCTAGACTTTGCATCGCACAAGACGTGGAAACTTTCGATCCATCACATTCTTGCAAGTCTGTGCCTCGTCAAGATTTAATTCGCATTTGGCTAGCATTACCGCTACCAAGTGAGGCTGAAAGCATTACTGCCACCACTAAGACATGTTGATGTACTGATAGCACACAGTGGCGGCCTTTTAGGGCTCGTTGTTCTCTTTTAGCGCGGTGTGGGTGATGGTGGCGGCGGCAGAGACCCGTGAACTAACGGAGGTTCCGCTAGCAAACGGAGGTCTGCTCACCAGCTGAACGATATCATGAGGACCCTCCGAAATAAAAGATAAGTAAATGCTATGGATGTACGCTCTCAGCATGCACTAACTCCTCGTAATCGAAGTCATTTTTATCTCCGCAAAGGTACTCAAGCCAACTTACCCATCGCATATCGAACATGTCTGGCCTCGAGGCTATCGCAATCTTGGGATTCGCCCTCCAGGTCGTCGACACTACCGTCAGGGTCATTGATCTGTGGAAGGCGACAAATGAAGTCGGACAAGAAGTCATCATAATAAAAGCCAGACTCGACATGATTCGCGCCCGTCTCAAGACCTGGGCACTCGGATGGGGGCGATTGAAGGAGGAGGACCTTAAGAAGACTCCACGATTCAATGAATTCGGAATTCTGGCTCTGAGATATGTCTTGATAATCCAGTATCGGCTCACGGCACTAGAGGATTTCGACAAAAAGTATCCCTCGTTGTTTCGAAATGATCGTGTTTTAGAGGGTCAACCTCGCTCGGCTGACCGCGGCCTTCAACTCGCTCTTATTGCTCAAACGGATAAGCCAAATGCTAAAGATCTGGAGTCGCTTCAGAAGGAAGTAGCATCTATAAACCATGCCAACATAATTCAGCGGTGGAGGTGGGCGCGGAAGGGAGGAGAGGGTCTGAAGATGACGGATCAAATTGCCGTACTAGTTGGCGAGCTCGAAGATTTCTTCGTACCCCCGACTAGCGACCAGATCGGGGCAGTTGACGTTGATCCGAAACTTCCACTGATTGAAGAGGATAAAGCTTTTAAAGTAGTGCAGGGCCTCGCCACCTTCAAGGAAGCCGCAGAAGAGATGACAAACCGAACGGACACCATGCACCAGCGAGAGTTACTACGAAGCCATCGAGGTATCAAAAACGAAAAGAAACTAGGCAGAACAACTGAACACTCCACGAAGCGCAGTCTTGCCAATTTCAAGTCTCGCAACATCAACATCACACCTGTGATGATCGAGTGGATCACCGTACCAAGCAGTTTATCTGCTGAAATGAAGGAGGCTTCCCAGAACCAGATACACGACCTCGCTTTACTGCTACACTCAGAAAAGAAGCCCCAAGAGTTCAGGACTCTGGAATGCATAGCCATGGTCGATATGCCAGTCGCAGAAGAAGAGGACGCGCGATATGGTTTGGTCTTCAAACTTGAGGAGGGGCAGCAGGTTTTCACCCTTCTAGAGTTGCTGAGCAGGGAAGGTTCTACGCCTAAATCTCTCACGGAGCGGCTGAAGCTTGTTAAGCTGCTTTCCAAAACACTACTGTTTCTTCATTTAGGATCGTGGCTGCACAAAGGTATACGGAGCGACAATGTCCTCTTTCTGAGTAGCGACGTATCGAGTGTCGATCTTGGCGCGGCATACATCGGTGGTTTCGACTACAGTAGGCTCTTCCGCGAAACTAGACTAACTCAAAATGTTGGAGACAATCGATATCAGAACCTGTACCGTCACCCAGACCACCAAGGCCTTCCAGTCCAGGAGAATGGCGAGTCAGCTGACAGACCGCCTTTCTCATGCAAGGCCGACCTGTACAGTCTTGGTGTTGTACTCGTGGAGATTGGTTTATGGTCGCCGATTATCAAGCTTTTAGACGCTCGGGGGACTCAAGACGAAGACAAAAGTGTGCGGGAGGCAATACTTGATATGATTCCTGAAGTCAGAATGAGGATGGGTGATGCCTTTGCCGATGCAGCGTCAGCGTGCTTGAGGAGTGAGTTTCAAACGGGCGAGCCTGGACAGCCAGAGAGTATTCGGGAGGCTTTTTATCAATCTGTAGTGAGACTGTTGGAGCGTTGCTACCTATGATGACTTGTTTGATATGGATGGTGTTTGAGCCATTGAAACGAGATATTGTTCGAATAAGAAGTGAAGGCCTGAGGATCAAATAGATTATGAATTATAAATGGCTTGTCTCTATGCCATGCCGACAGAGCCCCAAAGCGATAATATAGACCTGTACTTTATGATCAGACTTATTTGCGAATGGAGTCTTATTTAGCTACCAGAGCCAAATCTAGGGTCACAGACTTACACTATCACCATTGAAAGACTTGTCTGAGACTCCGAGAAGCGTTTACATGCATCCAAAAGCAGCGAGATTCTATATCAAAGTTATTTCGCTAACGTCGTCCAAGCGTTGATCATCCAGGAAAGAATCATCTTCGCTCTTGAACTCAAGAACCCCATACCGGCAGTAAACCCCCTCTCCTTCACCAGGCACTTCGTGCACTAATAAGCCCACAACACACAACGGGTCAATGGCTAATCGACCTACAGGCACCCACAATACGCTAGGACCTTCTCCCCACTCCGCATCGTATTCCACAGCACGAGACATATGGCGCATAACTCGACGATTTGAGTCCAAAAAATCGAAACATTCGAACCTCACCGTATCACCTGAGTCACTAGCCTTGATGAATCCGACACGATTCTTCCCAATCTCTATTTGGATAATGGGCGCTCTGATGTAGAGCCTAGAGGTAGTGCCCTCCACCGTGCTTATAGCCCCAGGATGCGTGGGGAAGCGTAGAGGCCGGTCGGGGTGGTCATCCCGTATGTATATCGGTGTCCGAATGATCCTCATGAATTCAACGGGACAACTCGATGCCCAGCACCAAGACGGTAGCTGCGCGGCCTCAGGTCTCTTGCATGCCTCATGCCAGATGGACTGATGATACCATAAAAGGCCCTCCGCAAGACTCCATCGGAAGAGACCGTTGAAATATTCGGCATTCAAACGTCGAATAAGCATAGAAGCAAGGCCATGAATGGCGTATAAACGGTCCTTCTCATACGTCAGATTTTTCTTTGAGAAATCGGTGACAAGTTGATACCATCCCCTTGACAGAAGCATCTCTTCATCAGGCATCACCATGATATCTCTAGGTGAAAGGACTACCTCACTCAGTGGACCCTTATATTCCCATGGAGTCCTTCTGCCTTCGAGAAAAAGAGAAGTCTGGCATTCTAGAAATACTCCTTGGAGGGTCTAGTGAAGTGTCCGCTTCGCTAGTGCTGTCTCTTGTAAACACTATCCGCGTTCTGTCAGCGGCGACGTAAGGAGGGTTTTCTTTCTACCTATTGTGTTGTGATCCCATTTGAATATGGAGTATTCTGGTACTTTGTGTCTGTTTGCACCTAACGTGCTGTAATCTGATAATATGGAAGGCTTTTTGTGTATCTTGAAGGCGATGTCCTTAATAGGAAATCTTGTGACTGGGCGTTTAATCAAGAAGCCCTGTTGGATATCTGTTGCTGCTGATGCAGAGATATAATACTCGGCATTGGAGTAATAATCGCCTATTCTAGTCGACTTAGTGTGAAAATCACCGCTTGGTCCTTGAATGATATACATTGCATCTACCTATAGGTAGCGATATCCCATCGTTCTTGTCAGAAGGATGGCGTCTCGGATGGTCTTTGGAAGTTCTGAGATAGAAATGCTATGAAGCTGTGTGTTGAGATTATTCTCTGTCGTTTTGGAACTTTTGTTATCGGTTCCCTAATAATAGCTGAGGATAAGGTAGGCTAAGTCTTGCGTGTGATCGCAGCTCTTGATATCGACGAGTTTGACTATGGAATCATTGCCCTTGCTGACATTAACTAGCCTAGTTGGTAGACCTGATGCGTTCTGTTTGGCTGTATAGCTTTTATGATTTGTGTGCTTTGCGCGATAGCTCTCTATCTAAGGCTGGATCTGGTGATTAACGAGGTTAGCCAATTCATGTTGGGTATTTCCCTCGGTGAAGTCTAGAATGGGCCGATATTAATATTGAATAACTTTAGTAGAATTTTGGTGCTACCTTTGATGTGATGTGTCTTGAACTTTCCTATAACCTCCAGCTTACTACACTCGATAAGTTTAAGCCTAGCTCCTGTAACGTTAGCGAGTTCTCTACCATTTTGCACTACCCTCGGGCTGAGTGTGAAGGTCCTTTTGAACTTGGTGATTTGTAACTTAATTGACCTATTTGCAAATTCTTGGGACTCCGAAAGCTCTTTGGTCACTGCATAGTCGTTTATTATCAGCGACCAAATAAAGCGACATAGTACACAACCTTCATCAGCTGATTCTTGGAGGGAAGAAAACATGTCATGAAAGGCTAGAACTTCAACAAGGATTCTCTCGGTTCCCAATCCCGATGGCCATGTAAAAGATCCGCAGCTGCTGCAAAGTTGGAGAGAGGGGTGGACGATATCAACGACGGTAGCATCGACCAATTGAGGCAAACTGTTGCTATCTGCCATTACAGTGATGAGGGGCGTCCGATGGTGAATGCCGCTTGACCGAAGAATATAGTCTTCGCCTCAAAAGTAAAAGGTTGATATTTAGACATCAGCTTTCGGATTTTAGGCAATTCCAGCTGTGAATCCACGGAGAAGGACGATTCAATGGCATGCAACTTGATGAATTACATGATAATGAAGTGAATAAATCAATCATTAAATGCTGGATCAAGTTCTGAGTTTTCCGACATGGCAGTGCAAAGCTAACCCCGCAATTGATCATGACCTTTCAGGCTCCCTCTCCATACCAACCAATGGGAACATGAATTTTCCGGCTCACGGCCACCAGGCAGACGCTCCAGCCCCGACTCAGCCTTCCTCTATGCCACTACAGTTGAGGCTGCTTGGATAGGTAGGTACGTAGGCAGAACACTAGGCATTCCAGGCCTTCTGCTCAAGGCATATCGCTAAGAGCTTCCATTTCCTGATTTGGTGTTCGGGGAGGGACTAGCGCCTCTGCCTCTTCTGTCCCAGCAGAGGCCACAACACCAACGTAATGCTTATTTGTCCGTCTTTCGTTTACATATAAACCGTTCTCTAATGACCACAGTTGGTACCTGACCTGCCTAACAAATGACCAAACAGAGGAAGTAAAACTCACTGTAAAGAATGACAATTGCTTCCTCTATAACCGGAACCCAAGTCGCAAGCGCCAAGATCTGCCCAAAGCCCCAAGATCCCTCCGATTCCCGGACTCCGCCGCCATTTACACTCGCAATATCCGCCCTCAGTGTGAAAAGACTTCCAAGGGCAGTCCACATAAAGATGAAGAAGAAAATAGAACTCAATACCCTCCACGGTACACGAAAGAAGAGCCAGCCTAGCACAGGCACTTTATCCGCCGGCCTCTTGGTGCACTTCCCAACAAGGTATGCCAAACCGGCGAGCATCGCAATGACCACCGGAAGGAGGTAAAAAGCGAAGATTGCACTGCTAGCTTTGAACGATGACTTTGAGTCCCAGCAGTTCGCCTCAAAAGGCACTCTTCCATGTAACCTCGCTGCAGCTTCGGCAGTATAACTCATGCACATCACTACCGTAAAGAGCAACCATATGACGAAACCCATAAAGTATCCAGATTTTTTCTTCCGCTCAATATCAACGTAGACAGGAAGGGTGAGGAAGTAACTAGCTGTCAAAATAGCACAGGCGAGTCGAGACATGTTAATGTCGTACACGCTCTCCTTCCGACCGCAGATGATCAGAGTAGCGAGTAGGACCGACGCTGCCAAAAGTCCCAAGCCCGTATGGAATGCACCGAGGCTATTGTAGAACATGCTGCGAATGTTGTCCCAGAAACCTTGTTCTTTGCATGGTGTTCGAGTTTTGAAGGTGGTGTAATCGTTCTCGACATACATACTGCTTAAAAATGATGCGACGTAGAGGCTGGCGAGGATGGCACCCATCAAGTAAACGAGCATCATCTACTAATATCAGCACCATTTCAAATCTCAAGCAACAGTCTTACCCCGACGCCAACAACGTCCGCGTCGCCATCCCACTCCCAAACCTCGCACATTTCATCCTTGCATATAGTCATAGGCTTGTGAATCAGCCACTGGTTCATCTCCCTGTTGGCGCACTCTTTTGCGCAGAAGAACCAGTTCATGGCTCTGTACTCGGGAACGTCTGTGCCGCCAAAGGATTGCAGATAGGTCACGAGATCTGTCATGTTGGCTGTCTTGTGTACCCATGGTACGAGGAATGCAGCGGCCGCTTTGCAATTCGTCCAGGGCCGGTAGTTCTTGATAGCCATGTCTATGCCTTTGCATGAAAAGGCGCATATATCAAGAGTGGCCATGGTAATTGGATGCGTCGGAGAATATTGGGGAACTTGGTGATTAGTGGTGGTCTAATTGCCCTAGGCGAGGAAAAGCTGTACTTTTACGCATTACTGCGAGACGTGCAGTGGGCTGTTGGGAACTAACTATAAATCATGTTAGCTAACTGGCGTTATCTCTAAACATTCTCAATCTCCTTTTTTGAACGGAGCTGATCGCGTTCAAAAGCAAGGTGAAGCGTAGCCTCGCGATGGACAGGGGAGAGTTGCAGGAGATGGCTTGAAACTATCGACGCCACCATGCATGTTCTATCTATGTTGTCCTTGTGACTTGACGATTCCCTGCACGGCTGAGAACAAAAGGTAGGTTTAAAATGACCGAGAGCGCTCTAGAACATCAGGCCATAGTCTGGAAATGTCACAGGTGCAATGGTGCCATGGAAGTGGGTGACATGAGACTAGAACGTGGATAGTGATATATAGATGGCTGCAGGGAAGATGACAGCCTGCTCAAGATGAGAAAGTCACCTACTCCGTAGATAAAAAACAGGTTCGACCGTATACGATAGTTACTATAAATGTTAGAGAAAGTACCATGGATTCCTAAGTATTTGATACTTGAGAGCAGCTGATTATCCATCCTAAGCTTCATCGTGTCTTAAGATCAATCATATCGAAAGGCCTTATCTTATCGCTGTTATCATCATTCGTCTTATCCTAAGATCGTATCTTATCGCTCTTATCGCACATCTCTCCGCCGAGGCCGCTCTTCAGCCGAAGTAACCGACACCACCAAAAACGGAATAATCGGAACCATTTCCGTTCGGCACCCCACGTTAGCCCCGGCATCCAGCCCCGCTAAGTCGGCTTGCGGCGGCTCCATCACGAGCATGTAATACAAAATAAAACTGACGTCGTGACAACTCTCTCACTGCATCTCCTCATCTAACTAGAATCACTCAAGATGTCGTGGCTTTCTATCCCCGCCGAGTCTCACTTCTCCATCGCCAACATCCCCTTTGGCATCATCTCTACTTCATCAAATGCTGCGCCTCGACCTGCTGTTGCGATCGGTGATCATGTCCTAGACCTTGATGCTTTTGCAAAGCGTGATGGGTTCTCGGGCAGTTCTGAGATTCAGAAGCAGGTTGATGTGTTTTCTCAACAGTCGCTGAATGCTTTTGCGGCGCTTGGCCGTCCGTTTCATCGCGCGACGAGGAGTTATCTCCAGGAGGTCTTTGCCAAGGACACTAAGAACCCAGTGTTGAAGGATAACCAGAAACTTCAAGACGCAGCTCTTCTCAAGCGCTCCGACGTCAAGAACCATCTCCCCTTGACTATCGGAGATTACACCGACTTTTACGCTGGCAAGAACCACGCTTTCAACGTCGGCTGTCTCTTCCGTGGTCCTGACAACGCTCTCCAACCCAACTACACCCATCTCCCCGTCGCTTACCACGGAAGAGCCAGCAGCGTTGTCGTATCAGGCACACCCATCCGCCGACCCTGGGGCCAAATCCTCCGTCCTGGCAATAAGGTCCCTGACCTCGCGCCGTGCGAGAGGCTCGACATTGAGCTCGAGATGGGCATGTTTATCTGTCGTGAGAACGAGATGGGAAGCCCTGTCCCCATTGACGAAGCTGATGAGCACATCTTTGGTTATGTGCTTATGAATGACTGGAGCGCACGAGATATCCAGGCTTGGGAATATGTGCCTCTTGGTCCTTTCACGGCTAAGAACTTGGGGACTAGTATTAGTGCCTGGGTCGTACTGGCCGATGCCCTTGAGGGGGCCAAGGCAGCTGGTATTAAGAATGATAATGAGATTCTACCTTATTTGAAGGAGAAGACGGCGAATAATGTCTTGGATATTGACCTCGAGGTCGAAATCATCAGTGAGTCTCACCATCCTACCAAATGACCATGACTAACCCAGTGCAGCCGCCGCTGGTACCAAGAACCATCTCAGCAAGACAACCTCGCGCAACCTACTCTGGTCGTGGCCCCAGATGATTGCCCACCACACCATTACGGGCTGCAACCTTCGACCTGGTGATCTTCTCGGATCGGGTACCATCTCCGGCACTGAGTCTGGCACTGAGGGCAGTATGCTGGAACAGACCAAGGGCGGCAAGGTACCTATTCAATTGAAGGATGGAGAGGAGCGCAAGTTCATCCAGGACGGCGATACACTCATCATTCGCGGTGCTTATGGTAGTGGTGATAAGAAGGTCGGCTTTGGTGAGGTGTCGGGACAGATCCTTGAGCCTCTTCCTCTGTTCAAGTGAAGCAAGTCTAGAGAAACGTGGAGGTAGTATGAAAAAGCTCAATAGACTTTTATTTTATTAATCCTTTTGCCATATTTGTGTACATTCTACTCATGTCTCAGCATCTTCCATCATGGCTTTGCGGAGTGGCATGTATCTTGTGTCCCTAATCGCCACAGCAGTTGGCAGGCCTTATGATCGGCAACTAGGAATGTAGATATTTTTAAGAACTTGAACTTTCTTTTTGTACCATCGTAGCTATGTAGCCTCTGCACATTAATTCTGTATCCATCAAGCCTTGAGATTGTCAGGCGTGTCAGGCTGATTCTGCCAATGCGCCTTCACAACAGCAGGATGATCCTTCAACCCATCCACAATCTTACCAATCGTCGGAAACAGCGTCAAATCAACACCAAACCTCTCAGCATTCCACATCGCAGGCAAAAGACAAGCATCCGCCATCGTCAACTCATCGCCAACACTACACTTCCCCGCAGAATCCTTAACAATCTCTTCATAAGCCGTGAGTCCATCAGTCATTAGCTGCTTATTCCACTCTTCTGCATTTCCACCGAGTTGTCTAATACGACGCATGATGCGCAGGTTTGTAACGGGCTGGATGTCTGCGCAGATGATGTTCATGAGTGTTCGCACTGTTGCGCGTGCTTCGAGGTTGGAGGGGAGGAGAGGATGGGAGGGGTGTTTTTCTTCGAGGTATTCTAGTGCTGCGACGGATTGACCGATGCGGAAGGGTTTGTCTTTGGAGGCATTTGAGATGAGGACCGGGACGGAAGCTGATGGGTTGAGAGTTTTGTGAGTGTCGGAGAGATGCTCATTCTTGAGAAGATTGACGAATGCTAGTTCATAGGGAATCCCTTTTGCATTCAGAGCGACGCGAATACGCGCTGAGCAGGAGGATCTGAAGTAAGAGTAGAGAGTATACTGAGGGTCAGACATATTGAATGCAATTGATCAAGTTACTACTGTAAATGAGAGCAGTTCAACAGAAGAGAAATAAAGGACCTCCTCCCGACGACCCGACCCCAAGGACACGCCCTTCTTATGTCATGAGGATGATTGTGCAGGTATGCTGTCATTGTGTAGAGCATTACCCGTCGCTAGCCTGGTAGTGCCGAACTCTGAAGTCTTGGGTGTCAGAAGGATTCCGGTGGAGTGCGGGGTGAGTGTGACGATCCGGGGTAGCTCGGGAGAAGGACGGCAATCTTGTCATGGAGGGGAGTAATTCCGCTCGTGATAGCCGGCTGAGTCATGATCTTGATGAGTGAGAGTTAATTGAATCTTGAGGTGGTCCTCTGACAGTCGAGAATTACAGTCTTAATGTGATAATACATTTGATAAGCTTCATCAGGATTCAGTGTGGCTAGCAATCATCTATGGGCTTGCATGGAAACTAGGAATATCAATGCTATTACTTGTCGCGATATTTATTTATTTCACTGTTTGAGTCTATTATTGAGAGAGAGAAATAAATCGTAATTTGTATTCATCGATCCAATTCTATACTGCATGACTTGCTTCATACCACTTCTGATCCGAGCACGGTATCGTGAAGGGCAGAGTCCATAAATTCCAACGCCAACAAACAAGATGCGAAAACCACTGCTGAACCAAAAAATGAGATTGCTGTTGAATATGCTTGAGTGTGGGACAGAGAGAGAGAGATCGCGATTTGTATCCAACGATGTAGCTCTGTACTGCATGGACGAACCATGGCTTGCTTCATACTACTTCAGGCCCAAGTAAGGTATCACGAAGAGCAGAGTTCATAAGATCCAACGCCAATAGAAATATGACCAAATAACTGCGGAACCAAAGATAGGATTGCTGTTGAAAATGGCAGAACTAGCGGATGACAAGTCGTATGCAAAGAGTGAGAGAAACTTGCTGGTCAAGTTGAGAGTAATGATTGATTGAAGTCGCCAAAAAGAAGCTGACTGTGACTTGACCGCTTGCAATGGCCAAAGCCGCTCATGACAATATAGCCAGACAAATAGACTGATGTGCGCTTTAAAACTCCAGCAAAGATTGACCGCGTACAACTCCATTGTAACCCATGACCTGTGGGTACATGCAACTGGCCATCAGGCTCTGTTGCTGCCATGCAACGTATTGTTGCTGCGCTGCCAAGGCAAACGCTTGTTGAGGTGTCATCTGGATCAACCCATGAGATGCTCCGTAAAAACCTGGACTAACAGGTGGAGAGAAAAAAGATGGCGAGAGAGGAAGAGATGGTGATAAAAGAGGTGAAGATGGAGGTGAGGGTATAGTTGGCATAGCCGTACATCCAGAGATCCTTGCTCTGTACCCTTTAGGTCGGTACTTGGCCTGAAGAAACCTCCCTTCCCACTTTGTGGGATGATAAATAACGTCATGTCCACCAGGGACAGACGGGTTGATAATAACTCGCGCTGGTCCAGGCCCTTCCGTTGAATGTTTGTAACTGCCATTGAGACACAGAGGATACTCCAACCAAGGGCCAGGTACCTTAAGTGGCAGTGCCTCGCTGTTGCGGAAAGTATGGGGATATGTAGAGAAATGACTGAACTCAGGGACTTGTTCGCTTTGCTTTCGGACTTGATGCGCAGGGATCTTCCCGAATGACATGTCCTCTACCTCGGAAAGAGAGTAGTAGGAGCATGTTGACGAGTTGTCATCCATGTCATCATCTGACCTGCTCATATGGTCCATGACTCCCAAGTCTGCAAGAGAAGGCATTGTCGCTGATGAAGAGTCCAAGAGAGTGTGAGTCGGTACGATGTATGAAGTAATGTGATTGTATTAATCGTTCTGCAGCTCCAAAGCGTTGAACAAGACTATTATACAGCTGTAGCCAGGAAAATATGGCAAGGTCGTCAAAAAGGTACCAAATGAGTAATCGGAAACGCCAGAGTGAAAGAAAAGGTAGCTGAGCTGGTAAGACTGGCTGAAAGTTCAAGAAATCAGGTGACCAAAGACAGAAAGTGTTGCAAGCAAACTGGCTGAAAGCTGAAGAGAGATGAGAAAGAATGAAGAATCGAAAGGGAAACAGAGGGAGAGAAAGTCTTTACTTATAGGCTCAAGACCAGAGAGAGTTTGAGATTGAGGGCTATGCTGCCCTTGCTGAAGGAAAGTACTGTGAAGTTAAGAGGGAATTGTCTCCTCTGTGATAGGATAGAACTTCAAGGTTCGAGGGAATATGAGAGGATTAGCTGAATGAGGCTTGGAATTGACTTGTCACAGCCGCAAAGTTTATCTACCTATCTGACGCACCCTCATTCTGGTCCCCTTTGACAGAAGTACTTCTGAATACACAAGGGTTGCAGCAAACTTTGTAATGAGGTAAAAGCAGATTTTCCTTTGCGCAGGTTGTTATTCGTCCTGGTATTCGTGAGGATGACGATGATGAAGACCGTGGATGCCTCATGAGGAAGCACCAGCCTCAGTGGGTCAAGCTCACACAGGACCCAATGAGGTTCGTTTGGAGTCGTCAGAAAACTCGGTTACCTTTACACAGAAGGATAAACCACTGCGGTGGCGTCTCCTGATCATGACTGCTGATGCTCAGGGATTCTTCTCGAAGGATCCCTCAAAAAAGCTACACGGGGTTGTGCCAATGACTGAATTGAGTGGAGGGTGAGTCACTGAGTCTGGAGAGGGACTTGAGTTGACGCGTACGGTTGAAGCATCAGCTGTCAGGCCTATCAACTCGAAGTGACGATTTCATGAACATAGCTGAGGCAGCATACCAAGTTTCAACACAGTGGTCAAGCAGAGGGGCACTCAAACGGCACCCATCGTGATCTCCTCGCAAGGTAATGGGAGGCTGTCAATTAGATAATTTTGAAATTATGTCTACGATGGAGAAGATTACCCATTCTATTGTCACGTTTGGCTTCCAGATACTGGAATCTTGGCGCGTATGGGGCGTAACAAAGCTGTGCTGAGAATCGTGAATCGGCAAGGCATGCGTCACCACCACAGGTCCTACATCAGACTCGGCGCTTATTTGTGAGCGTGACACGTCAATACTTCTGAGAGCGTGTTATCATAGGGTTTCATCTGTTGGCTTGCTGCCTCCATCATGAATGTCGCCCACGGTTGACTGGACAGACAGGTCTCAGAGTCTAGTAACGGCATGGTAAGTATTGTTGTGTGATGTAGAAAGACATAAGGTTTTAGCTTCAGCAACAATACATCAAGGTTTTCATCTGTCAACCAAACTCGCCTATCATAATTTGCTCAAGCTCAAACTCTGTATAAACATCCTATTCATTGTGCGAGCAGTCGGTATGCTGCGTAAACTTTGTGTTCTGTTGCGTTGACATGCGAGACAACTGATGCCTCCGTCATGCACCTGACCCGCGAGGACATTGAATAAGTTCACGAGCAGAAACACGTGCAAGAATTTTCAGGCACCTGCATAGCAAAATTTCGAGCACGAGTGGCTTTGAAGATTTCTTGCATAACCAGCCAAAGTGCACCCTCTATAAAATTAACCTTCTAATCACTGACTAGGCAGCCACCTCAAAGATGGTAGTCATCCTGTCGCGTGACTCTCTGGCCCCTCCTCTCCCAAACTCCCTCAATATTCATATCCCTCGACCCACTGCAAGCACGTCAGTATCCAATATGCACAGCGAAGCAGGAAACTTACTCGTCTCTCCAAATAATGGTTGGTTCAGTTTGTCCCTTTCCGGGATTTCTAAACACAATGTTCTTTTTCTACAAAACTGTTAGCCACGATATCACAGCATGCTATGTAGTACGTACCAATCCGAGTGATAGGTGAATAGCAGGAGGGTCAACCGTGACGTTCTGCTCAGGTCGTCCGCCGTTCACCATAGCAGCGATGTTCTGCGCTACAACCTGCGCTTGTCCAGCTCCCGGGCGTGCGGCCTTGTGAGCTCCGCTGTCGGCGATGTCACCGCATGCAAACAGATTCGAATACTCGGGGTCAGCGAACTGTAGTGTCGGCGCGACTCGAATGAAGCCATTGACGGGGTTGATAATCTCGTATCCAGACGTAGGCTGAAGATCCTTGAGGAACTGGTTGTTTGGTGTTTGACCTGTTGCAGGAATAACAAGATCCGTCTGTATCTTTCGCCCATCTTTGAGTTCTAGTTCGAATGTTGATCCGTCTGTTGGGAAGCCCTTCGCTGGGATGACGGCTCGTGTTCCAGTGATAACACTTCTCGGTCAGCATTTCTCATCTTGTACCGTGAATGGTGACTTACTCAACACCAAGCTCCTGTAATCTATCCCTCAGAATAGCATCCATCTTCTCATGATAAAGCTGCATAAGCCTATCCCTCGAATGAACAAGCGTAACTTTCTTCTCCGGATACACCTCCCCCAAATCTGTCGCCATCTGCACACCAACCGCACCACCGCCAACAATCACAATAGACTTGGCATTCTTGATACCCTTCTGGTAAGACCTAAAGTACTCAACAGAAGGCTTCTTCTCATCGTGCTGCATGTTACTAGGTGCTTGGAGTCGTGTTCCTGAGGTAACGACGGCGTACTCAAAGGGGATTTCTGTTGAGCCTTGCCATGGTCTGTCGAGGGTGACGCGGTTCTTTTGCAGGGATACTGCGCGGGCGCGGACGATGGTGTGGTTGGGGGCGTTGGGGAGGGTGGAGAAGAAGCCGGTGTAGGGGATGAAGGCTTTGTGTTCGTGGTCTGGCACGATGGCGAATCGGGGCTGAGAGGGTTAGTTTGAGTGAGATAGGATTTGGGGGAGACTTACGAAGGCGAAGAGATGGTGGAAATGGCTGTGAGGTTCTATTAACAGGACACGGTGAGTGACTGGTAGAAGCGTAGCCAGTTCCTTCACAGCAGCCTAGACATGTTAGTCAAGCTCATCACATTCCCAATAGAGTGTACTTACAAGCCCAACATACGAGCCGCCAATGACAATAACGTTCTTCAAACCTGCAGTCATGTTGAAATCTATCTCTCAAACAATTGAGAAAACAATCCTCAAAAACAAAAGAGATCTCGGCTCTTTTATCTACGCCATCTTATCAATCTACTGTACGGGGTCCCCGCCTCCGGATGTACGCTTTGCCGGTTATCCGAATTTAATTCCGAAATCGGCTTTTTTCATCGGCATATTAGGGGTTCCTGCGCCAATATGCGAGAACACAAGTCGGCGCTAGGGATAAGCCATGATTTTTAGTACGCGGCTTGGAAATACGGCTTTTGGACCTGCATGTGAAGGTGACGAGTTGCTCAATTTGGACGGGGGATCTTGGGGATTGCTTGGCAGGGATGGATCTTGGATGTAACGGTAAAAGTCATACGGGTATATTATTCGGCCGAGTCTAGCTTGGGTTACTGAACTCTATTGAGGATCTTGATAAACATCGGTGAGATGCTATGGTGGGATGCCGATGAGAGGGACTTGTAACGCGCGGCTCGGCTCGGCTCGGCGCTTAATAATCTGGAGCGGGATGAGATGACGAAGCCGATGACTAGGGAAGCGTAATGACATTCAGGTCTAGTCATTGCATATTCGTAACAGCGTGCCACTCAAGTGTAAGCCGCTGTTTCTAGGATTAAGTGACTCACAGAGCCTGATGTCGCTCTCTTTAAGATACGAGGTCTCCACTTTGATTCATCCAGATTGAATATGTTAAAGTCAAAGTCTGTTACGTATAAGTGAATTGAAACGGCTGCGTTCGCTATGAGAAATTAGAGCTAGCACGAGGCCAAGACAAAGTCACCTGTTGGACATTTGGATGACTATTGTTCTATCAGGAATTTTTGTAGGCCAGGGTCTCCGTTTGTCCTCAGGAACAAATCACTGCAACCACAATCACGACATAAACAAACAATGAACCGCTATGGCTCTCGGGTTCTGTCCTTTTTCAGGTATCAAAGCTCATCCTACACAAGCCGGCGCAACCTGGCGCTCAGCGCGACTGTTGGTGTTCGAAAATCTCATATATCTAGGACCCGTCAGATACTTGGATCAAAACCACCGCAAAATGCTGCTCCATCTATTCCAAACAAATCATCTGTCCCAACAACTCAAAAAACCTCTCCAGGCCCCATTCCAAGAACATCCGCTCTAAACGCCAGCCAATATTTAGTTTCTATCCAATGCTCCAAATACTGCAACGCAAGAACAATTTTGAAAATCCCCTGGCGTGTGCGCGTAGTCCCGATGGGAACCCTGTGAAAGGTGAAAGCCCTGCCATGGCGCTGTATCGTGGCGACAAAATTCCAGTCGTGTCCTTGCACGATAATACCAGGTAGAAACTCGATGTGCGACAACTCTCGGGCTGGGCCTTGGGGCGTGTAGCATAGGCTGCGCAGCTGTGCAGAGTGCCATGTTGCCATCTGGTTGATGGCGTTTGTGTAGTCCTCGCCCTCTCTCTTTGTCTCCACTGACATTGCGATCGGATGCTTGTTCAACAAGCCGGAGTCGACGTGGTTGATGCTCTTTGAGGGTCGATCGCGGTAGCGCATGTTGTCGATAGCAACCTGCTCAGCCGACTCTCGTCCGGGTTGCATGTAAATGCAATAGTCGACTAGTTTGGATTTAGATTTGCTGGGTTTGTACATGCTTGAGATTTGCGTCGAGGTGCTTTACGTGTCAGGAACATGATGCAACAGAAAGGATAGTCTTGGGCATACCAGTACATGTAGTCTAGGAATTGAGGCTCGAGTTCGTCTTTGCGGAAGACCCAAGAGAGAATCGGGGCATGAATGTCTGCGTTCCAGCCCGCTTCTGCCTCATTCTCTTCCAGGTAATCCGCAGCGCGATCGAAAATCCTATCGACCCATGACATGCCCGGCCATCGCCAGTCCACGCCGGATGGGAGGTTGCTCTCAGTTACCGCATCGAAGAAAGAAAGGTCTGGGAATCTTGTCCTTCGAAACTTTTGTTCGTTAGCTGGTACAAGTGCGAGGAAAACATGTCGCTTTACCTCATCCTTCTGACTAGCAGGAATGATCCTGTTGCCCTGGTCGATGTCCTCAAGGACCTTACGCATATCCTTGAGAGACTCAGGTTGCCAATCCTCATAGCGTTCGATGCTTACTACCCGATAGCCAGTGTCCTCCCCCGCAGCGTCGCGCTGTTGCTTCGAGGGCGAGGAGGCTTTGGAGGTTGAGGAGCGTCCTGACCTTGACGAAACATCCGAGGCGGAGCTCATGTCGTGATAAAGCCTACCGCGCCTCTTGGGGGCCTTGGGCGTCACATCATCGACGATGAAGGATTGGGAAGGGCCGTCGCTGCCGTCATCTGATACAGACCGTGGCCGTTTGGTGGGCGATGACATAGTATCGTGAGGCGGCGTCGGGAGCCGCCCGGGCGAGGGTGCGTGGCCCGTCTTGCGTCGCTTGGCTTCGGGCTCGCTAGTGCTAGGGCGATGGATGGGGATAGTATCAAGCCATGCAGAAATGTTGCAGCTTCCCATATCTGTATAATTTATTTATGACAGTGCGCTGTGCATTTGAAGATGTTGTTAATGATGTAGATGGAGAGTAATGTTTATTTCCAGAGGGGCAACGATAAACTAAGATAAGATAAGATAATTGTCTCAGCGACCAAGTGGGGCTTAGCATGTCGATGGAGCTAGTCCAATAGACTATCGGATCGCTCTCTTGTAAGGATGAATCGTCGTATGGCTGCATCAAGGAGTATTATTTAATACTGTTATCATGAATAAAACGAAAAGCATCATATAATAAGAAATCTGCTAATAAAATCGGAAGGCTCAGGTCATGCCGACTTAAATCGAGGCTTTTGTCCAAACGCCTCATAATGACTGTAAGATAAGAGAAACATGGAGCCACCAACAAGTAGGGATATGCCTTTGACAATTAGACATATAAATTTGTTTCGACCCTGCAATGGATGTTGTCTGCATCAACATATCCTCGTTAAGTTATTCCAGAGCATCCATCTATCCGCCCGACAACTTTCCGCTAATTAATTCCCTATCATGGAGCCCATCTTCTTCAAATACTCCCTCCCTCCCTCAACGATCCTCCTATTCAAAACAACAAACTCATCCTTCTCACTCCCCTCAACAGCCAAGAACGTAAAAAACGCACCCAGCTCTTCATTCTTAATAACATAGTCATCTCCCAAGAGCAACTGAGCCACATACCCAGGCACTCTCATCCTCTGGGTAATAACACCACCAGGTCTTAACATCCAAGCCTTCCAAACATTTTCATGCTCTTTCGCAACCTCCAGTGAACGTATCTCACATAGCCCCTGTTGATCGTTAGTAGGGTCGAGATAGATGGGAGGGGGGGCGTACCTTGAGTTTACGAGGGTAGTCGTTAACCCATAACTTGGCATCTTGCTCTTGAACAACAAACTTGCCACTGAGATGAATAAACCGAAAAGGTTCTCGCCTAGGACGTTTCACCAGAAGAGCTGCGAAAGCAGTTTGGAAAGCGAGGGGGTACTCCATATCGACATTCACGTTTCCTCTATACGAGCCCATGGCACTAAAATCATCAGCTCCTACCTACCCCACCCAGTAACGAGACAACTTACCAAATCATCGCAGCAGCATCAACATGCGGGAGAAGAATATCGTCAGACCATTTCAAAAAGTCCTTTATCATGACTGTTTGCAGTTTGGGATTGTCGACGGGCAGAGGTCGGCGCACGAATGCGATTACGAATGTGATCCGCGGATGGGCGAGACATTGGCGGAGGGCTTCACTGCCGATGGAGCCTGATGCGCCGAGGAAGAGGACTTTCATGACAAATTGCGTTTGTTGTGCTTGGCTTTGGTTTGTGGAAGGGGAATGAGGCTCAAGGGGCGTTTATATAAAGGGAGTGCGTGGACGGTTCTGGAATTGCTGGTTGCGGACTTTCAAGGATGAGGATCCTAAAGTCCGCTGGCGTTGATCAGCCATCTGTCTTGGCGTGTTATTTAATTGTGTGCGCAATCACTAGTGATAAGGGACATGTTTAGCTCGGAAGCGGACGAGTTTCACTGGCTTATGGGTTGGCTTATTTTCTTGAGAGATACGCTATACGAAAATGTCGCGGGTTGTGATTAATTCTCCGCAGTGGTGTCGTGGCTCACATCAGCCAGAGGATTCATTCTGCGGGTCATCATGGCCGAGATACCCTGGATTAATATTGATATCGGATGAATAAATAAACAATCGTATTTTGCATAGCATAGAAGAATTGTCTTCACTGTCACGTATTTGCGGTCGTGGTGCTGTCAGGCGGTTAATTGCCGTGCGCGTAATCAAGTGCTACCATGTGAGTCTCGGGTAGGTTACTCCTCGTTGACATTTGACTCATTGAACCGGCCCAGTCTTCAATCAAGACACAGCATTGACCTGAGAATGAATGTCAATTAAAGCTCAATCTTGCATCGTGCTGTCTATTAATTGTCGTGCCCGTATACCCATCCCTTGTGAGCGGGACATCATGGCTGCCGACCCTCCGTCCACCTCGCAAGACCTTACGCTCACCCGAGCCCAAGCAAGTGACATACCCTCAATCCAATCCATGGTCAACGCAGCATACGAGAAATACATACCCCGAATCGGCAAACCTCCAGCGCCAATGACAGCAGACTACACATCTCTACTCATAACCCACGACATCTTCATTCTACGCACAGCTCAATCCCCCGTCGGCGCGCTCGTTCTCCAGCACGAACCTGACTCTGACGCAATAAAAATCGAGAACCTAGTAGTTGACCCAAGCGCACAAGGTCGCGGTTATGGAAAGGTATTGATGCGCTATGCTGGAGAGTTTACGCGGTCGCGAGGTTGCAGTGCGTTGGAGCTGTACACGAATGTCAAGATGTTTGAGAATCTGGGGCTGTATCTTAAGATGGGGTTTGTAGAGACTGGGCGCAGAGCAGAAGACGGCTTTGAACGCGTTTATTTCCGAAAGGAATTGCAATGATATAAATAAATGACAACTTTTATTTATGCGATGCTTTAATTGATCGTCATGTACAAGGCGACGCGCTGAAGGAACCCGCTCCATCGCGTGCGCCTATTGATCGCTCGCCTTGCTCCAACGCGACCATCCCCATCATCACAAATGCACAGATCAGTATACATGTATATGCCGGGTATCTCCATCACGCCAACGACCCCTTCAACCTCTCAAAGCTAAAATTCCACACCTCCGCCCTTCGCGGCCCATCACTCGACTCAACCAGCCCAACGTGCTGCAAAACACTCGGATCAAGCGCCCACTTGCTCAGCCCGTTATCCCGCGCGTAGTCCTCCATGATCATATCCCCCGGGAACTGAAACGGCGGCTCGCGCAGGAAATCCTGCAGGTTCTGTAGGTGGTGGTTCGGAAACACCAGGCCTTGCGCGCAGCATCCGTAGCGAGGCATTTCGCGCACCGTGGGGGAGCGTGTGAATAGTCGGTGGAGGGTTATCCGCCCGGTAACGAAGGCGAGCGCTAGACAGGCTGGGATCCAGAGACCGAGGAGTAGAGCGACGGTTTGCGCAAAGTCTTTTGTTGCGAAGGATCCGGCGTGACGACGCTGTCTGCAGCGCAGGGCGAGGAGAAGACATGCTATTAATGCGGTGTAGCCTAGAATGACGACCTTGAGATAGTCAAAGATCTCCTCGTTGTTCCAGCCCATGAATATCTCGGAGTAGAAGAGGCGCAGGTACATCCAGTCTTGGTGCGCATCGGTCGCTTTCTGCTCAACTTCGATGACGCCCTTTTTGAAGCGCGTGAACCAATCGGGCGTGGCTATTATGTCGTCTTCGATGAGGGCGAAATACGTCGGATCGCGGCGTCGGCACGCTTCGAAGAGGACGGAGTGGTCGAGGCGTATGTTCTCCACGCGATCGTCGCTGCGTCCCATGCCGCGAACATCGTGAGGGAGAACCTTGTAATTAAGCTTCGATTCGGTCTTGGAGTCGTTCGAATACACTAGAACATCATCCGCCAGCCCAAACAACCAATCCTTGCCATAAGCGAAATGCCTCGTCGGATCTTTATCCGCCAGCAGCACAACAATATGGATCTGATTGCGCTCATTCGGCGTCAACGAATCAACAAGGCTTCCAACCGTATGCGCCAAAAACCCGGACGTCGTGCGATTTATACTCGGTATGCCGATACATAAAAACTCATTGTCGACCTGTACTTCGGTGCGCTGCTTGTGCGCGACGGGAAAGATCTCGCGCTCGAGGTACTCGTCGACTTGCTTCTCGCGGAGGGCGGAGTAGCGACGGTCGAAGGCGATGCGGGACTTGTAGAAGAAGGAGGACGGGTCGTCGTAGGAGTTGTGGTAGGACCAGAGGAGGGCGGTGAACCACATCAGCCAGAAGCCGATGTTTGCGTGGGAAGGGCGCATGGCGTCATGTCGCGTGCGGTTGAAGAAGTGATGCTGAGGAGAGAGAGAAATTGATGAAGGAGTTGGGGAGAATTGGGTTTGGGGGAGTGGCCGCTGGGGTTACAGTGGTTACCCCGCTGTACCGGGGACAAGAAGCGCAGTGATTGGTGGGCCCCTTTTTTGGGAAACGCTAAGCCTTACGCTTTGATTGGTGATATCATTACACGTGCTGAATCTTCGAGAGGCATCCGAGGCGCAGCTTTGCCGAGAATTCAGGAACACGTCGGTCAGTGAAAAGCGATTGAGAGAGTCAGAGTCCGAATCTCTTGGGCATCTCCAGTAAATTTAAATTCGAAGCTCAGTAGGAATGCAGTTACTGCCGCCTTGATAGATACAGCTGAGAATGACCCGGTGCTGGACGTGTCGCGCATCGACAAGCCCAAGGCCAGTGTACCACTCGTGATTATCTCAAGCCTGAGTATGAGCATGACAAAATGCTCCCTTTCAGAATGAATATTGCTGGAGGTAGCTCAGTTAACTGGCTCTCTGCTCAATGTGACAAATTTCTGCCTCGTAGCCAATATGAGAGTGACGAAGAACATGACATTGACAGCGAGTTCTATCATGAGATGTGAAAGTACGATTTGACTACTATTCCATGTATCTCAAGAGAGGAATACTCTACAAAGCTTTAGTGATAATGACGAGAACAAATCGCAGTTGATCTAAGCATGCAATGTTCTTGAATATACGATTTGTTGCCCCGAATGGGGAAGTTGAACAAGCTCTAGTAGTGACAGCTCTACAAGCCGCCCCTTGTTCGTGTCGTCACAAAAGGTTATAGAGCATAGTTGTAGACTTCTGGCATAATCAGTGATATTGGGACCGGTCGGACGACGAGTAGCTGCGATTCGATTTACTTCTCTTGCCGTCATGTCACTGATCAAACGAAGGGAAACTCGAAGAGAATGATGCACAGATCCAGCATACACTGGCAAATACCTCTTCTGCGGGCAGTGATTTGAGTCCACTACCCTGTCCACTGTGACAAAGGTTCAAAATATCCGTGACAAAACTCATGATCGAGAGGATGGTAAATGCCAGCAACACTCGTTGTAGATATAAACTAATGACTGACCCAACCTCAGCTGGAAAGTCACACTTCAGCTAGCAGCAACAAAAGCAATACTAAACATTCACAACAAAACCAGAACAAATCACAGTCTATCACTATGCCTTCCAGCAACAGTACCCCAGACCCTTCTCCCTCTCCTCCCGTGGAGGTCAAGAATCCTCACACTGGAATTATCAATCACGATCTCATCAAAGAGGGCTCTGTTCGTGTCAGATACCACCACAATGCATGAACATGGTCGCTATTAAGGGCTACAGGTGTGATTACTGTTGTGATCATTGCCCCATTGTGGCTCCATGATGGCAATAGCAGAGAGGTCAGGATGGAGAAGAAAGGAAACTCACGGAATTCGGATATTAATGATACTCAAAGCCAATGGTTTTCATTGATACCTATACAGGATTCTTTGAATGGGGATTAATAGGCTGTAATAAAGACAGGCTCTATCACAGTTCATGTGAGCAAACCATTCGTGATAGGTTGTATCTCGATACTCCAGTGAGGCCTAAAACAAACTTAACTCACGGCGAATGACGAACCCCGTTGCCATCATGAAGTGGGATTGATGCTCTCCCCATCAGTGACATGCTTCTGCACAAGTGGCTATATAAACTCCCCACCCGCGCAGCCCATGATCTTAAAGTCACAACTTAACTCAGCGAGACAGAACCAGCCCTGTTACTCCAACGAAAGAACAGCTACTATAAAATCACAAGACCAACAACTACTCTTCCGGGAATCCAGATTCTCCTTTGAGGCTTTTGCAGATTGTCAAGTCACGAAAATGACCAACCAAACATGCGCATGCACCATTTGCAATACTTGCACGAATGTGATTACTAAGACGAAGACGAAGTTATGCGACACGTGTTTTGGAGGAACACATAATGCTCAGTAATGGCGGAGGTCAATGCAGCGACAGGCAGCGAAGGATGTAAGATGAGATTTGAGCTCGTGTCATATTAGAGGCACTCATTCCCTAAGCTAAAAGAACCCCAACTCTAAAAATACTCCCTTGAGACACTCAGGCATCTTGTTCACAGCCCCTTGCAGTGATTGTTTCGAACAGTTTTGATGTTCGCGGTAAAGTCTGATAGCCGGCAGTTGTGAACAGCTGCGAGTGGCTAGGTCATGAATAATACAAGCCTGTTCGAACATCAGTGAGACTACATAAGAAGTAAAGTCCATAGTTAGATGTTTCGCTGCTCCCACTGGGAGTGAACAATAACATCCCGCGGTTTCCCATGTCACAGTGCCACTGGCATCTCGTAGACTCTACAGCAGGATATATATGGTTTCTTCACGCGCCATTCAAGCCTGCCAAACTCAGAAGACACTTCAAAACATACAATCACAGCACCTTACGCAACTTAACCACTCATCAGATTCAGATCACCATGTCTCAGAACAGCTCTGCCCCCAGCACCCCTTCCAGCACTGCTTCTCCCGGAGAACCGACAGCTGTTGCTGACCCTTCTAACACCATGAACGGCCCCAAGCAGAGTGCCAACAAGGTCTGTCGTTGTGGCTGCGTTTGCCAGGAGGTCTGCCGATCCGACGACTACTACTGCGATCCATGCATTGAAGCACGACACGACTACCTCCCCCCTGGTCTTGATAAGTCAGGCTAGACTTCAGAGAGCACAAAAGCCTCACATTTGAGAGGAAGATGCTAAAAGAAAGAGCATCCTAAGGTTGGGCTGAGTCGTCCCAAGATTCATCACTAAGGATAGAGGACCCAGGTTTTCTTGTCTCCGCTGGATACGGAAACAAACCTATGAGGCGTTGTACGTGCTAGCTCTGAGTAGCTTATAGGTACTAATAAGAAACACACCTTACAATGCTCGTCCCTTGTGACATCACTTTCGCTTACCATTGCAGTGATCAGATCTACCCCCCGGCACGCCATTTCCCTTCCATCCACGGGAATATCCTTAACATTTGCCAAGGTGGCCTCGGCCCGCAAGGCACCGTCAATCCCCTAAAACGTCCAGACCTAATCCCAATCCACAGTAGAATCACTGACGTTTTAATCTTAGCGCCACAGTTGGCATGTTGCCAAGAAAGGTAAGACGTGAGGAAATGCCAGGTCCAAACTTAAACGCAAGCCATTTTATTGCCGAAGACCCGTTTGATGCGGTTATAAACAGTGACATCGCTCTTAGTCTCATTCTTCTTCTTGTTTGGAGGGGCAATACTGTTGGCGTATCTGGGCCAAAGGCATTGTTGTCGCGATGAAGAATCCAGAGGCAAAGGATCTTCTCGTAAGGTCTGCGTTTCTATGGTAGGAACTGGTGCTAATGGCTATAGGTGTCTCAAATACTCGTCATCGTAGCGACAATTCTAGTCATCGCGCGTCTCAATCTGCGTCTCCGAGTACAAAAGCGAAAGCTACTACTGAGCGATATTCTTATGGTAGCGGCGTGGATATCGGGCGTCATTACAGCTGCGTTCTCACCCGCGTTTGCGGTCCTGCATGCATTTGATCCGAGTGTTCATACAACATTGGAGGGCTACAATGGAGGATCTGCCAACTTGGTGTTGATACTGAAGGTCAGTAGACAATTGGGATGAGTGACGCAGCTGACATGGGTAGTTGCTCTTTGCATCGAGTTTTCCCTTTTATACGACGCTATACTTATGCAAAGCTGCGCTTCTTGCAGTCTATCTACAAGTCTTTCCCGAGTTCATGGTCAAGAGGCGGAAATTCCTTTGGGCGACGATTTGGTTCGTGGGAATCAGTTATTTTATCACCGTCGTGATATTATTTTGCATTTGTCTGCCCATAAGCCGTAGCTGGTAAGTTCATTCAGTATATTTATGCGCCGAACTAATAAACTCCACAGGGATCTCAACCCCTCGAGGACATGTCCGAAGTGGACGTATGCTGTCACTTTTCACGTTGGCTGGGGCCTGTCATTCCTAGGAGATTTGCTAGGTACGTTGATCTCCATTCTGATGGGATGATGGCTAACAAAGTCCAGTGTTCATTTTGCCGTGGCTCATCGTACCAGCTCTGCACGTCAGAAGGACCTTAAGACTCGGTATATACTTCACATTCCTTCTCGGCACCGTCAACATGGCTGTTAGTCTGGTCCGCCTCGTCATGATCTGGAAGGCTGGAGCCGACTCGAGCATCTCACTCAGTACAATTGGTATGAAGTCTGCCACAAGATAACGCAAAATCGCTAAATCACTGTAGTTCTTTGGAGTGCCCTAGATGTCAACATTGGCCTCGTTGTCGCTTGCCTTCCGTCACTGCGCCCATATTTCGGAGCACGAACCAAGTCCCAGGAACAAAGTCGAGAGAGCTACAGTTGCGATTCTTCGAGGAAACACTCTGGGTTTGGCAATCGAACGATATGCTTTCACTCCAAGAAGCGCGATAGCGAGGCGTGGCCGTCGTCGGCCGGCAGTCATGCGAGATACTCGTCGATAGACCAGACAGTCGTTGGATCCTGGGATGATACAAAGGGATTCAAGGATGCGGATGATGTTGAGTTGAGAGTTCTGCCTGTAGCGAGAACGAGGGACGTAAAATACGGTAAATAGAGACTGCGATAATGATTGCGGGAAATCACTGCGAGTTCGCTGAGCTTGGAAGGTAGTTCACGATATGTAATATTGATCAGATCAAAGTTATGTACTAGAGAATGACAAGTCAAGACTCCAAGGGAGAAATGTCTCGTGCTGGAAAGTAAATCCCCCATCAATCGACACCAGGTCACAGACCTCACCATAGTTTTCACATCCGCCATACCTGTTGCATGACCCCCGTCCCATACCCGACAGATATCCGTCCCTCCTCTTTTCAAGACCGATGAACCTTCACAGTAACATCTTACTTAGTCTGGACATAGATGGAAGAAGATCCACTGCTCTGGTATCCCTCGGTAGCCAGAATCTGATAGTAGTGGTTTCCAAGTCTCATGCCAGCATTGGCCCAAGCATTGAAGATAGTCTGCATGTTGACAGCGCCACTGCTGCGCTTGTTGCGGCGGATGGCCCAGTACTGGTTGAAGGTCTGTTGGCCGTCGATAGAGGGCTGGTTGTAGCGGGTGGTCTGGTACAGATCGTAGGTGTCGCCGTCGTTGTAGACGGTGCCCTTGTGCTGGCCAGCAGAGCCGGGGTTGTAGCTGCCGTAGTTCTCGATGACCTGGATATTGTTAGTAAAGATTGAGGGGTGAGATGGGGGACGTACGTAGTACTCGACGAGAGGGCTGCGAGTCCAGCCGTAGACGCAGAGGTAGCCGTTACCCTGAGGGCTGAAAGAGCCGCCATAGTTGATAGTTCTACTCATCATCAGCAAACTATCTCAAATATTAAAAGCATGCTCAACTTACCGGCCAGTACCAGGGTTCCAACCCTTTCCACCGACAAAGTTACCAGTGTTGCGCCAATCAACCTGGTAGTGACTTCCCTCACCCATACGGTAGTTGGCATAACCACCGCCATCAGACCACCAAGAGTAGAAGTACCCGTTATGGTAACCCTCAGAGTTACCGGTGACCTGGCGGGCCTCAAGGACGGAAGTAGAGTTGCCGTCGTCTTGCTCGTCGAGGAAGTCAAAGGGACGAGCGAGAGCTCCGGTGAGTGCCGAGGCGGCGAGGAGGAGAGACTTGAAAGAGACCATGATGTTGTCTTGAGGTTGGTTGGATTGCTGGAGTGTAGATGAAGAACCCTGATGAGCTGGAGAGTCAACTTAATGGCGATCTGATGGTCCTTTATATATGGTAGAGCACGGCTTCATCACAGGTCGATGCCAAGCATCTTAGTCCTTAATACCAATATCATCAGGCTCTTTAGACTCTTAGCTTGGCGCCCTACCTCGGAACCTGGCTCTCCGTTCCCAGCAAAAGCAACTTCTTTGCAATTCATCTTGGAAATCTCAGCCTCTTCTTCTCCACTCGCATGAAGGCCAAGACGGTAAACACTGGAGCCAAGACGGTAAGAACTCTCCTGACCAATGACAGCCCAAAAGCCCCTTGTGGCCAAGAATGAGTCTCTGATGCGATTGGTAGGATGCTTCCATAAGAACTGGTGTGATGTTTCCTCCGCAATTTCGATCGGTGGCATCCATTCCGGCTAAAGTCAGATACTCCAATTCCTCTTGTCCGTGGCTTGAGATCGTGACTTGGGATGCCAGCGGCTTGTTGCGGGGAGCGGGGATCATGGGGTATGGGGAGTGCACGTGGCGGATGTTGAATATTAGGCTGCTATGCCGAAGGATAAACATGCGTGCCAAGATTCATTTGGGGAACGAGTAAGAAAAGCAGGATGACTTGATGTTGCAATGGGACCACTTCTTAGAGGATGTTTTCCCTGATGTGTACCAAGGATGTCAGTACTGAAAGCCGAATCTATTGCCGGGATGCCCAGAACATGATTTGATGGAGTGATTGTGCTTGGCATGGCCTGCTTCCTCCTTGACGGGTAAAGGAAGCTTTGACGCCTTATACGTCGCTCGATATAATGCCAATGGAACTTCTAAACTTCCTACCGTAGAGCACTCAATCAATTGGTGATTTCTCTTATGACATTGCTCCAATATCGTCGCTAAGTTATAGCTCGCTAATCAAGCTGATCTCCAGATCGGAGTCGTATCATCTAATGAAACACGGCGTCAACAAACGTCAACAAAGGTTAAATTTTAAACTCACGACGCTTCATCCCGTCGGGTCAATCCGGCTCAACATACTTGACCCGAAGTAAGTTGGGCTGTTCGGATCATATGCACGATCCATGCATGCCGCATTCTGGCTAAAGTCCACGATGCCCTTTAACCTCGGGTCGTCTCCATGATTGGTAAAAGATCGACGTGCGTCTTATTCCCTGAGGAATATATTCCCTATTAAGGTTGCTCATGTTCATGTTGGGCAGTTTAGGCTAAAGTGGCTAAGTTGGTGGGAGGATATGAGTGCCGTAATATAGGGATAACGTGTTTCATATGTAGTGCTTAGATTAGCGAGGGTAATACTCCACTTTCTGGAAGGCGGTCTATGGTGATGGTGAATGGATAAAGGACTTGATGTCATGCGTTTAAATGAGATTGTTGCTGATGAGTCAATGCACGAGAATGAATAAGGCTGAATAGACGATTGGCTTGATTGACAGGATACCAGGTCAAGAAGGAGATTTGAAACTTGCGATTATTGCAGGATCTTATGTTTGATGACCCAATTGTCAAGTCAGTGAATGTTAGTGCCATGCTACCATGTATCTCCGTATGGGGTTCTACGCATAATTACATAGCCTGATAAGGTCAGTCTCCAACTTCATCCTTCTAAATGGAGTTGCGATATAACCTCGAGATGTCTAGAGTTATGGCTGGGCCATCTGAATGTCATCGCCGGGTAAATATGGATAAGGTGGAATAGAGCATATGCTACACTGGGATCATACCACTTTGCTGGCAAGGGCACAAATGTCTCTGAGCAGCTAAACATGTTACGATGTACCCTAAGATAGAGTTGCATTCTCCGTTGATTATAGTCTGTCGGGACCCGAAATGTTACGTTGACCTCGGTACTGATATTAAAGCATCGGGACGCTGGAGAACTTACCCCTTCTGCGGTACCACAAATTTATCAATCGTTTAAGGTATGAGAATAACCAGATATCTAAATGCAACTACTGTGAGACGACTTTACTCATCCATGTTATGACCTTTGCGCCCGTTCTTCAATAGGTGGCGGATGGTCCAGGCAGATCCTAGACCGCGGGAGCATGACATCCAAGAAAGGGTAGCTTTCGCTGGCCCTGTAGATTTCGCAGGAGCCATGTACCTCTACGCATGCCATACAACGGAAGCGACAACTATAATCGGCCGGATTTCAGTACCATTATCATCTGAGTTAGCTATTGATGCCATGGAATTGACTAACAGTCAGATACTATAACTTCAAATAGTGCAAGTAAAGTAAGAAGCAGATAATGTCTCTTGACCAAGTAGTAAGGAAGGTCTGGGAGAAAGCCGGAAGGCCGGAGAAAAGATCCCTCCGCTTGCAACTAGCACATAACCAACTCCAAGTACAGTCAAATATCTGAGCAGCTAGATCTACGCGCGACACCATTTCTGCCACTGGCAACCTCCTCCGACATAGTAGCAATGAGGACAGGCTCGATCCGAGCAATGGCCGATGTACCCACAAAACTGGAAGCAGCGCGAGCTCGCACGAGCTTCAAACTGAGGTTCCTCTCCCCTCGGGCAGGCATTCCTGTCCTCCAGCGCCCCATCCCCAGTCGATCGGTGCAGATATTGCTGCTGTAACTCTTTCTCCTGTTCGAAGTAGGCATCGGCGTCGGGGCTCGGCTTGAACTCTTCAGATCGGACGATCTGGTTGAGACATTGATTAGCAGTGAATCTGATCGACATGTGACGCCATATTACCTGCTCAGATGGATGCTCATGAATATCAAGCTTGACAACTTGATTCTCGGGGTAAAAGTTGAGAATGTGGTTATCGGCAACAGTCTTCATGACTTCATCGTAACGATCGAGATCTTCAACATGGATTGCGTCTCTAGCAACGAGTAGCGACATTGCTCCAATCGAGAAGACAGCGATGTTGATGATAAAGGACAAGGGCAACATGAGGTTCAAGTTTAATAGTGTGTATTTACTTTGAAGCTTGGAAAGAGTAAGGAGGATATCAATCTCAAGCTCGAGTCGTTGAGCCTGTGCTTTATGTAGTTTCTGTTCTTGTCAGTTTCTCTGAATCTGTCATGTCACGACAGAGCCTCGACTTCAGGTCAAAGAGACTTCGACCAACGCAACGTTGTTTACAGCTGAAACCTGCAGGCGAGGGCTGATTTTGCCCCATATATTCTCCTTTTTGACCAATATTAGAAATAGCGCATGCATCAAAGAAGTCCTCATGCTTCCGTACTCTGCCGGGAAATGGTCATATAGGCACTCTTCTGGTTAAGCTTTCAGCACTACCTGGTGGAGTTTAGCTAGAATGAGCTCAATATAGGGAGAGTGTAACTTTGAGAAGAGGTCTGAGCCATAGCGGTCGTATGACTTCTTATGTAAAGTTCTGTTGGCTGTCGAGAAGATAATTCTTAGAGTTTACGAGGGTGGTTTCCGATTGGCTGGAACAGGTCACTTTGTTGGTTGGTTAGCTCTTGAAGAGGGTATTTCGGCGAGAGCGAGACAGATCTAAGACTGATTGATAAGATCAATGGTCTGACTTTCCGCTATCGTCCGTGAGTGGAAGGAACTTTTGATTCCTGAGGTGCACGAGTGTTGGCTGGGTCCTCAACTAAAATCTAATGAGCTTCACCAGTACCCTGGCGAGCAAAATCGTGGCATCGCACTGGAAATAGCAACTCGTCAACATTTATCTAGGGAAACATGAGAGCGGCACATTTCAAAGTAATTGAGTGCTGTGTTATGTGTCAAGGCTTTAGCATCTCAAGCATGTCCTTAACTCTCTAACAAATCTCAATTGACAAAGTTCCATTTTCATCCCGGCGTCCATCCTAGATTAAGGATAAGAATTAACAATCCAAAACCATAAGAAAGGGAAATAATTATATTATTAATTAAAGAGATCTAGCTTCTTGATTTATATTATTTAAATACTGATTATCATCAGTGAATCATCTTTAGATTCTGCCAAAATGGTAAACATATCGCAATATCTAGGGTATGCTAAGATAAGATAAGATAAGACCATGACGTCGTTGTGCGGATAACGCGGCATCTCGTCAAGTCAACAATTCCTGCTCGATCAGGAAGACGCGTCTCCCCAATTTCCCTCTTCAAAAGCACGGCTTTTACCAGTCTCGCAATGTCGTCAACGGGCATTGAACATGTGAACAGCTCGCTGGAAGAACAGCCCCTTCTGCGACGGGGCAAGAGAAGACTTCCGTCCTTGAATGTCCAGCATTGGCATTCTCATCCTTTTAGAGGTGATCAATGGAGTGTGAGAAGTACGAAAGAAAAGACTGCGCAGTTCCTCTCATCGAAAGCTGGGCATTATTCTGTTCTGACGCTGGTGTCGCTTGACGTTCTTAGCATGATCGCTGGTAAGTTGATCAGGTGAATCAATTGAGTGATAGACTGATAGCAGCAGACTTCATTCTCAATCTGTTCAAATGTGAGCAAGGCAAGAAGGGCTCAGACTGGGACCTGGCACTGGAGATACTCGGCTCTGTCAGTCTAGTGTTCTCATGCCTATTCGTCGTCGAACTCATTGCCTCTGTCTGGGCATTCGGCTGGAAGTCAGTCCTGTCCCCATCTCACTCAAACCTCATAATTGACATCCCTAGATACTTCAACTCTTGGTTCCATTGCTTCGACGCCTTCATCGTCATCGCAGGCTTCATCACAGATGTCGCACTCCGCGGTATCATCGAGGAGGTCGCTTCTCTAATTGTCGTCATGCGGCTTTGGCGAGTGGTCAAGATTATAGAAGAACTTGGTGTTGGAGCTCAAGAGCAGACGGAAGAGTTGAACGTCAAGCTGGAGAAATGTGAGAGCGAGAATGAAGATTTGAGAAGTGAGATCTCAAGGTTGAAAGGAGCGATGAGGAAGGCGGGTCTGGACCAGGATATTGGAGGTAGTATGAACTGAGATCGAGGCCTTCAGCGAGAGAGGTTACGGTTTTGGAAGCCAGTAGAAACACGTAAGGGTAGATGCGAAGGGGTTACCTGCAGACGGTGACAGTTCTGTTGGGAAGCTTTCCTAGCGAGGAGATAAAGAAAGCAGGCATGGCTGTATTCTGAAATCACCTAGAAAGATGAGATAATAAGAGATTCGCTGTAGCGTCCCGGCGTCTAGAACCTTTTCCTTATTTCCTCCGATCCGGAAACCATGCATCGTGAGGTGGAGCTCCCCCGCCAAAGTGATCAGCATGTCCACTTCAGGCAATTTTCTCCGCTGGGGGGAAGATATTTGACCTGTTGAAAGATGCACCATCAAATTAGCTATTGTGTCGCCATCCAACTCATTGATCTTGAATTGCTTGGAAAGAGTGCCCTAATTGAAGTCTGGGGTAATGCTGTAGTCAGGTGGGTCTCGCCGTTTCATGCATACCCGTCTTAGATATGAACGCTTCACATCATTAGAGATAGATCATTAGCTTACGATAAGCCAGCGTAACGTTGAACGGGTTTGTGAATTAGCAAGAACTAAGACATGACTGCATTGCCTAGATATCCGTGATACGGAAATCCCGCACCATAACTGCCCGGCCATCGTTGGCTGGCCACTCGGGAATCTTGGTATTCTCCGGATATGCAGTGAGAATAATGAGCTTATGTCAGAACGCAAGACGCGTTCAAGTGTGATAGGAGGAATAATTTCATAAGGCCAGTGACTACGCTAAACCGTCCACACTCACCGGTTTTGATCCTACAGTAAGCACAAGAGTTACAAAACAGTGTTGCCGCATAATCATGATCCTAAGCTTCTAAGAATCTTTCCTACACAATGATATAGCTTGCAAGTATCCGGTGCGTGATATTCTACCTGAAATATATCTGAATGCGCTCTGGGTTGCTATACTTCTTCCCGTATTCTGGTAATTTAACAAGTTGGCCAAGTTTCTCAGCTTATTTACAAATCTTGAACCCCAAAACCCTCGACGTACTCTTGGAAGACCAGGATATTAGAGTGACTAGCCGCCAGAATGACTCCTGAAGAAATCCAGAGCTACCTCCGAGGTCTCGTTGCCCCTCTGCGTAATGACATACCCACGCCTCTCCTCCATCGACCCAGCGAGGCCGGCCTTGAATACCAGGATGTCTTCTTTCCAAGCGAAGATGGCATTCCCCTTGAAGCCTGGTATATCCCAAGAGCTGGCTCAAACAAGCTCATTATCGTTAATCACCCACTTCGCTGCAACCGGGCCGGATTCCCCGCTCATCTCGAGCCCTGGAAGTCCTTCCTCGGCGGCTCCATGACGGGCAATGATTTCGAACTTAATTTCATTCCCGATTTGCAGATATTGCACGACGCTGGCTACAATGTACTCGCTTATGATATGCGCAATTTTGGCAACAGCGGACAGGCCAACGGTGGCATTTCCGGCACTGGGCACTTCGAGTCTAGGGACGTGGTTGGCTCGTTGAACTATGTCCGCAGCCGAGAGGATACCAAAGACATGACTGTTGGCCTGTTCAGTCGTTGTCTGGGCGGTATAGCGACCTTTATCGCGATTCACCGTCGGCCAGAAGTATTCAAGCATGTCCGCTGTTTGCTCGTACCCGAACCACTCTCGTATCGGCCTTTTGTTGAAAGGGCTCTCGAGATGGCTAGTCTTGACGACCGCTTCGACGAAGTGAACAGATTGGTCAAGATTGAATCAAGTTTCGACATTGATGAGCTATCTCCTATTCCGATCATGGAGAGTGTCCGTGTTCCAACTTTCATTTACTCTGTGCGCAACGATATTCTGACAAAGGAGAGCGATGTACAAACCATGTATGACAGAATCCCTGTTGAAGATAAGCGGCTGCATTGGGTTGACGGGGCAATAAGGATGAAGGGGTACACGCATTTTCAAGAGAACCCTCAGATGTTTATTGAGTGGTTGGGTCAACACATGACATGATTCTTTGGGATCATGTGAGGGTGGTGTGCGAGGAAGGACACGGGTAACTACACGGAGTGGATTCTATGTAATATCTATACGCCAAGATCCCATGGAACAAGCAGTATAGTTCGCCTGGCCCAAGAAGCTGTTGTGTGTTTATCCGTTCAGTTTCTTGACCGACAATGAATCTCAACTTGATAAATACCTGACCTGCTGGAGCCGTGGTGATGTTGATGAAGGTCTATAGGTGCAAAGTAACAAAGGGCTCAATGTTTTCTTCCCTGCGTCAAGGAATTGCCCAAAGATAGCTCCTCCGGCTTCGTTGGAGTTACGCATAGATTATAGACATACTTGTTTATGTGTCTTGACCTTTGCTGACCCACTATAGTTATGTCCATTTAAGGCAATTCTCCCCGGCGGGGCAAATATACTCTTTTAGGAACCTTTTACTCAACGGGCAGAAGGCCGATTTAAATTTATACGCAATTACGCAATTATCGCAATTCTCTTTCTTTATCTTCTCATTTTACTCTTTATTCCTGTCTCCAGACGTTAAAATGGTTGTCATCAAACGATTCCGAACAGTCTGGGGCGTCGAGTCCGGAAAGGACTTTGAGAATTGGATCCCATGGTTTCCTGATCTCAAGAAGCAAGGTTACGGTGAGTTTTACGCGTGGAACATGGTGTATACAGATACTAACTCGATGCAGCCGGTATCGAAGTCGATATCACAGATCGTGATGTCGACAACCTCCAGCAATTGCGAAGGATCTTGGATGATGTCGGCCTAGAAGCCACTGTGCTGTAAGTTATTCTTTGTAGGTCTGGTACGAAAGCTGATTTCGGAAGACTACATACCGCATGGGCGGGCTACGTTGGCGGTCGTCCTAGGAATCTGACGCCGGATATTCACCTCGAGATTTATCGTCAGAACCTCGAGCGAGCAAAGATCTTGAAGCCTGTGAAGATCAACGCACAATCTGGAGGGTAGGTTCAATCATCCATTTGGCTGCATCTGAGGCTTACGATAGAAGCGACTACTGGAGTCTTGACGAATCAGTTTACTTCTACGAGAAGACCCTTGGCATCGACATGGAGCTGGGCCTCACAGGTCTCGTCAGCCACGAAACTCATCGCAACAGGTCTTTGTTCACGCCGTATGCTGCCAAGTATATCTTACCAAAAGTTCCAGAGTAAGTGCATGCGACATGATCTTCGAGGCAGAACGCTGACCAGGCATAAGGCTTCGGGTGACAGCGGATGTCTCTCACTGGGTGGTCGTTTGCGAAAGACTCCTAGACCTCGGAGAAGAGGATAAAGAGATTCTTGATCTTCTGATCCCAAGAGTACGAAACTTCCTGCTCAATAGCTCTGCACAGGTACTTACATACATCTAGGTCGCTCATATCCATGCCCGTATTGGAACGACCCAGTCCTCTCAGTGCCCTGAGCCAGAAGATGCTGTGTTCAAGGAGGAGCGAGAGTTTTTTGAGAAGCTCTGGCTGCGCATCGTCAAGGCGCGAAGCAAGGATAGCGACCTCATCACTTTTGTACCAGAATACGGGTAGGTAAATTTCATGAAACGAGCTCCGGTCACGTATTGCTGACATTTACAGCCCGTATCCCTATCACCCTTATGGAAGCGTTAGAACTCATGGCCAGGTCGCTGATAGTGAAGGTGCGAGGTTGCAGAAGCTCTTTGAAGAGAGCCTGAAATAGTGAAGGATCACCGAAGATGTAACACAGAGATAAAAGCAGATATCTAGAGTCTATTCACGTTTATCCTGTGGATGTCGGTCCTTTTCTACCATCCACTAGCTCTAACCCATACGTCAACAATCTTAGTTGCATCTCCTTCCGAAGAGTCAACCACAAGATACCATCCATATAATGCGCCAGCAACGCAAGCATGGTTTGGGAAGATGATGACATCCTGTCCAACCTCCAACGGGACTGGGGGCAAAGAGGACGTATCCTCGTCGTCAGCATGTTCCCAAGCTGCAATGGAATGTTCCTGGCTGATCCTGTCAACGATCAATCGTCTTTCGTCCCCAGGAGGGACTTTGTAAGACGACTGACTTATGACACCAAAGCCAGGATACGCAGCACACGGTTCGCGGCCGAGTCCAAGACAACCAACCGCAACCAATGCTTCAGGCTGCGATCTCTCTTTGTCATTGTAGACACTGCAAATTTCAGCGATGATTGAAATAGCAATTTCGTCTTCGAAGGATCCCAGTTCTCTCCTCGAGTTGGTTGAGACTTGTTGCATGTCGAGGATGGAGTATACACCAGCGTGGAGTTCAAGCTTGGTATGAAGCCCACCAGGCTTCCCCGCTGTGACAGTTTGGATGGACTTGCGTAGAGATTCAGCTGCCGGTGATAAGTCCCCTTGTGACGTAACCAGGTTCTCAACTGCTGTTACCTGCGGAGATGCCCCAACGCTGATGATGAGCTCTTTGTCCTTGGAGAAGAGGTGAGCATGCGCGTTCACTGCATCAAGGCAGCCTTGGATCTCTCCCTCAAGGTTCGCCATGGCTTGCTCGGCAGTTGTGTCCTTGTAGCTCAGACTGCTATGCGAGTACAAACCAAGCAGCTCAGCTTCACCGCTAGCTTCAAGGTTCGCAAGTGCTTCGATCAGACCGTTCTTGTTCATAGCTGTTGGCGGTAGTCCTGCACGATGATATCCCGTGTCGACCTTCAAGAACACCCTCGCAGGAAATTTAGCATGTTGCGAGAACGCTTGAACTGACTCAAGCTGCGACGGGTGATCGATAAGAACAGAAATACTTCCTTGTCCCAACTCTGAGCCGAGTGCTGCCAACCTGGAGATTTGCGAGCGGGGTAGAGGAAGGCCGTAAAGGATGTCTAGACGACGACCTGCATCTCTACACTGTTTGAGCAAAGGGAGGAGATGTTCGATCTCCACTATAGTTGACACGATAAGCTTGACATCGCTGCTTCCCTGGCCGATTTGGAGACGTGTTGCTTCTATCGTCTGAAATCTATTAGCGCAAGCGTTGACATACATTCGACGGAACAGACCTTATGAGTCTTGACGTGGGCTCGAAATCCAAGACCAAGAGTATCAACAGCCTTAAGCATTGACTGGCAATGGCGGTCGACCCTAGCTCTGTCTAGTATGACTGCGGGCTTGGGAACATCGTGGATACTTTTGCCAACGTAAAATTGGCGCAACTCGTCGATTGGAGGGGTTTGTCGTTGAGGGATAGTCATTCTAGAAGGCTAAAAGGAATATTGAGATAAATAAGAAGTTAAGAGTTCCTGAGAGGAGATGACTGAAGAAATACTGACGAGTTGAGGCTCACGGACTTGTTTTATGTCAGCAAAGTTGTCAGAGGGCGCGGCGGACTTGAAAATGTCCGTAAGCGGAGAAGTGACGCTATTCCCGGGTCGTCAGTTTCAGGTTTGGCCAATCAACGATGATGGGGTTTTGACGGATTCAAGGTCAGGCACTATTCGATTATGTATTGGGAAATTGTGTGAACATTGCTCTATTCTTGTCAGATTGTTGATAGGACCGGTTAATGATGATAAATATAATCCATTCCGCTTTGTAATCCATCGGGAGGTACAGCCTACTAGAGCAGCTCACCTTAATTAACCCAGATATATTCATCATGACATCACATATAATGGTTACTTCTTGAAGTTTGAACAATCAAGCTCGCGTAGGTATAAAGCCTTCAACTCAGACCAAGGAAAGCCATTGGCGTTGAGGATCATTGTAACCTTGAAGTGCTTGCTACCCTATCATTAGTTGGTTTCAGCCATTATCTTTCAGCTTTTGAAGTACTCGCTGGGCATTGCATTCAATATTGAGCAGATACAGAGGTTGGAGTGACTACAGATCACTGGGCCAGTCAACTGCGATTCAACGTGCCGCTCAATTGCTGATTGGCTTACAGTATCATACGTGGCAAGAGGCGCTACAGATCATAGGATCCGTGCGTAACTGTCTGGCCTGCAGCTCTCACCGAACTGTGATACGTCAGTGATCAAAGCTGCCAATTATATCCCCCCCCAGTTAAGCGCTCATTCCCGAGCGGGGTAGCGCGATGCTTTGAAAGCATAGGCACCCGGTATCAGCTGATTCCTTGGTTGAAAATATGTGCTCTCTAACTTAATCCTGGCATCCAAATGTTGACTTCTTGTTTGATATCATTCCGACTGTGAAGCAACTCCATATTAAAATATTACTTAATTTTACTCCTCAACGCTTTCAATGAGTTCAGGCTCTGTTTCCCAATGGCTGACAGAAGCCGAAAACAGTTCACGGTTGACTGAAACTGATTACTCGGCCCAGCTGATGGAGTATGCCAAGAAGCGTCACCCCGGAACACTTAACAACTTATTTGAATCGACCGAGTACAACAAATGGCTAAGATCGAGTCCGCAGTCGCTTCTGTTGTATTCTCAGCCTGGGGCTGGTAAGTCGGTCGCAGTGGCATGCCTGATACAAGACTTGTTCCGTCCATTTGGCCGGGGCGAGCCAGATGACAACTCCATCAAGCATGATTCACAGAAAGTCGGTAGTATTGCCTATATATTTTTCGACTCACTGCGAAGGGACGAACAAGGTTACGATAATATAGCTGTCTGTATCGCGAAGCAGCTCGCGTCAAGCCGATTGCCGTCAGAAAAGCCAAACGTACCACCATGGAAAGAAGAGGAAAATGAGTATTTTCTCAGGCCCACTGAGCTGGCCGTTTCCCGCTACCTAAAACAACAGATTGTGTGTCACGCAAAGCAGTCGACCGTTTTTATCATCCTTGAAGGGCTGGATGAGTGCCCTGAAACTTCTCGTGTGCCATTACTCGCCCTCCTGGCCGCGATACAGGGGGAATATGGCGGCCTGAACGTGCTATTGACGTGGCGAAAGAATTGGGCTCCTGCCTGTGACATAGGATTGATGTTGCAGAATACCAGGACGCTTGAGATATGTCCTAGCCAGCAGGAGATGGAACTGTACTTGACTGATAACCTCCCGCTAGAGCTTGAGAGTAGGAAGAGTATCATTGACAAAACCATCGCGGTGGTCAATGGACGGTATGTTTTGTTGACTGTCCTATCTATGGAGCGCTTTTGATCAATACTGATATAAATCACTAGGTATTTATTTGCCAAACTATACGTTGAACTTATCCAATGGACCGCACCGCCTCATCAACTCGATCTCATGTCCCCAGCGTCAATTCGCCCGGCGACCTATGATGAACTATGCCGTAGCATCATGGATAAGATCTCCTCGCAGTCGACCCACCAGGCACAACTGGCGAAGCTCTGTCTCCCATGGCTTACATTTGCTAAGCGGCCCTTGTCCGTACTGAAGTTACAAGACGCGTTGACAGTCCCCATTGAAGGAAATGCTGACTCGAACTTTGACGACTGCCCCATAGATATTACAGCTATCATCACCTCTTGTGGTGGACTTACTCGCTTGGACTCTATTAATGGAACTTTATGCATCCGGCTGTACGATCGGACTATCCAAGACTACTTCCATCGGCATCTCTCTGACGCTGAGGGTGATGTCGGAAAAGCTTGCATCAAATACCTTATCAACAGATCCCTTGACGGCGCTTGCCGGACAAACAAGGAACTTGTGGAGCGGCTTCGATCAAACCCATTTTATGAGTACGCTGCGAGCCACTGGGGGCAACACATACAATACGTCAAGGGTCCTCCTCTGTCTGACATGACGATCCGCGAATTCTTTAGCAGCAGGACAAAATGGGAGGGAGTCTTGCAGACTGAATTATCTGTAGCAGAGATACGGCGCGAGGGTCCCAAAGAATTTTGCGAATATGGGCGTCTATACTATCCCGTGAGATCAGAAACAATACACCTTGCGACACGTGCTGGGGCGGCTGGGATTGTTGCTGCGTTGCTTGCACAAGATAGCAGGCCCTCGTTTCTAAAACTCTCGCGATTATCATGGTCAGACGGCACTCTCATGTGCGGCACAGGCCGGGAATAGTGAGATTCTGGAGATACTTCTGTCACATATAGCTTCGGATATTGACAGGAGGGACTATCAAGGACGGACCCCGATATCCCATGCAGCAGACAATGGCCACGCATTTGCCGTATCCCGGCTCCTAGAACATCATGCGAATCCCAACTTGAGGGACTGTGATGGGTGTTTCCCATTGTGGTATGCAGTGAAATTTGGCCACACGAATGCAGTCAGAGTACTACTGGACTGTAAAGACCTTTGTGGATTGAACTGGAGTCCATACGAGTACGCCAGGTACAGAACAAAAGCCACACCCCTCGTCTGTGCATTGAAGAATGGATTCAGGGATATTGCCGAGATGTTGGCAGAGGTGGATGATTTTGATCCTCACGCCCCGGCTGGGCTCAGTGGTCTTACGGTTCTTGGCTTTACTATCGAAACGGGTCATGAAGACATCGCTCTCAGACTCCTCGCCAAGTACGGCATCAGCTCAAAGTCTGATCAGCAAGAGCCTGGCGCTGAGCTGCTGGTTGCCGCAGCGTTAATTGGGAGCACAGAGCTTGTCAATGCTCTGCTAGAAAAGCACAGGGTTAACCCAAATGGGACACATCCATGCCGCCCTGGTTCTGAGTTTGAATCCTTCCCTGGTTCCGAGCTTGAATCCATCCCTGATTCCAAGTTTGATGGACTCACGCCACTCATTGCAGAAGCAAAGAATGGTCACGATATCATTGTCAAACTATTATTGCGGCACAAGTCCATTCGGCCTGACATGTTAAAAGACGGCACTACAGCGCTCTCTGAAGCAGCCAGGCATGGGAATGTCGGCGTTGTCAACATGTTGCTCGCGGACGGAAGGATAGATGTCAACCAGCAGGTTGGCTATAAATCTACTCCCCTTTCATTGGCAGCATCCCGGGGTCATGAAGCCGTGGTAGAAGCTCTACTTGCGCAAAAGGAAACTGACCCAAACTGTAAAGACTCCTCTGGGATGTCGACTATCTCCCGAATGTTAGCGCAAGAGTCCATTGAGCAAGATGACATGACGCAGATGTGCAATGCGGCCAGCAGGATCCTGGCTGACCCTCGATTCGACCGAAAGGCTAGGGATGACTGGAATCATACTGTCCTTTACTGTGTGGCTAAACTCGGAGCTACAAGTCTTGTGGAGTTGATCTTGGAAGATCCCAGGGCAGACATGGGCTTTGAAGACGACGTGGCCCCATTGGCCTCGGCTGCTCAGTCAGGTCATGTCGACGTCGTTGAGGCGTTTCTTAAGACGGGCCGTTTTGAGATAAACACCCCTTTTAAGTATTGGTACGGATCTAGTAATATTCCCCTGTTGTCAATAGCCGCAAAGGCTGGGGAGGTGCGTGTGGTTGACATGCTCCTTTCTCAGCCAGGGATAGATGTACAACAAACGGATAATCAAGGACAAACACCGTTGGCTATAGCCGCCTCGCGAGCTGCTACAGCTATCGTCGAGAGGCTCTTGGCAGTCGAAGGAGTGGACCCGAACGCTCGGGATACGAAAGGCCAGACACCATTACATATGGCTGTAGAATGTTCCAACTCTCTTGGGACTGTGGAGGCTTTGCTCCGGGCCGAGTATATCCGACCAGACACTGCAAACGATCAAGGGCGAACACCGCTATCGGTTTTGTGCGGAAGTCCTGATAACATCACATTGAAAGCAGTAAACCTCCTCCTCGCCACCAATGCTGTCAACCCAGACTCGAGGGATCTTACCGGGCGAGGCCCCCTCTCATGGGTTATTGACCAGTCCGGGTACTTGAGACATTATGACGGTGTTACCACCCGAAAGAAGGTGATGCAGCGGCTCCTCCAGTTCCCAGAAGTTGACCCCAACGCCGAAGACTCTGAGGGACTTACACCCCTTTTTCGGGCTATACAGGGCAGTAATGGCAACGAGTTTGTGCGAGTCCTTCTCGAACGGGAAGACCTTGATGTGCAGCAGATGAATCGGGACGGACTGACCCCCCTGTTCGTCGCGACGGAGATAGGGGATGTAGGGGTCATGTCGCTGCTCCGGAAGAGAGGAGCGCAGTATGACGACAGAGATACGCACTCGCATGTCACCGAATCTGAATATCTCTCTGCCGGTGGAGCGCTTGACATGAAGAATTTAAAACTGCCATCTGAGGCTGGCGAGTTAGCTGATTTCCATGCTGAAACACAAGAGGAGAGCTCGTCAAACTTGTCTAGCTATTATTCATCCCCGAAATGGAGGCGGAGAAGAGACCCGGTGGGCGACGAGTTAAGTAGAGACATAATTCTTCCCTTGAACGAACAAAAAGAGCATCTCATCGCGGAAGCTGCTAATGACGAAGATCTGTGTGCAAGATGCGCGACTATAGACCTGGATGATGCTTTTTCGCGCCGGAATACTGACCCTCAAGGGCGAGTCATTGCCCGCCTCGGAAGAATAGACAGGACCTGGAAAATAGGGCAGTGCCCTATGTGTCGGCTCATCTCCATGATGACTTCTGGTTGGAAGGAAAATTGGAAGATCAACTTGGAGGAACGAGAGGATGAGTTTGCCCTAGTCGCATTATCGAGCACAGAATTGTGGCTTTGCCAAAACTTACGCGATTTATGGAAACACTTTATAAGTGAGTGGACAGATACGGTATTGCTTACTGTTCTCCCCGCGTCAATTCCAGGCACAACAGACGACTGGGAGAAATTGAAGGCCCAATCTTTCATCCTTTCGGCAGGTTTCATCGGCCGAGTAGGTTCTAACTGCGAGAACAACACACGCGCCATCACTGTTACTCGGGTGAACGACAGGGTGGATTATGCTGCTGCTAGAGGCTGGATTGCATGCTGTCGTGAGACTCATTCGGAGCGGTGTAACCATCAAAGACTGGCTCGCGTACCACATTTTCGGGTCATTGATTGTCAAACAAGGAGAGTAGTTCTGCAGGGTGAGGAAGTTGACCCATATGTGGCCCTAAGTTATGTATGGGGTCCTCCTCCCGCTGCCAGCTTGAAAGAGACAAGTGGGCGAGAGTCTTGCGGTAGGGAAGCTGACCGTGACGGATTTGAGTTGGGACAGAGCGTTGAAGCGATTGTTGAAGATGCCATGACGATGACGTTAGAGCTCGGATACAGGTACCTGTGGGTTGACAGGTATTGCGTTATTCAACATGGTCACGGCAAGATAAAGCAGGAACAGCTACAGAGCATGGACTCGGTGTACGCGAATGCTGAGGTAACTTTAGTGGCAACTGCTGCACAGGCCTCATCATCTGGTCTCCCTGGCGTCAGCGATCGGCTCCCCAGAGTGCCACAGCATTCGGTACGGATCAAAGGTCACGTTCTAACTGTGATCCCACCAGAACCCAACCGCCAAATTGAATCTTCGGCATGGATGACGCGAGGATGGACATACCAGGAAGGACTACTCTCTCGCCGCCGCATCTTCTTCTCGGAGACAGAGATGTCGTTTGAATGCGGGAATCTGGTAGCCCGTGAGGCTCTCCGCATCCCTCCAAGGGTCGAAAGGCTGGTGAGCGATCTGCAAAGCCGTATAATGAGCGATCTGCAAAGCCCTTTAACGCGCGGTCCGGAAGACTCTCTACTGGTGACCTCGTGGATCTATGGGGAGTCAGTTAGAATATCCTCTGACGAAGGGGGCACTGACTTATTCGGACGACTGGCGGAGTACACAGAACGGAAACTATCATATCAGTCGGACGCCCTAAATGCTATGCTAGGCATTCTCCAGGTATATGCTACCCACGAGCCGAAGCCAATTTATCACGTCTGTGGCGTGCCAATCTTCATTTACGATTCAGAAAATAAGCTCGGCAGTCTTTCAGCGACTAGGGATGACGGATCCGACTATGCAAGAGTTGCCCTTGCGGGCTTTGTCAGTGGTCTATGCTGGAGACTGCAGGATCCTGGCATGCGTCGCTCGGAATTTCCCAGCTGGTCTTGGACAGGGTGGGATGGCCAGGTTGCCAGTGAAAACGCCCATCGGTACAGAGTGTCTTTTGATGATGGTTTTGACGTGGACCTTTCCGTAGTAGAAGAGGGCGGAACGTCCGTTGTGCCCTGGGAGAAGTATTATCATCAGTTGAGAACTGCTGTGAGAAACGAAAGTCGGTCAGGATTCATCTTCTCTCAGCACCATAAGCTTGATATCACGGCGAACACGGTAAAGGTTCAATTTTATGAGAAACACGACCGTTGGACGAATGGCTTAGAGTGGGAAGGCACTGTGTGTATTGGGAATGAGATTTGGACAGGGAGCTTATCGCTCGACCAACAAGACAACACGTGTGTATCTGGAACGAATAATGCGGAGGGGGGCCCAAGTCTACGAGAAAGGCTGCTTGAGGAAACTTGGCTGGGCATTGTGCTAGCTCAGAGAGATCGAGGGAGACGTCCTTATGGGACTAAAGTGATTGTGTTGCAACAAGTCATGTCAGAGGTTGAAGGGATTACAGAGTGGACGAGAATTGGCACTTTAGAATTTTCAGTTATAGAGACAAGGATTAAAAGCAGCATGTTAGAGAGAAGGACTTTAAGGATTGTGTAAGTAAGGCAGATAAGATAAACATATTCCTTTCAGAATCAGGAATGAAATGGGCAGCAAGGCAATTCAGATAATAAATTATAGGTTCACCAAACACTCAACAAAGTCATCCAGGCTAAATGATTGTCGCTCGCAATGGCTACAGCGACATTCAGGCAACTATCGACCAATTAAGCGAAAAATAAGCTGTTAGCATAGGAGTGGCTCGTCGCCCATATACTGCCTTGTAGAGTCTGTGCTTCCAAGATAATGCCTCGCAGAAACCGTAGTTCTACGTCCTTCATCGTGTCTCTCACATATAGAGGCTATGCTAGGTTGGTATCCAGCCCGCTGAGTATTGGGCCAGCCCGATTCAAGCGCCATATTAGGCAAACAGGACATTTCTTACAATAGAGTTGATTCACAGCACATGTTAATGTAGCAGCCATGAGCAATTATCTGGAATGCAACGCAGCACTCACTGATTGGCCGACCTGTAGTATCTTACCTAACTGGGCTTAGCTTTGCTGAGACGCCGATGTTTTCGTTCCGAAGAACGCTTTTGTCTGTGCTTCTAAAACAGAATATTGTATAGAATATGTTATGGAGTGATTAGCATTGCCACTTCACAGCCTTCCTTTGGCTGTTTGTTGTATCGCCGTATTTCATAAGTGGAGGCTGAGCCACGCAGGATGCACCATGCTTTGGAAATTCCAGTCAGCCTTGTCTGACACAGCCGCACCATTTTGCGTCAAATCCCCCTCATCTCCCTGACCTTTAACGTTCGCAGCCGTGAGCCATCCCCATCACCCATCGCAGGTTTGTCGCAATTGACCAGCAAGAGCACAGTTGCAAAAAACATGACTTTCTGGTGCTATCGGCCAGCGAGGCGTTTATGCGGACCTGTCTTACCTGCGGATTGGTCGAGGACTTCCAGCCATCACAACAAAAGCAACATGTAGATCCGTGGGAAGGCTGGCTTATAGCTGAAATCCAGCCGCTGTCATGGCCCCCTTGTGTTCAATACTCTGAGTCTATCGAAGCGACCCCTATATCGACAGCGAGAGTCTTTAGCCACCGTCCGAACGTGCAGACCTCGTTCCAGAACGAAGCTCAAAGAGAGGTATGACTGTCTTCGCCGTCATGTATAAGCAGCATGCTAAGTCATTCGAATAGAGAGACCCTTACGTCTACTCTGATCTACCCAAGGGTTCCTGTATTCGACTACTGGAACTATCGCCCGGCAACAGACCCGAGATACTCAGCGGCCGCCTTTTCGAGGTTTGGTGGGAGCAGGAAACATGTCCACCGTACTCTGCCCTGTCCTATACTTGGGCAGATGAAAGTGGTGACACATCAAATTCAAATCTCATATTCCTCGACAAAGAGCAGAAGGTTCTACGTATCACTGGTAACTGTGATCGCGCTTTGAGAAGCCTTCGCCACAAGACCAATTCAAAACTACTATGGGTCGATTCCATCTGTATCAACCAGTTATCTCCCTCCGAAAGGTCTCACCAGGTCGGATTGATGAAAACCATATACTCCAAAGCAACTACTGTTCACTCTTATGTTGGAGAAGCAGTGTGGGGAGCCGACTCGACAGGAATCGAAGCTTTGACTTTGTTAAATAACCTTCAAGTAAATGGCATTTCTGGCTGGTTGTCTCCTGGCAAGACAAGCAACGTCTCCATCCTCAACAAATTCTTCGCAAGGTCCTACTTCGCTCGGTTATGGATCGTTCAAGAGCTTCTTCTTGCTCAATCAATTACTATCCATTGTGGAGAGGTCTCACTCGAGGTTACCAACGAGTCCATCTCGCAGCTATATGAACAAGGTGTCAAAGTTCCTTCGTGGGTTCGATTTGCTGGAAAGACCAGGTCGCACACAGAGCAAGCCCCTTTGGACCTGAGAGGTCTCCTTGCTGCAACCAGTGTCTGTCGTGTCACAGACATGCGTGACAAAATATTCGGGTTGCTAGGTCTTGTTAGCGACGTTCAGGCTTCAGAACTCAGTCCTGACTACGAACTGATGGTCCGAGACGTTTACATCGGCGTCGCTGCGTACCTTATGCAAAAGAGCCATTGTTGCGATCTCATTCAGCATGCCAACCCCTACTGGGTTGAGAAATGGGTTGGAAAAGACCACAAAGATTGCAAAAACGACTATGGAATTCCCTCTTGGGTCCCTCTTTGGGATACAGATATACCGCTGCAAACTTCCCAAGACATCCTCATACATATTGAAGAGTTGCACCGCGAGAGCCTTCTTGGGGAGAAAGTAAATTTCGATCATTGCACAATACACAGCATCGAAGGCTGGCCTCACGACAAGAACTCTGAGTGCGAAAGAGGAGTAAAATGCTGTAAAACGGTGGACTCAAAATCGGGTTTTCTCACAACCAGGATGGAGACGGTATTACGGCTCGACTCGCTATTTGAAATTTTTACCAGTGTTCCCTGGGAGTTTTACGAAATCGAAGACGGCGAATATTTCACATCCTTCTGGGATCTGGAGGATGGTCTCCAACTTGCCATTAGGAGTCTTGGATTGGCATGGAAGTGTGCGATTTCCCACAAAGATGTTCATCTGATTCGGATCGAGGGGTGCAGTACTTTGTTCTTGGCACACCAGACTTCCGGGAGCCGAAACTATCGCCTGATCACCTCGTGTGTTGCAGCTATAGTCTGCCAAACACGGGAGTCTAGCCCCACCGAGATGCTCAACCCCAATGACCTGCATCACTACCTACAACTCAAGCCTCTTACAGTCGAAATGATTCATTTCATATCAAAGTGGAGGAATCAAGTACTTGAGCTTGCGAGATCAAACCCTGAAGACAGAGAAGACATTTCGCCAATCGAGGACCAAAGTTGCCACTATGTGTCCGGAGACAAACCAGTCACATCCCATCCAAGTTGGAGAAGCTGGATCCCTTTCGTAACCTTGGAAACCAGGGAAATACTGGAAGATAATTTGGAGCTACAGAAGCAACTTCCAAATCTAGTTGACTTCTGGCACGAGGCTCATGTATTGCATACCTCGGTTCGAGGGTGGAACAAGAGTGCCTTCCAGGTGTCATACCAATGTATCGTGTTGAATGAATCTTCCCGCGATAAGAAGAGGATTCTGAAAGACCTCCTTGAGAAGTCCCATGCGTTGATGGTAGCGTTTGAGACGATCACGGGTAACACGCCCATCCTCCAGACCCTGGACCCCCTTCGGCTGCTCCTCGATCTTTTAGCCGACCCCGAGGTGAAATGGCCTAGAAGTCAGCTATTCGTTGATCCACGTGGATTAGACGATCGTCTCCTTGTTGCTCTGGATAAAGATCGGGTGTTCTTAGATCAAGCTTTCCCACTGGACCTACATGTTATATCTTCTGAGTATAATAGCATTAAGGAAACGATAGAATGGAAGCAATTACTGGCTGGGATTATAAGGGGAAATACAGAGGTAGAGGATATTATTTTTATTTAAATAATAAGCATTTATATTTATAATTTTCTATAAAAAGGCATGCATTCTCTGTGATGAACTGATAAGTAGTAGTTATTTTAGCAAAAGAGTATCAATTTGTAGAGAGTATATAAAATCCTTTTTATTAGCAGGTAGGTCTTAACTGTGAATCAGGAGGGTCTATATCGGTCAGTATCGATCAGAAGACAGGGCTGAGGTTATATCAGTAAGCGAGATCTAAGTTCGCCTCTCGACCTCTTGTAAGTTTTAAGCGACAAGGTCTCAAAGGACTTATCAATTAGCTTCTATACACATCGAGAGATTAATAGTTGGGATACTGTATTGAGCATTCGAAAACTCGGCTCTCGACGATCGTGCTGGTTCAGCCTTACCCGCCGGATCTCAACATCCCCTTTGTAAGATCAGCACTAACTCGCCAAGTGGGGGGTAAATCCTCGTAACTTCGGATAGCGTTTGCTGACAACTTACGCATAAGAGTCCGAGACGAGCTACTAACGAATGAGATTGCTCGATGCCTCACTGACGACTCCGTAATCTAGCGGAACGAATTCATCTTGGCGATAAAACCACTTCTGACATTAGGGATGAATCTGAGAACAGGGCATAGGGGCTTTGGGGGCTAGTGAACACCAGTTCTTGGTGATTTCACTGGCGTCCGAGACCAAGGGATCGGTCTTACCTGGGTCCACCTCGCGATGCTGACCGTCGTAGCAAAAGGCTCAAATACCCGAAGAACGGTGACTTTAAGCGGCATAAGGGCACGGCTTAGCATAAGCAAACCGCCAAGGCAGCTTATCCTCCGTCACAATTCCCGCGGCCCCCAGTAATAAGCCTTTCCCAACCCTCTGTTATCACCTGGCACGTCTAAATGGCCGGATATGTTCAAGTAGCATATTAATTGTTGAACTGTTATGCAGCCAAAAAAGGTCTATCCGAAGAAAACCCAAGCGAGAGACATTTCAAGGCCAATGAGGCAACCTTTGAGATTCTTGCCAAAGACCATTAGCCGATCTAGAGGCAGTCTTCAACATTTGGGGTCCGTTTTCCCACTACGCCTCTCGGGCGACGTCATAAACGGGCTAATTCGATCTCCGTAGCCCTGAATTAGCTATCGACAGCGCTGTGTTGATCCCTTTCCGTACCTTAGCTTGACATCAGTACCATCCCATGTGACGAAGCTCACGGTGATCTTTTCCATTTTGGGTCGTGAGTCGGGCTGTCGGTTGATGATTGTCAGCGAGTTCCGGTATGAATGGGGATCTTAGGTGAGAATTTGATTCCGACACCCGAAGAACAGGGTTGAAGATCCTTTGGTCTTACATGCATCGGATGGGGATGCGAGAACTTGGAAACCGTTGGGCCCAGGCGTATAAGAGAGGCCTGTTCGCCATGTGAATGAGGAGTTGCTTGGTGTTTGGTGAACAAAGCTTCGGAGATCAATCAACATGACTTCAACAAATGGAACCAACGGCAACATGCCGCAGAAGACTCGTGAGGAGAGCAACCATCACATGGAGTCGTCTATCTGGAATGATGTCAAGTTCAGACCCGATGATATCATCATCACGACGTACGCGAAGTCAGGCACAACTGTAAGCGACTTACACATTCCTCTCAGCATGTAGCTAACAGACCGATTAGTGGGTTCAACAGATCGTCTCACAACTGATTCACCAAGGCGACCCAGCCGTTCCAGCAGGCGCTCTCTCACCATGGGTCGATATGCGTATCGTCCCCAAGGAAGCAATGCTAGGACTAATCGAGTCCCAAACGCACCGTCGCTTTCTCAAGACACATCTCCCTCTTGACGCTCTTGTCTGGAACCCCCAAGTCAAGTATATCTTCATCGCGCGCGATGGCCGTGATATGGTTTGGAGTATCCATCATCATATGTATCGCGCTACAGATACTTTCTACAGCTTCTTCGAGAACACAGGTTATGAGGGCCAACCTCCTGTACGACCAAGTGAGAACCCCAAAGACATTTTCGACCAGCTTGTAAATAATGATATGCCAAGTTCCATTGGTTGGCCTTTCTGGAGTCATATTCGTGGGTGGTGGGAGCATCGCGATCAGCCTAACTTACTTCTCGTGCATTTCAATGACCTCAAGGCGGATCTTGAGGGAGGCATTAAGCGGATTGCTAAGTTTCTGGAAATTCCTGATATGCCAGAGGATAAGTTTAAGGATGTCGTTGAGCATTCTACGTTTGATTGGATGAAGGAGCATGCGCATCTTGCGGCGCCCCCTCAGGCTGAGGTTGCTTGGGCGAATGGTGCGAAGGACTTTGTGTACAAGGGAACGAACTCGCGATGGAAGGATGTTCTTTCTGATGAGGATTGCAAGGCGTATGAAGAGAGGGCGAAGAAGGAGCTTGGCGAGGAGTGTGCGAACTGGCTGCAGCATGGAGGTTGGCTGAAGTGAATCATGATTGCAGAAGGTCATGATACGGGGAGGTTCTCAACTCGTCATTTGTTTTTCAAGACATTTAAGGCTCCGTTTTATACGCTCAATACGTAAACATCTGGATATTCATTTTTTTGTATCGCTTAATCGAAACGAGCCATGCTCCTTGTTGGCTAGTCAAGGGCGTGTCTCCGGGTGATATTTGGCCAAACGCGGTTGTTTTCCAAGGACCAAATGTAACAACTAAAGACTGGAGGATTCGAATGACGTACTTACTCCCAGTACTTGTAAGTTCTTTCAATACCCGGTAGTATGTCTCTTGAAATGATCCAGGGAGAGTTAAAAGTGATTCCTTGACTTCCTTTTTGTTAAGGCAGTCTGTCTTCGAAGCGTTCCAGCTAAAGAGCGACTTTATGGGAGTGTATAACCCCCCAGATTTCTTCACTTCTGATATAACTCAAGCATAATCATTAGCCTTTTATATCAGAAGTGAAGAAATCTGGGGGGTTATACACTCCCATATGTCTTGATAGTGAAGCTGTTGTCATCCTGTGTTGATGTGTGACCGTGCCAGTGATAGAAGCTCGGGACTTTGTGACGACATCACGGATATACGTAGAGATGAATCTACTCATGTTTTCTGTCTAGAACGAGATTACACTTTCCCAATTAGCCCAAATCTCAATTGAGTTCTTAACATCAAGTTCAGGGCGGGTTATGACAAGAAGATGGGTGTTGACCGGCTCGTGTCGCTGGGTGGTCCGGTTCTTTTACTCATCCAATTCATCAATAACAATGAAGCCCTTTTCCACAACTGATAGCATTTTTCTAAAGGTGGATTTGAGCTCTACTATAGTTGCTTGACTACTCCAATTGGCGTATTTAGAATGAACTTGGGTATTCGGATAACGAAATTCTGGACGGCTGCGAGTTGATTGAGCAGAGACTCAAGAATATGTTGAAGGTACTGCTTCTGGCTATCGGCGAACTGAAGTACGACACAGTTACAAAGCTGAAGAGGAGAGCCGCTTCATATATTATCGATGGTAATTGACGGTAGACTAGGCTTTCCTGTACTAAAGTTTCCATTCAGCCCTTGCAAGGAATTCTTTGGGGATTTCAAGTTGACACACTGAAGACTGTATAACAATCATCACCCAGTACCTGGCTGGCAGTCCTTGTGAGCCCTGTTTTGATCGACAGATGGATTGGTCGGATTGAGCCATTCCGATACGGTATCGTCGCCAATACCGGAGGGAAGAGATTTCATGTCACGGTTGCTCTCCCTGTACATGTGGCGGATGTCCTCTACCCGGTAAGTCACTATTTCTTCCTATCAGCTTCCAATGATCTTATATCACGTATTGTACAAATGCTCAAATACTCACTCTGTCGAAAGACTGTTTCAGCACGTTCCTCCTTCTGAAGACGGCGCGGAGGTACCTGAAGTAGCAGATCCTTCGCGTAGGCCGCTGCCACCATAGCCGCATACCCCTGCCACTCATCGTTGCTATGCGAATCGGAATAATCACATATCCCCCTGATGACCACACACGGGAAGTGATTCATCAGACCTGCCGCTTCTTTCTCAAAGCATAGGACACTATGCTTTGCTGCAAGCCTATCGCGTAGAAGCGCATCCTTTATTAAAGAATTGCCTGATGCTATCAATCCGTAGTGAATGGCAGGATTGTTTTCATCCTCGCCTCGCTCGTCCCGGTGCACCAGATATTCGTTCACACAGGACTGACTGCAGGCAACGCTCTCGCCTCCTTTATGAACATATTCTGCTTTGTACAACCTGTCGGTGGAAGCTTCTGGTCTTCTGTATTCCCTGCCGAGTCGCTTGTACCTTTGAAGGGCCTTCTCGATGTTGTTGTCAATGTTGTGACCTTCCATCTCATATGTAGCGTGTAGAGCACTCATAGCTGTTAGGAATGCCATGGGCGACTGGTTTAAGTGGCCAGTAATAGCAAATTCCTCGCCTTGGAACGCCCTTCCGTAATCGTACTGAATTACACCACCGTTGTTTGGACCTATAGATCCAACAACGATGTCACCCAGCCGTATATCCTTCTTGCCCGGGACGCCACCACCAATCCCGACCAGAAGTACGACTCGCAGGCTGTAAAACGTCCGAGTCATGTCCCCCAAGACGGCAGCCGCGTTGACGAGTCCATATTGGCCATCCGGCAAAACTGCAATGACAACATTGTGCTTGCCAATACTGCCGAGTGTGTATTTGTTGTCATCATTGATTGCTGCATTGTCAACCTGGCCATGGAGAACATCGAGAAATGCTTTGGCGGCGATGAACTCTTGTCTCAAAGTACAGATCCAACCAATTGTATATTTCTCAGCCTTGAACATGACAGGCTGCTAGATGGCTACGGCGACTGCGCAGGGGATATACTGTTGAGTAGTCGTGTTTAATATCCTATCCTGGAACAACATGCGATGCGGTAACGGTTGGACTGAAAGAAAATGAAATGGCGGAATGATATAATAAGTTACTGGTGGGCTTTGAGCCTCAAGAACCAGGCCACTATGCACGACGGTCTTCTTTTTTACCGCCAGCGTGTAAGGATAGCGCTGGACTTTGCCCAAGCCTGCATATTATGGCATTTGCCGGGCGCTAAATTCAGTAGGCTACCGCATGATACGAGCTCTCAACCAATCACACTTGGCCACATATCTCATTGGCTGGCAATCACTGCAGCTGAAACTCTGGTCCCAATATTGCAAGCATTGTGATAACACCTCTTAAGCAATCACTTGGATGGATTTGCTGCGAATTCTATGGCCTGCTGGTGTCACTGCAGCAAATGTCTCTCATTGGAATGACGAGCGAGTGTGGCAAAGTGGTAAATCACTTTGTGCCTGTGCTTAAGGTCATAACCTGGACCTTGGGGGTCCTCCTGGTATTCATCTGCGGGTTAAAGAAGCATGACCCCATTACCATTCATTAGTCTTCATAATTAGTGATAAGCTAAGCAATGCTGTTCCAGGCTACTGTCTGGCCAGGACCCTAAATACCTAGCCCTGCTGCCAAAGCACAGTCTTGTCTCCAACAATGCTGACCTTATCAATCTCAACGATCTCACTATCCGTAAGCCTCCATCCAAGGGCCTCAATAGCACACTTCGCCTGCTCAACGTTCCTGATACCAACTACTGGTAAGACTCCCTTGCTGATATTATAGTTGAGCGCGACCGCGGCAATACTCTTGCGCCGTCTCTCGGCAACTCTTTCCAAAGTCTCGAGTACAGGTTCAAGATCTTCCATCTTGTAACTGCTGAATCGGCGTGATTTGGGCGGAGGGTTGTCCTTGGTGTACTTGCCAGTCAATCGTCCCTGTGCAAGGGATGAGTACGACTGGAAGATCATGCCGCTGGCCTTGCACTTCTCGATGTTTCCAGTGAGTTCAGGGTAGCGACGAAGGATGTTGTACTCGCACTGGTTTGTCGCGAGGGGAATATTGAACTTTGCGAGCTCATCGTTAATCTTTTGCACGTCTTCAACGCCATAGTTTGCAACGCCAATCGAGTGCGCAAGACCTTGTTCAACACACTGAGCCATACCCTCTGCAATGGAACGGATGCTTTGAGGATGGATGGGTCCATGGACCAGGTAAATGTCGACGTATTCGAGGTTCATCCGCTGAAGACTGGCCTTGAGACTCTTGACGGGCCCATCGACAGGATGAAGGTAGGTGTCGGCCTTAAGAGGAGTGCTGAAATACTTGGTCTGTATGACAATGGTCTCGCGGGGAATATCCTGAATCAATTCGCCGATTATCCTCTCGCTCTCGCCATTGCCGTATGCCTCGGCAGTGTCGATGAAATTGATGTCAGCCTCGAAAAGCGTCTTCCAAGCCATCATGACGTGGGGTAATTCCTTGTCATCCCATTGCCAAGTCGGCTTATCACCCCATGGCCAAGCTCCAATGCAGATAGGAGAAGCCTTTACTGGCTTTTGAGCGCTCGGAAACTCCACGCGAGACCATGGTTCTGGGCAATATGACGTCGGTAAGACGTTGGCACCGGCAGTTTCTGGGTCTGCCCAATTGGGCTTCTTGGATTTGAAGCCTGAGACAGCGGACATGCCTGCTGCGAGGCCAGCTTGTAGTGCTTTGTCCATTGTAAATTAGTCGTAAAGTCTTGGCTTTACGTGGTGAGTATGTGGTGAAGAAACTTGGCAAAAAATACCAAGAGAGATCACGCTACGTTTTTATCATTTCTTCTACTATAGCAGTAGAACATTCTAGCCACTTAGTCCTTGATTGTTTTATGGTGAAACCGCCATATGCACTGTACACTGGTGTCGTGTGGTTACGGTTGGGCAGGGATATTTGGAGTCATGATGACGCCACGCCTAGTCTTTTATGACTTCTTGTCATGGTCATACCGTGGCAGTCTGAAACTGAAACCAGGTACGGCAAACCAGGATACGGCAATTATTAATACTGACCAGGAATTCTTGCTTACGGTTTCATGACGCTCTCGTTTGCACATGTCTCATCGCATATGGACAACGCACGTAACAGAAAGTCGTGCGATTGTTATGACTTGGCTCAGATCGATGACGTCAAATGTTTACATCCCCATCTTCACATGTCAACCGTAGATTTCATTCCAGCAGCGACATAGAATATAAACTGTTTCTTGCACTTTTCTTTTCACTTTATACAACGTTTGACATACAGCTATTTCGACATTGCCAAAATGGACTTCGACGACACCAAAAACACAAAGTCATACTCTGATGCCCTCAAGGTGGACCCCAATTCGATCATTACGACTTCAATTGATGCAGTTCCCGTGACTGTTGAGCGGAAGCCGTATCAGCCGGGCGTTGACAAGCCCCGGCTGGCCCATGCTGGTAAGAGTCCTCAAGCTCAACTTCCAGCTATGGAGTGACTGAAAATATTCAGGCGTTGCGAGAGCCAATCTTGCTGCGACTCATGAACGCCCTGAGGGCACGACAGAAAGCAACTGGGCTCAGCGGCACCAGGATCAAACTGTAAGGATGGTCATACTCTGACGATCTCGGTGCTGATATTTCCCAGGTTCTGCAGCAGCACTGCGATTTCTTCGACAAGGTACTTGTCCTCTCTTTCATGCCTTTCAACGAGATACTAACGATCTCAAGGACCACGATGGCGTGATCTGGCCACTGGATACCTTCAGAGGTTTCTATCAACTAGGTTACGGGATAATTCTATCCGTCATCTCGGTACTGGTCATCCACGGGAATTTCTCATACCCAACCCAGTCCTCTCTCCTCCCTGATCCCTTTTTCCGAATCCACACAAACAACATTCACAAGGACAAGCACGGTAGTGACACTGGGACCTATGATACTGAAGGGCGATTCGTACCTCAGAAGTTCGAGGACATTTTCTCCAAGTATGCCGAAGGTCGTGATTATTTGACGATATGGGACGTCATGAATTTGATGAAGGGTCAGAGGTTGATCGCTGATCCCATTGGATGGGGCGGAGCATTCTTCGAATGTGAGTAGAGGATCACTCATATCTCTTCCAAGCACCAAGAGAACTAATTACTATCGTAGGGTTGGCGACTTACATCTTGCTTTGGCCTGATGATGGGCGTATGATGAAGGAGGATATCAGAGGAATCTACGACGGAAGCCTCTTCTACAAGATCGCTGCTCGACGAGCCTCGAAGGAATAGCCTCCACGGCTATACTAGTACTTAGCAGGTCCACCAATATGTATCGACATCGGAACCATCATTGCGGGGTGCTGCCATATCCTAGATCGAACAGCCAAGAGGCTTGAGGTTGATACCAGTTTAACATTTTATGCAATAATCAATCAAGATCTTCCTTTTTACACTTCCAAGCTACTCAGAGTCATAATTTGCTAAAAATAGTAATTTTATGCAAATCCTGCATATAAGGCAGACATGTTGGCGGACCGTGAGGCTGAGCTGCAGCTCACGTGGCGGTAATCTGTTGGTCGCGCAGCTGAAAATCTCCAAATGCTTGCATTTTTCAGATTTGATGCCTAACTTCAATCTCTTTTCTATTTACCATTTGCTGTGCTATAAAATCGACACCGGTCGCAACCATCCAGCCCCGCTTGGTACATCATGGCTAACACGCCATGCCTATGGACAAAAGCGCGTGAATGTCAAAGAATGGTTAGCCTCCCTCGAACAAGGCATACAGCCCAACGCGACAGCGACCGAACAGATCGACGCGCTCATCGAACAGACAACAAAGAAGCAGAAAGTCCTTGATAAACCCAACCATAGGTTCAGAAAGTATTTCGACAAGATCATACATTGGTTGGATAAGGTCAAAGGAATTGGTGATGTCGTGTCTTCCTTCGACCCCGTTCATGCTGCGCTTCCATGGGCTGCTTTCCGTTTCGCCCTACAGGTAAAATATGCCCCGGTTTCAATGGTTTAATTCATCACCTAACTTCTTTCAGGCTGTACTGGCCGAAAAAGAGCAAGCAGAGAGCGTCCTTGAACTCCTCGCCTCGACCCCGCACTTCGTTTTCTCAGGTCGCGTTCTAGAGATGGTCTACACAAAAGACTCTATGCATATCGGAGAAGCCCAGGACGATATCAAACTCACTCAACAATGCCTCGATCACTTGCATGAGGAACTAATCAAGTTTTACTCGTCGCTACTTAGCGCTCTGCAGTATTGCTACAGAATTTCGAGCAAGGATAAGGTCAAACGCAAAGCCATCGCGATATTCAATCCATCCGAGGTAGTGAGCATCCGCAAGGACCTTGAAGTACAGCACAAAAAGGTCATAGCTTGCGGAGAGAACTGCCACAAAATCTTCAATCACACGTTGTCGAGCAAATCTCTCGATCTGTTGCAGAAGATCCAGCCAACTCTCACCAAGATAGGGGACCGAGTCCAAAAACTGCTTGTACGGATTGATGAAGAGAAACGACGCAAGACACTTGGTGCGATCTCTTCGATCTTGTTTCGTTCTCACCATGACGAAGTCAGTCGAAAACGAACCACAGGCACTTGTGAATGGATATTGAAGCGGGAGACGTTCATTCGTTGGGAGGAGAGTGATTCATCAGTTACCATTCTTTACGGGAATCGTGAGTGCAGCGTTTGTTCCGCATTCTCACCTTTCAGTTCTGACAAGTCGCAGCTGGAGCCGGTAAAACATTTCTCATCTCACGAATAATCGACTATTCAATTGAGAGGGCTAAAACTGGGGATGCAGTCGCCTTTTTCTACTGCAAGAGAGACGAAGAGAATCGGCGGAATCCTCAGGATATCCTCCGCAGCATTCTTCGTCAACTATCCACGCCCATCAAGGAAGTCGAAAGTGCAACAATCCATATCGCTGTCAAAGACCTGCCAAGCAGACTTGAACTTAACGGTACAACATTCGACGTTGCGACTTGCGAAAGTCTTATCGGGAAGCTTGCAGATGATTATCGCAGGACTACTATTATTCTCGATGCTCTGGATGAGTGTGATAGAAACACTCGAGAGGAACTTATGAGAGTCCTCTCGAATTTGACGAATGAACGCTCAAAGCTCCGTGTCTTCATCTCCAGCAGGCATGACGAGGACATTCTACGCCACTTCAAGGGAAGACCTGTTATGACGGTAGAAGCAACGGACAATGAAGAAGACATCTCCTCTTATGTACAGGATAAGCTCTTTCGAGACACTCGTTGGTCCGACATAGGTCCCAGGTTCCAGGAAGAGGTCCAATCGGTGTTTCACAAGAAAAGCCAAGGAATGTTCCAATGGGCAGCACTGCAGGTTGATCAGATCCGACGACTTAAGCTATGGAGCGAAAGGAGTATCAGGGAGCAACTCGAAACCTCACCCATTGGACTGAAAGGCGCTTACGATGTTGTCTGGAATCAGATCCAAGAGATGTCCTCATACGAACAACAGCTAGCTAGACGAGCCTTGCAATGGGTTCTTTGTGCATTCAGGCCTTTGAAGACGACTGAGCTATCGCTAATGATGCTCATAGAACGTGACTCTGGTACGATAGAGGGTGACATAGTCTTCACGCCAGAGACTATCCAGAGTATCTGTGGAAACCTGCTAGTGTACGATCGGCAGTCGAATGTTTGGCGGTTCTCGCATTTATCGGCACGAGAATACATTGAGACGCATCATTACAACATGATTGAATCGCATCACCACATTGCCATCTCTTCTATCAGATTCCTCGAGAGAGATCTAGTCCTGATGCCGCGAGATACGAAGCCATTTCCAGAACCTGAACCTACTCTCTGGGTCATTGCAAGAAATCGATCACATGCAGATGGTCCTTGTGTTAAACTGACAGTTCAGTGTCACTATATAGTTAAGTATGTATTCAGACATGCCCAGAAATTGGATTTGCCTAAATACCGACACTCTGAACTCTCAAATCTTTTACGCGACTTCTTCGAACCGATTTCCGAAGGTAGCTCGTCTTTTAAGTCTTGGAGGCGTCTCCTAGATGCAACGGGATCTCGCTTACAGATATTACTCACAACATCCAGATCTCCATATCGAACATCAACACCTTTGCAGGTGATGTCCATCTACGGACTCTTTCATATTTTGAGAGACCTCTGGGAGAATGCTGGTGGTGAGCTTGACATATGTCCTAAGTCGACATCGTCTCCTCTTACACTAGCCGTCCAAAATGGGCATGAATCTATGTGGAGATTTATTTTGCTCGCAAAAGGAAAGCTTAACAACGGCTACCCAGGACCTCTTGTAGCAGCAATACAGCACAACAATGAGAAAGCTTTTGAGGCTCTGATTGAAGCCAAGGCAGATGTGAACTATGGTACTTTCACCTGGCCTTATTGCACAGGAGAGTTCGATACACCCTTAAAAGCTGCTTTATCGTCTTCAATAAAGCAAAATCGAAGATACATCATACAGAGACTGCTTGATGGAGGGGCAGATGTCAACCTAAGGATTGGAAGTGTAACTGCTATGGAGCTCGCTATCAAGTCCGCGGATGAGGAAACCGTCAAGCTACTTCTCGACGCAAATACAAAGGCGTACAACCCAAATTACTTTCTCAGCCTGGCAGCTCAGAACGAGAAATTTAACCTCATAACGCTGTTCGTGAATCTTGGTGCCAATGTCGAAGAGCCGTGGGAAGGGGCCTTGCCATTAGTATTGGCATTGAGGGAGGGAAATATCTCGGCTGTTCAATATTTACTGGAGATGCCAGGTATATCGATTGACATGTCTTGTCGAGATCATAGGGAGGCAATTGCCTTCCTCCTGCAGATATCCTTTGGGCCGACTGACTTCCCTTTTCTCTTTGGATTTAACCGCTATATCAACTGGGTAGATTGCGGGAGACGTACCCTGAGGTGGGCCTTGTTGTCATATCCTAAGTACGAGTATGAACTCCATGGTCTTGGCCTCAATGCATCTAAGTTCGCGCTTCAATGCATCCAAGGAACGGGACACCGTCAGCTAAACTTGGTCGATACTTTACTCCGCGCTGGGCCAGACCCATCTGTCAGCGTTAATTTCGGCTCTGGAATTACCTTAACTGCAGCTGCTTTCCTTGGCAGATTGCATCACGTCCGTCATCTTCTGGACTGTGAGGTGATATGGGGCGGACAAGAACAGAGAGTCCTCTTTCGGATTGCTTTGTCCACCCTGATGAGCGGACATTTAGGTATTGTATCTCGGAGACCCCCTGATGGGAAATGGAGGCCCCCAGTTAACGATTGCCTTTGTGAAAGATATCTGGAGGTCATTATACGCCTGTTTGATGCAGATTTGAGCCCTTACATGCCAATCTATGACTTCTTAGATCCGCTGATCCCACACCTTTATGTGAATGGACGGGGCTATGAGATTAACAATCCATGTCGGCTGTACAAAACAGCCTACTTCGGATGCTTTCCAAGACTTTGGTTTTCTATCATGTGGGATATTCAAAACAGCATAGCGCCACAGATGCCTCTGGGCTCGCAACTCCGACAATGGCAGTTTTGGGAGACATTGCCAGACAGATGTTTTATTGTCACAAAGGTGACTGCTGTTTCCACAGCTCGGCCAACTTACTTCATCATTCTTTCTATTTGCGGCAGTCGCTCTCAGTTCAACGTTGTTTCAGCACCGAAAAGGGTCTGTATGCCATTGAGCCAGAAATCGGAAGATGGGCGATGGAAAAAGTATAAGCCCGAAGGCTTTGGTGCCGCAAGATTTACAGACCCAGATGCTGGAATCGATTCAGGGAATACTAAGGCTCCAGCTTCACGTGGCAAGTTCAAAGCCAATGCCTCTTCTAGGTACGGGAACATGTTTACTTTTGTTCTCCTTGCGTTTGTGGTAGGATTGCTTTCGTTCTTTATTGCTCTACTATAGTCAACGAGAAAGCATTATTCGCTCTACGCTCCTTTTCAAATACCAATGGACGCATAAGCGAACAGTGTTGCTGTTTATATGTTGTGGCTTGGGCAGTATATAACTGCCTCGACTCCTGGTACAAGGACTTACTTTGAGTGCACAGATGTATAAACTTCAGCTTAGACTCAATGCATACGTAATGTCCTGAATGGAAATAATTGATTTGTATAAAGCTGAAGTAGAAATATGCGCGATGTCAGTGAAAGACTAAATAGTGACCAGCAATAAAGTACCAAAACCCAGCATTCCTGCGCTTTTGTTCGACGCTTCTTCGTACGACTAAGTCATCCTACTGCCGGTGGCCGACTATCCAAAGATAAGAAAAGCCCGGTATGGAGCAGGCTAGTGATTACACGTAAGATTTTGCAATGCCGGTAAGGGAATGATTATCGTGATCCTTCTCGTGATTTCGTCTCGGCTTATTGGAGGTCATGAGTAAGCATCATTATTCCCGTATTACATCCGATAGACCGGGCAAATGTGGATACGGTCACAGAAATATCCGAGATGTGAGGGACAGAAAGACTCAGTTTGTAAGCCATGGATACGAAAATACCGAGATCGCGAGACTGCTGAGCATCTGGGTCAGACCAACAAAGTTAGATCACAGTTATAAAATACAACAAAGTCTCCCGCAATAGAATCTCATCAAGCACAGCTATCATCACCTACAGCCACAATTACAACTACTCTTTGCTCTTTCACATTTGCCCACGACCAAAATGGCCAATTACGCTAAGGGCCAGCCAGCAGGCTTCACCAACTCCATAGAGAGAGTGGCAATCGTCGGCGTAAGCATATCAAGCCATTATCCCACAGAACGGCACTAACATGGAGGTCAGGCCGGCGGTACAGTCGGTTCTCACATCGCGAATGCCCTTCTCCAAACTGGCAAACATATCATCACCGCTCTGACCCGCCAGGGAAGCACCAACAATCTTCCCGACGGAATTATCGTCGCGCCGATCGACTATAACGACGAATCAACTCTCATCGCTGCCCTCAAGAACCAGCAGTTTCTCATCATAACCATGGCTCCCAACGCCCCCAAGGATACACATAGCAAACTCGTCCAAGCAGCCGCCAAAGCTGGCGTATCTTACATCATGCCGAATGGCTACGCAGGCGACATCGAACAGGTCAAGCTCGGGGAAGATACTCTCCTTGGACCGATAGCCAAAGCGAACAGTGACGAGATTGAGAGACTTGGTATGAAGTGGATCACTGTTTGTTGCGGCTTCTGGTTCGACTACAGTCTTGCTGGCGGTGAGAGTCGTTTTGGGTTTGACTTTGACAAGAAGATACTCACTATTTATGATGATGGGAATGTGAAGAACTCTACTTCTACACTGGCGCAGGTTGGAAGGGCTGTTTCCAAGGTTCTGAGCTTGAAGGAATTTCCTGAGGATGAGAGTGATAAGAGCCTCACGGTGTCGAGCTTCTTCAACAGGGCTGTTTACTTGAACAGCTTCGTCGTTAGTCAGCGAGATCTCTTTGAGAGCGTCAAACGCGTCACTGGTACTTCCGACGCTGAGTGGACTGTCACTCATGAGTCCAGCAAGACGAGGTATGAAGAGGGAATGGCGCAGGTCAAGCGAGGAGATATGAGTGGTTTCAGCAAGTTGCTCTATGCAAGGGCCTTCTTCCCGGAGGATCCGAGTGATCTGTCAGCGAAAGCGCAGAACGAGTTGCTTGCTTTGCCAAGGGAGGATTTGGACGAGGCTACAAAGGACGGCATCGCTTTGGTTGAGGTTCTGAAGGGCCGTAGTGAGCGCATGAAGCATTAGATCAGGCAAAGATCAAGAACACGTATGCTTTGTTGTATTTAGACACTCCACTCAACACTACCCCATTCCGCGGAGTCCTGAACCCGCGGACAATTTTTACGATACCATTCAAGTTATGCCGCGTGTTTCAATTCTACATCTTTAGTGACGGACGGTACAAGGTAAATACGTATAAACGCCGATCCCGTGCGCCGGGATTTTCGGAATTTGTCTAACCCCGCTAACTTCCGCTTCGTTAAGCGTCTATTCTCTCTAAATGACTTCCGACTTGAGAAATGCCGTCTTAGACTATCTTCTAGTCTAGAATATCCTAACCAAGCAGTCGGACTTGTTCAAAGGCTCCGAAATGTCCAGTCCTGCGTCAGACGTGATTACCAATACGGGGTACGCCGCTATGTATAAAGCGCTCCAGCAAAATTGAGAAGCTAAGTTCCTCAGCACCTTAACACTTTCTCCAACTAGATCTCAACGCAAAGTTCACTATGCCCTCCAACCTGAAGAGTAATGGCGTCGCCATCATAGGGGCCGGCCTAGGAGTAAGTCTAGACTGGTCGTGAACGATACGCATTCAAGTCTGACAAATGTTCCAGGGCACCGCGCTCGCCCTAGCTCTGCATCGCCAATCTATTCCATGCCGGATTTTCGAGGCCAGGGGCGAAAACTCCGACATCCTTTCAAGCGGCGTGACCCTCACACCTAACGGGTGCCGAGTCCTCGATGAGCTAGAAATTTTGAGTCGCGTGGAAGACAAGAGCTATATCTGCGAGTATACCGCTACTAAAGACGCAGATGATAAGACTGTGAGGAAGATGCGGATTGCGTCAGACGCTTACCCTTGCTACCGTCTCTATCGACTCGCCCTCCTCAAAGAAATGAAGGCGGCCTTGGCTGAGAAGGGAGTGCCCATCTTCTACGGTCTAAAGTTCGAGAGAATCATCAGCGATACGAGTGAAGGGGTTGTCTTTCAGGTTGGTGACAGGACGGAAAGCGCTGCATTGGTAATTGGGTCTGACGGTATTCATTCAACTTTGAGACGGCACATCACGGATCTTGTTCCTGTTTACACCAATCTGTTGTGTGTGTATGGACATATTCCAACGGAGTCAGTCAAATGGCCCGATCAGGACTTTGCAGCTGGTTGTACCGTCTTGGGGAAGCCTGGTGGTCTCTTCATGGTTCCTGAAGTGGCAGATGGGTCGGATCTCATGGTTGGAACACAGTTCACGTACCCCGAAACCGATCGAAAGGGTTGGGAAGCTCTCGCCTCTGACCCAGCATCTCTAGCTGCTTTATTGCGGAAGGACTATGAACAATGGCATGACACCGCGCAGCACGCAATTGACGAGTTATGCAAACGCCCGGAGAGTATACTTTGCTGGCCATTCTACGCTATGCCGAAGCTACCTAGCTGGTCATCATCTTCTGGGAATGTCATCATGATTGGGGACGCTGCGCATGCCATGCCGGCCTCATCTGGTCAAGGAGTGAACCAGGCTTTGGAGGATGCCTTCTCGTTGGCCAAGGTACTTTCTGGCGAATGGATTGATGGGACTTTGCCTTCGGTGCTGAGTACGTGGCAGTCATGGCGGCAGGATAAGGTTGATAGGATTCATGAGATGATGCGGGTCACGAACATGATGAGGTCGTCTGAGGTTGAAAGAGCGAAGTTGATGCAGGCGGCTGACAAGGAGCAATCTACCAAGGTTGATATGCAGTGGCTGTATGACTTGGATCTTGACACGCTGGAAGCCAAGCTGGTTGACCACAGAAAGCTGTAGCGCTGTGTATGCTGAGAGGGCCTTCGCTGCTGTTCATCTTCTGCAGATACTCGAGTTCTTCTTTAGTTTTCGATCCTATCAAGACCATTTATGCAAGCTTGGGCCGCGCCTTCAATTCATAAACCATGTAGACCGCATACCAAGAACAGGTTGGCCTGTCCGCAATTTCGTACCCTTGCTTCTATCACTAATCTACCATCAAATTTCCTGTACACTTTTATCTGCATTTGAGTTTCGCTTACGACAGTGGCCTCCGTTGCATTGCGATGTCTGACATTCAACGGCTGCAAGTTCCAGGCAATGGCCTCACTGTTCACTGTTCACTAGATCAGTGCCCCACCACTGGCACAACGCAGCTGACCACCAACCGCTCAAACTGAACTTTTCGCCCCGCAGCTGCTTTTCTCACCTTTTCCCTTCAACACTCACAACATCATACGACCCAAACTTTCATCTGCACTCTATTCTTCCGTTCCTTTTGTTCTTCAGCTTTGTACTGGGTCTCAACCTTCTCTCACATCCTCTGCCTCATCACTCTTATCATGGAAACCGCCGTCGCGCCTTTAAGCGCCTCAATGTTGGATCAGCCGTCGTATCTTGACGCCCTTTCCGGACTCGTTCATTCAGCTGAGTGTCTGGCATCAAAGGGCTATGTGACAGCTCGTCTGTCAGAAGCCGACCTCGAGAAAAAGCGACGTTGTGCGAGATGCAATATCTGTACGAATCCCTTGGCCCTGCCCAGCGACTGATATCTAACATGGCTAGTGCTTGTAAAAGAGGAACGACGAAGTCGACAAAAGCTGCTTCCAAAGAAAGATGCCGCGCTTTCGACTGCCCCGGGATCCTTGCAGAGTAAGATTGTGGATGAGGTTGTTTCACTGGGGATGGAGCAACTGAAGTTGGAGGAAACGCACGCACCAGAACTGTGCTGTAAATTCCACGATGGAAAGCTTGTCAACAAGGTAGTACCTCTGACCTCTTCGAACTGAAGCAGGGTTCACTAACCATTACAACAGAAATGGACCTGCTGTGGCCAGCATCCGGGGGGCCGTCCCTGTAAACAACAAGACGAGCACCAACCCGAAAGTCGTACCTTAAAGGAGATTTCCACTCGCTGGCAGTACACCGCAACGCCTCCCGTTCTGACAAAGAATACACGTATCGCCGTCGTGATCGACTGTGAAATGGGAACGGCTGCATCCGGTGACAATGAGCTGATCCGCCTGACTCTCATCGACTACTTCACCAGCCAAGTTCTGATCGACAAGTTCGTCTGGCCTGACGTTCCGATGCAGCACTTGAACACCAAGTGGTCAGGCGTGACATGGAAAATGATGAACGAAGCTCGGAACAAGCGAAAGTGCGTGTTCGGCTTGAGAAACGCCCGGGCCTTGGTCTGGAAGTTCGTAGGTCCGGAGACTATTGTCATTGGGCATGGTGTCAACTCGGATCTCACTTGTCTGCGATGGATTCATCCTCGGCTTATCGACACGCTTATTGTTGAGGGGAATACTCGTGAGACAAAGACTGGACTTTCGTTGAAGAAGTTGGCGGAGGAGCGGTTGGGCAGATCCATTCAGAAAGGGAAGGGGCATGATAGCCTTGAGGATGCAATTGCTACACGGGACCTCCTCCACTGGAATATTCTCAAGCTGACTGGAGGTCTTGCAGAGGCCTGAGTGAGAAAGCGCTGTCGTTTTGATGTAGCGGCTAAATCGTTGCATTTTCCTAGGAATATTCGTTGAGGGTATCGTTTGCACTGTGGACTAGAATGCCTTGAGTCAGATATGTCATGAGCCTGGATTCTACGCGTAAAGGCGCGTTGTACGTACTTCACCCCCCTCCTGGGGTGCCAAGCCATCAGATTCATGATATCCTGTAGTAGGAACTTTCAGGTCATGAATCAGAATTATAGAATACCTTCTGTATGTGCATGAATTCGGTATACCTGAACATGTCCTGCTTGTTTGTCAATCATGAGAAATCTAGGGCCAAAGTAACCATCCCAAACCCGATGACCTGGCCTTTGTTGCCGAGTAAACTGCAATAATCACGTAGCGTACCAATTCACTCCTTCAACTTACCTTTAAACAGCAGATAACTCCTCTGCAAATGCGCCGTTAACGTTGATCAGGGCCATGACTCGAGCCACAAAGCCGCCTAACCTATATCACTTCCTCAGCCCCCAGTGATACACGTTACCTTAACTTCGATATATCTAAGTAGTTTACTAATAAGGCACTGGGACTTATACTCTTGCTTTTCAAAGTAACAGTAGTTGAATAATATCCTGACCAGCTGGGCTAAATGCTCGAAATTTCGTTCTCGCTGGATGCACGATAGGATTTCGGACAATAAGATTGTGACAACAGTATAAACACTATCACGAGGTGTTTATGGGAACAGCAAGCTTACGGTTTATCTCGGGTCTTCTTTTGTTCTCCGTAAGTGAGATTTGAACCTGCGTGATCACCACATACCAGGTCTCGGTCACGTCAGCGCCACTGGCGAATCACCAAGCTACCCCGACGTTACAATCTCGGATGCATGACTCCTGCTCTCGGCCTTATCAACGCAGATCTGAGTAATTTCGGAAACATCATCACCAGATACGGGAAATAGTGTATTGACGCAATTGGTGTGCAGAATGAGCAGTCCATTATTCAGCCGTTCATTGGATGGGATAGCACATGCTGTTCATGCATAACGCTCGCCACGCAGGATGTTACATCGGTTACAGCGCGATAGAATTACTCAAAGCAGTAGATACCAACCATGCGGGGAAGATAGACCGGCCGGGGATTAACGTTGTATCGAAATCTATGAAAATAAGCTTAAAAGAAGGTTTTTTCCCCGACCGGCCACGATCCTCAACCCTACCCATTCCCGACTACGCAATCGCCATGGCGGACAGTAGCAAACAGCCCTCGAACGAGAAGTTCCAGAGCTCACCGGAGCTTACTCCAAGCTCGGACTCAGATGCACCGGTTGTAGCTGTCTTGCAAGAAACGCCCAAGAGGAGCTGGAAGTCGTATATATGGGATACTTTTGACAAGTCACCTGAAGAGCGCAAGTTCTTGTTTAAGCTTGATGCTGCTCTTATGACTTTGGCGTCGCTGGGGTACTTCATTAAGTACTTGGATCAGGTTAGTGAGTCTTGATGGTGGGTATGGAATGAGACTGACGAGACAGGTGAACATCAACAATGCCTTTGTCTCTGGGATGAAAGAAGATATGAACCTGTTCGGTAATGAGTTGAACTATATGCAAACATGCTGGACTGTCGGATATGTCATCGGCGAGATCCCAAGGTACCTTGTATCACTCCCATCACAATCAATAGTATACTAACTCTTCAGTAACATGCTCTTAACACGCATCCGCCCGAGTATCTGGATCCCCGCCTGCGAAGTAACCTGGTCCGTCCTCACCATCCTCCTCACAAAGTGCACAAACGCGACTCAACTCTACGTTCTCCGGTTCTTCATTGGTCTCGCAGAAAGTACCTTTTACCCAGGAATGCAATACATCGTCGGCTCATGGTATCGCAAAGATGAACTCGCCAAACGATCATGCTTGTTCCACGCCATGGGAAACGTTGGGTCGATGGTATCAGGCTATCTCATGGCTGGCTCACATAACCTCGATGGCGTACATGGATATCACGGCTGGCAGTGGCTGTTCATCACCAACACCGTCGTTTCCCTCCCCATCGCCATATCAGGCTTCTTCTTCCTACCAGATCTACCAGAGATAACCAGAGCTTGGTACTTCACACCCGAGGACATAGCCCTAGCAAAGAAACGCATGGAACTTGAAGGTCGAGCTCAACGATCACCGTACACAAAAGCAAAGTTTAAAAAGATCTTCACCAGCTGGCATATTTATACTCTCGTCCTTCTCTACATCCTCTTCAACAACGGCAACGGCGGCAACTCACAGCCCGCATTCCCCCTCTGGCTCAAATCAGAAGGCTACTCCATCCGCGATGTAAACCTCTACCCCACCATCGTCGAGGTAATCAGCGTCATAACGACGCTCATCTACGCCTGGACATCAGACAGTCTCTTCCGCGGCGCACGCTGGCCCGCCATCGTATTCTCCGGCCTAGTAAAAATAATAGCCTACGTCGGCCTAACAGTCTGGAAAGTCCCTACGCCGTTTACATGGGTATGCTTTATGCTGTGTGGGTTTGGGGGAGGGATCAGTGGTCTTACGTTTGCGTGGGCGCATGAGATTTGTAGTGATGATAATGAGGAGAGGGCCCTTGTTACGGGGGCGATGAATCAGATGGCGTACGTGTTTCAGGCGTGGTTGCCGTTGATTATTTGGCAGCAGGTTGAGGCGCCAGCTTATCCGAAGGGATATCCTACTATGGTTGGGATGGCGGTTGGGTTGATTGGGATTGCGTTTACGATTAGGGCTTTGAATAAGAGGCAGATTAGAGGGCATAGGCATGCTTTGGTTGGTGAGGCGTAAGGGATGTATGTATGAGTTGAGTATAATATGTAGTGAAAGCCTCTATATCTATCGCAGCCTATACAATCTGGCCAGTCCACCATTCTCCATGGTATCATACCTCGAGCCCAACTCTGATATCGTTGCTCATGTTGATGAATATCCTCCGTCAACAAAGATAGTCTGCCCCGTCACAGCAGCACTTGCATCACTAGCCAACCAAACCGCAACACCCGCAAAGTCCTTCGGCAGCCCGTTCCTCCCAATCATCGTCCTAGCAGCATGAGCGTCAGATTTTCCCGGATCAAGAAATGTAGCCCTAGCCAAAGGCGTATCAACAAGACCCGGCGCAATAGCGTTACATAAGACGCCGTGCTTTGACCATGCCTCAGCTTGTGACCGTGTTAGACCCAAAAGACCAGCTTTGGAAGCTCCATATGCACCGCTGTTTCCGAAGGCTCGGAAGGATTGTTGGCTGATGATGTTGATGATACGTCCCCACCCATTCTCAGCCATCTTCGGTCCAAATGCTTGACCCAGTGTGAAAGGCGCTGTCAGATTGACAGCGATAGTCTCATCCCACGCTCCCTGCGAGAGATCATTCATATGAGGTCTATAATTAACTCCCGCCGCATTCACAAGAATATCCGGCGTTCCAGCATTCGTCTTAATCGCATGAATCGCATCGCGAACAGAAGCTTGGTCTGACAAGTCCGCCACGATCGCTTCAGCTGTGACGTGAAGATCCGCAAGATGATCTATAGTATCTTGAAGAGGTTTAGGCCGTCGCGCGACAAGAACAATTCGACAGCCTGCGCGACCAAGAGCAATAGCCATTTCGCGGCCTATGCCTGATGAACCGCCAGTCACGACGGCGACTTTGCCGGCGAGGCTGAAGAGGCTGGATAGGTAGCCTGAGATGGCTTGAGGGCTTGGAGCCATGGCGGTGAGATGACGCTAATTTTGAAGACGGTTTGAGGTAGTGAATGAATGAGAGTTTGTAGTGACAGTGGTTATATGAGCTGTGAAAGTAGTCGCGTGTTTGTTTGGCTGGGATATGAAGTCTTGTGAGCGAAATCGGCTGACGGGAATTGGTGCACGAGGTGTACTGATAATTGCACGTATGCGGGGTAGATGAATCGTGACTCAACGATATGGACTAAAGCGGCATTTCACGATAAAACATCATGATCACAACAAAACACATGAAATATCTCTATAAAATGATTCAGAAGAATAAATATAAAAATAAAATACTCATTTTATCGCCAGGAAAATCGCTCAAGCAGTAGCTTCTATCCTCACCAGAACCAACCACCAAGTCTCAGCCCCAATATCAACAACCCCAGGCCCATTGACCTCCAAATGAGCAATATGATCACTCAACGCACTCAAAGGCCCCAAAGGTCCCGCACTCTTGTCGCCTTCTGCTGAAGCTTCCAATAGCGCTTTTACAGAAACGCCAACGACTTTTGACAATTGTTCGGTGTTGATTAAGCTCGCGTGCAGACCGCGCTTGTTCAGCCAATCGTGGTTCGCGACAACGACATATGCGACCGCGCGTTCAGCGGGTGTTTTTGGCTTTCGCGTAGCTGCTGCAATTGTTCGTCCCGGAAGACTAACGACTGTTCCTACGGCACCGAAGACAGCGCCTAAAGGAATCGATATCGCGCCTCCGACGACACCAGCTGCTGCCCCGAGAATGTTTCCGCGCTTGGTGTTGGCAGCGATGTTTTTACCCACGCTCTTAGCATGGTTCTGAACATTCTTGACGTAATTAACAGGCTGTTGACCAACGCTCTTTGCGACATCTCCAGCATGATTAATAGCGCGCTCTCCAACCTTGGCCGTCATGAAAGCAGAGATAGTATCGAGGAATGAACCCCATGCTTCTTTTGTGATGCCATGGCCGAGAAGTGCGGGTGCGTAAGCTTTGAGGAAGGGAGATGTTTGGGTGGGGTTCTCTTGGGGGATGGCGATGGGGGGTTCTTGGGCGGATGAAGCTTCGGAGTAAGAGGGCAAAGGAGATGCGGAGGGGAAGTTGAAGGGGTTTTCGGCGGTTGGGATCTTATCGGATGATGGTTCGTTTGCAGATGAGGGGCCTGCTTCTTCTTGGTAGGCTGGTGAGGGATCTGAGGGTTGGGAGGAGTTGGCGAGATGCTCTGCTTCTTTAGAGGAAGACATGATGACAAGCTTAAGATCACAGGTAAAGATTAAGTGAGTGATGAGTTAGGTAGAGTGAGGTGAGGGATTGAATACGATAAATAACTCAGCGACCGTAAGATCTTAAATACCTGGTAAACACGGCTTAAATGCCACTTCGTCATCGGTTATAACGGCATCGTGCTCAGCCCTAAGATCTGGATTAACCCAAATACTGAACCAATAGGAGACTCCGACAATCGCGCGGCTGAATTATCTCGAATGGCTTGACGGAATGGGACTAGTGTGTGAGGCTCAGGGTAAGCGAGAGCGAGGAACTCCAGTTGTGACGCTACGTAAGGAGGCTGTGCTGACCTCAAATGGATTGCTTTGTTTTGACGGTGAACAGCTAGGGATAATTTTGGAAGGTTTGATGCGGTTGAAGATATCATTATGGATTGGTAGACTGTTAGATTCTCTGCATACTCATAACGCTCGGGTATCATATCTTGCTGGTGAAATACACAACCCTCCTCATCAAACGGTCAAATTCTCCTCTTCCCGCCGCCACTTATTCGCCCTATAGTAATAACTGCCCCCCTGCTGAACAAAAGCACACTGTTCCCTATTCCCTCCTCTCTGCCAAAGCCTCTGCGCCTCCGGACACCGAGAAAAATGCAAAGTCGCTTCATCCTCAGAGTATGATCGATCGCGAGCGTGAAAATACGGATTGAACAAGATATTCGCGCTCGACAAGGCAACCAATGAGGTATCATTTTGCTTCCAGATGTTTAGGTGACAGCCTATACAACTCACGCCCGTCTTGAGCTTTCCCGTGCGAGGAATCAGGCTTGGGAAGATTATGCTTGCTGCGAGCCGGTAGTGTAACCAGCCGGGCCTCAAGAGGGCTTGCCCAGGGATTTCCATGGTACTGTCGACGCTAATATAGACTGCTAGTAAGTCCTTTGCTAGAACGCCACGGGTCTCGGACATTATTTTAGGGTCATCCCAGTTGTGCGTCTTGAAGGTACGTATATCCTTCGACTTCAAGGCATTGGTGAGGGCAACAGCTTGCTCCGCGTATAATCCCTTCCATTGTTCCCTCCTGCTGATACGTGCTTCGTTGACGAGGGCTGTCTCTGGTGATGTACGAAGACACTGGAAGCAGCAGCGTTTAGCAGTCGGGAGGAACAAGAAATCGCCGAACTGTCCGCAGAAAGCACATTTCGTTGTCGTCAGTGCTGTGTAGATATCTGCATACGAGACAAAGCTGCTAAGGTCTGTTCGTCTCAAAGCATTAAGTGCATCCGGGGCGTGGCGTAGAACACGCTGGTAGATGTTGATAGCAGTTGAGACGTAGCGCGCCCTCCGACTAACTTGTCTAAACCGTCGGTACGAATCGATATCTAGCTGCAAGACGATACCTTCGAGGATATCTTGAGGCAGGCGTGCGAGAATACCCAAATTTGGAGTCTGAGTCTTGTAGCACCCGGCGAACAGACTATGGACTGGCGGGGAGAACTCTTCGGCTTTGGGGTCGTGAGTGGGATAGTAGTATTTGGTTCGCTTGTAGAAGCAAGTTTCAAGAAGTTCGCTACTACTGACTGTATTATTTTTTGTGATGCTAGAGAGGCCTAGCGCTGAGTTAGTTCCTGGTATAGAGTTGGAAGACATGTTCTTCATGTGAGGTTATGGAAGGTAATGAAAGGAAGAATTTTCACGGGATGAGAGGTGAGGGCGATTGAGAATAAATCTTAAAAAAGGCGCGAAGACTTTGTTTAAATACTGGAAGTCCTGAAATTCTAAATTCTCGCTTCTGTGATTCATAGTCTCTAGAAGCCTCAGAAAAGCATACTTTAGCAGTAGACACGGAGTACGATAAGAAGTACACTACTTTACCAGTGCCATTCGAGCTTATTTAGGTCATATGCTTCGCAAAGTAAGTTACACTTTGTCAATGCGATGCTTCTTGATCTACTATAGGATCGAGGATAAAGTACAACTCTAAGTCTGAGTTACTCTCAGTGACGCACCAGTGGCAAGGTTTCTATAGTAAACCTACGCCGAACTCACTTTAGATAAGTTACGTGGCACTCGTTCTGAGGCTCACAGCTAGTCAAGAAAACAACTCCTTATCGGATACGTATCTAGCATACATGAACCAATGTGGCTCTTAGATAAGTCCATCTCGGCCTTCTTGGGCGTTTGACCGATATGCAAAACTTGTTTCTAGATAGTTCACAGTTCTTAGAGACTAAGCACAGTGCATGATTTCAAAAGAGGCCATGATGGGTTGTTGATTGATACTTAAAGCTTATGACGCCTCAGCGAGACATATCAAGCCACTACACTAAAAAATAGAGCCTTCTGTTCGTCGTATAGCGCATGTTGCTTTGAAAGTTGCTCTGATAGACTGGACTGCTTTCTGCACCGTGAAAGGTTCATCGTATGCAGTGGTCGCCGAAGGAATGAGGCAGAAGGAATTTTTTTCACGGCCAAGACGAGGGCCGCACATCATGCTCAAATTACGCGTGTTCTCGGATGTAAGACTACTTTGATGTATTTAGGGAGGGGAGCAAGTCTCAGATTTGTCTTTGCAAGAGTGAACCTCGACATCTTGTTTATCTGAGGTTTGGATGCTTTCGAAAGCAGAATGGGCAGTAAATACTCTGATTCGGATGGGAGCAGATGTATGTAGCATCACCATGTTTGTCAACTAATGCAATGTGAGTCACGACTTTGTTGTCTCTATCCTCAACGAAAGGATGTATCACGATTCCACGGAAGCGTTGACTTTACAATACTTTTACATGTTTGCTATCTATTAGCTTTGCTCTTCTTCCATAACCATGTACCAATAGACCTATAACCCTTTCATCAGAGTCGCAAAAGGTCTCATCCAAACGCCAAACTCCCATAACGAACCAAACAAAATCGTCCTAACTCTCCAACCCTCCCCTCTCCTACAGTCTGATCAGACTCTTCCAGAACTAGCCGCTCAATCAATGCCACAGGGCATACCCAACCAGTACACAAAAGTAGAAGACAACCTGGATCGCCACGCCAGCCATGACCCAGAATTCCTCGTTATTCACCAGAGGAACTCGGGCCACCAACCTCTGGCAGTATTCCGCTCGCTCTTCGATCCCCCAAAGCATCCCCCCATTCGCTGCAAACCAGGACTCTCGACCAGGCAGCTCACGGCTCTTCCAGACGCGCTGGGCATGCTCGCAAGTCTTGAAGTGCTTCGCAAAGCCTTCATGAGAATAGCAGTTATCACGTGCTGCTGCTGCAGCGGAGATACGTCCGGCGCCAGGTAGTACCATGCCTTGCATGGTTCGTTCCTCAAACGCCTCCTGGCATCCCCTGCAGCTACGACCTTTCTCTAGTTCACCTGTTGCGGTGTTCAGATAAGGAAAGTTAATAGTAGCGGCGGTACGATAGTGTAGCCACTCATTCTCAAACAAGAAGCGCATGGCTTCAGTCGTTTCGATGCCCAGCTCTTCGCAGAGCCAGAACAGGTCATCAACCAAGACGGCTCGAATACGCTTCATCACTTGGTCGGGGCGTACATGGTTGCGGACTCGAACACTCGCCATAGAAGACTTAAGCAAGGACTTGACGAGGTGAGATCTATTGCCAGGCCCTCGGTATTTGCCAAATCGAGTATAAAATGGAAGAATTTCTTCCGTGCTAATCATCGCCATCCGAGGCGAGGTTCGGAGGCACTCGTGACATGTTCTAGTGCATGTCGGGAGGAATAGCATAGAGCCATACTCCTCGCAAAAGGCGCACTTTGGCGAGGTCAGAGCGAGGTGGATGTCGCCGATGGTTATATGCCCGCCCAACCCGGTACGAGCGATGTTGATGATGGCTGCCCTGGCATGAAGCATGACATCCTTGCAGTCTAGGATGGCCTCTGCGATATGATGTGTCTTCGCGTTGGCGTTGCGGAAGTTGAGAAAGGACTTTACATTCAAACGGACGAGAATGTTGTTCATGATATCTCCAGGCAATTTCTCGAATATCCCGACATCATTTTTGGGGGTACCGAGGGTACTGGTCAAGCCCTTGGGGACATGACGGTTGGCATCTAACAGCGCAAAGTACCACTTTGTCCGGACGTAGGTACATTTACCTTGTTTCTGGGTAACTAGATATCGTAGTGAGTCAAGAAAGATGAAAGGGTGTTTCGGCGACCAGCAACGAGAAAGAGACGCCTTGGTGATGGGATAGAGACAGTGTGTGGTGAGATGGGAAGTGAGCTAGATGAAAGAGTGTTGGGAGAGAAAGAAGGTATTCCAAGACGGAGAGACGATGGAGTAGAAGGTCTATCAGGCATTGAGGATTCTTGCTTGGCGCTGGTAGACCAGATTCTGTACAATATGGCTGGAACATCTGTCCTGGTTTGCTTCCTGGCACTGGCATAGGTATGACAGTTAGCACTGCGCGTGGCATCGCTGCGCGCGTTCCCATGTGACAGATATCTGGAGACGGAATGATTGAGCTTCATGAGCCGTTCGAGCTGAGGCTCATGGACGATGAACCATACACATGCCCTTGGCCAACCATAGTGACGGAAAACATGAGCAGCTTAAGTTTCTCGTGTTGCCTCCCAAGTGCCCTTCTACATCGATCTTAGGATACGAGGTTTTATCAAGAAGAGTCAGGTCTTTCGTACACAGGAGACTAAAAAGTCAATTTGGAGATATAAACAGACAAGAGCAGTACTATATCCAACGAACGACAGAATACCTAGTGCAAATGTCACCTGTAAGTGCTGGCTCGAACCCCAATGAACAACCGAACGCCTACTCCGAACACTGCGCCAAATGAGACAAAGTCAACTCCAAATCACTAAGTTCCAACCCTCTGTCTAGATAAATCCTTTCAAGCAACCTTCTGTGTCACACCAGATCCCTTTACCCTCGGCACAAGAACTTTCCCATTGCGATACTCATACTCCAACTCTGTTCTCGAACCACGATCCTCCTGGAAGGACACTTGAATGATTCGCATGATGACCTTGAGAAGGTCTGCATACTCTGGATACTCCTGCTTGACGTCTAATTTCACGAGTTTGAGGCTTTCGTTGTCCTCCTTAACGTCGCGAGCGAAACGGGTGATGATGCTCGTGTCACGCTGTGACGGGAGTCCGGCCCCTATGTTGATCCAAAGAACGTTGTTAGCTTTATGGAGGCTTTCATACTCGTTCAGAGAGCTGGATCCATCATCAAGAACGACGTAAACAAATCGCGACGAGATATCTTGCAGTTTTGTTGGCGTGATGGTAGACGCCGTGCCGTTCTCCGCTAATACAGAAGCCAGTTGTTCCGCAAAGCCGAACAAGCTACCATCAGAGCCCGGAAGAATGTTAACCATGAAGCGCTGAGTAGAAGCGACGGCTGTAGAGATAACACAATAGCATGATTGGCCGATGTAGTCAAATGTCTTCGTTGCTGGTTCGAGACCACTGAACTGATTACCCTGCAGCAGCTTGTTCCAGTCATCGTTTGAGGGATATGGCAATTGTTCACAACGTTCATCTAGATCACTGGTTAGTAACTCCATATCGCTAACCTGAGCAGTAGAACACGCACCTGACCACATATTCTCATTCATACCCAAGATAAGGCTGTAAGCGGGTGATATATCCGACAATCCGACCAGGGCCAGGACACCTCCAGGGACGAGGAGTTTGCGTAAATTGGCCAGTGTTTCTGAAAGGGAATTGGCTGTATGGAGGACATTATTGACGGGAATAACATCGTATGTATTGGGACTGAAGCCTTGTTCCATAGGATCGCGGTTGATATCCAGACTCTTGAGCTTGAGGAAGTCTTTGGTGATGCCCGCCTTGGTCTGCTCTAGTACTGATAGCGAGGAGTCGGTAAGAGTATACGAGACACTCTTCTGTTCTCGCAGCCCGTCGAAGATCGTCTGGGTGTTGTTGCTCGTGCTGGCGACGACTTCGAGGACGTTCAAAACAGGTTTCTTTGTGGCATATGATGAGAGATATTGTCCGAGATGCGCTCTCATCTTCTGCATCAGTTCCATACCATCCTGCATCCGATTAAACATATTTCCTTCCAAAAGCAGCGGCATCGGATCCATAGTTCCTTGCAGAATAGCTCCTAGGTTCGGTCCAATCTTGGCCAAAATCTCCCCTTCAACACCCATACGCATAAGCGACGATAAAATCTCAATCGTGACAGTCATCGTCACATCGCCCAAGACCAGTTTACTCGACTGAGACGAGTTATACGATTGCATCCATTGATACAACGACTTTCGGAAGCCGGTAAGTTTGGAGGGTTCAAAGTCCGGGATATCCAGAGGGATGTTGTTGAGAGATGCGCGAATTATCAAGGCTGCGGCGCGGGCTAGTGTGATTTGGCGATCGGCTGTAGCTTTATTTAGTGGTGTTCTGGGTCGAAGTTCAGAGCCAGTGAAGAAGTTGGCATCGGGTTCCCATTCGACATGGTACACTGAGTCCCAGTCGTCATCGTCGTGGATGACGACGTCTCGGATGATAGGCTGTACTATAGACATGACTGGAATGTGCCTGATAAGATCACGATAAGTGTAGAAGCTTGGTGAAGTTCACTCTGCATAAAGCTATAAAGCAAGAAACAGAAAGTGCTGGCGCCAAGCAGGTCCTTATAAACCCCAAAATCTCACCACTTCCGGAATTGGGGAGCGGGGGGGCGATGACATTCGTATCTCCGGGCCCTACCCCAATATTTCTCGGAGCCGCAAAGCATGTGAGACCCTTCAACCCCACGGGGAAATAAACGGCCGAGCTTCCGATACGTGCCCGCGGTTGGGGTAGTGGTGCCATGGCATGTTTCTGTGACTTTTTATCTCCTGATCAACGTGGAGTGATGACATTGAATCGGGAAGTTGAGGACGACCCCGCGTTTGAGAATGGATGAGTGAGATGATAGTTTGGGGGTTAGTTGACGAGGATTGGGCGCAACGGATGAGGCGCTTTGAGGGAGGAGGCGTCCATCCCGTCGTCACAGAAGCCATTCGACGTTCTTTCAGCCAATACTGTCTCATGTTTTGTCGAGTAAACTCCACTGTTCCCGTTGGGGTCACGTTGAGGCTCTGTAGGGGCAGATGTTCAGTGAACTAATGCATGTGATTGCGGGAAACTCCACAAATCGCATCCGCAATACCACTCGAGATCGGAGCCGTCGCATTCGTCTTCTGACGAGTAGAATAACCTGATCTGACGTAAAGAGGGTATTTCACAAGCTGAGGGAGATATTTCGGGCCGCCGGTGTTGTTTCCGGCTGTTCCGGATTTGGTCGGGGATGACATAGCGAATGAGGGACATGCAAGCCTGCATCCTGGCATTATCGCTCAGCGTTGCATTGGTGTCTCGCCACATTATTCCCCGTCTTTGAAGTCTCTAAGATTCCAGTTGAGTAATCGGGCCATTTGCTTCTGTGCCGCAAGCAAGAGTGAGGCGGATGTCCTTTGGGGGGCGTAGGTGCGGCATTAAGCCTGGGATTGTAACAGCTCAATTCGGACGAGATAAGTCGTCTTTCTGGGGCCTACTTCAGTCAAGCGGGGAGATTTGCAGGCCTTCTTCAGCATGCAAATATATATAGTTCCTAACAACGGAGTCGCGCTAGCGCAACGGATTTCCGAAACCTTTTAGTAGATACGGCAAGCCGTAAGAGTCGCCTCCATCCTCCGCAACTGGTCTTACGTGAAGTAGGTAATTGGTTTGAGTACAAGTCTGACTTCCAAGCTGACCGGGGGAAATGGAGGCACCTGTGCTATAGGGCGTGTGCTGCCTGCTGCGCATTTCATCCATGTCAGCTAGAGGGCAAAGGCTTTGCTTCGGGTGGCATATGCAGTATTCGCTCCTGAGTAATTGACTTAGCTCTGGCCCATCAGGAACGAGGGGCATACATCAGTTACGGGGACCGTTATCAGGACAGACGTTGGAATATTTCCCATGCCCAGTTGGCCCCAGACAACTAGACTTCGATTTCTCCATGGGCGATTCACCGATTAGCTTTCAGCTAAGCAAGTGGGCAACTGTCTCCAAACGGCATGTACCTCGTTTCTATCGTATGTTCAATTTCTTTTTTGGCGTACGCTACGGAGTTATACCTGTGACCTTGAAGAATGACCGTGCATCGTAGACGAGAGAATATTTGTGTAGAAGGTATCCGGCATGATTCTTCAGAGTTTTGGCTAGCCCTACGAGCGTTCATGCTATAATATAGATCTGTAAATTGACTGCCTTCGCCACATGCGTCGTTAGTCGTAGATAGAGTCAACAAACCCTCTTGTATCTCTGAAAGGCCAAACTTTGGTTTCCCAGACCCATTCCACCGAGGCTCCAAGCGGCTCTTACGGGAGAGGCCTACCCTGCTTCGGTATCTTCAAATATGCTCGTATCATTGACTTAACTGCAGTCTTCTAGGTCTTGAAGATTGGCAGAGCCAATGCTCTGGATGCGGGTGACTCATCGATCTCGATACTAATCTCAGTGGCCGACTAATCTCAGAATACAAGACCGTAAGCAGTCTTGAACAACCTCCTCTTTAGATTCCTTTCCCCTTTAGATCCGAAATGAATGGTCACGACTAAGTAATTGATGGGGCTCCTGGCACTTGTAGTTTCGCCGGTGCAAGCAATATCGCTTGCGAGCGGTTCACCTCGAGTTAATCATTAGTTCTGGGAGATCTTTCTTTCAACAATCTGGTAGATTACATATATGAGAGCGATGCATGATACGCATGAAAGTAAACTCTATCCATGCCTTGGGTTAAGAGGCAGATGAGGATCAGATGACTACTATCACGAACTTGAGTCTATACATCGCAAATCAGACCCTATGTTGCATACAAGTTGCAAACATGCTGCGTAGGTATGCAACGAGAATAGGACCTTAAAGTGAGCGTGAATCTCGCGGTGAACCTATCATTCTGCGATCTGCACTGAGTGTTGACTTGGCTATCTATCATTACCGTGTATGGTCAAGCTCAGAATATATGTCTCAATACAACGGCACATCTAAAATTGAGAAAGTGTTTATTGTTATTCAAACAGACGAACCAATCTTTTTGTTCTGCCTTTCCCTCATAATTCGTTGCACGAGATATTATGGCTTCCCGATCTACACCGATCGTAGGCCATGTGCTCTCCACACCGCACCCTGTCAAGAACCACAAGTAGGGAAATTCAAATGAAAACATCAGCTTTCTTTCACTGCGAGTGACCCTTTCCACCAAGGGCGTCCAGTATACCTTTCCGTCGGTGTTCCAAAGGCGCAAGATGCCGTCACAGCAAAATTGCAACGACCCAGGGGACTGGCCTTCGGGTGCCTCCTCGGTAGACCAAAAGATCTGACCTTGCTTGTCAATCTACCGTTAGTTCGGAAGTTAAACTTGACGCCATTCTCAAACTTTATAAAAGCTCACTGAGAGTGATTAACTTATAGGGTACCGGGCTGGAACCTACAAGACTAGCCTGGTAAATAGGTTAGTGGTTGTACAGGGTTGAGACCACTGTCTGACTTACGAGTCCAGTTGATGCCTTGACCCCCTTGCTGTCATTCTTCGATAAGCTACTTGGCTACTCGGCAGGTTCGCGTTGATCCACCAACATGCACTCTGTGCTACCTGCGAAAACAGCGCTCTGAACTCCATTGAGGATCCCGTACGTATAGAAGACAACACCTATCATGCCATCATTGCCCCAATGCTCGTCATTAATGGTTTTGTCGTCCAATTGAACATTAGGCCAGTCACCTGGTGAAATATCATCGGCATTGACCAGGAATGATTGAAGATCATCAGAGGAAGTATAGATCTTGCCACCATATGTTATACCCAGTATATGACAGGTGTTGTGCGAAGTATGAACAAATGTGGCATTCTGTGCCTCATACTCATGAGTAATATCCAGTGTTTCAGTTGACTCGGCGTAATCACCAAATGAACAAATGCGTACGGGCGTATCAGTGTACTTGTAGACGAATGACAGGTTGTTCGTAGTCCATGGTGCCAATTCCCTACGGCAATCGCTTTTCTCAAGCGTTTTGAGGTCTTCCAAGGGGATGACCAGCCGATCTCCGTTTTCTCCGGGCCTCACCAATTTCTGGAGCTTAGCAGTCACGTCATAGGTTCCGCATACCGCAGCAAGAATCTTGAGCTCTTTGTACTTGACGGTGGGTGCTGGAGCGGCCTTGGCTGGCTGGTTGACGAGACTGGTCGAAGCGTCATTCTTCACAGGTAGTAAGTCCGCCCAAACTTCAGGGGGGACCAACACGAGATCAGTGGAGGGCACTGTTTCATCTCGGAACACAAGGGTTCTAGTACTGATGCTGGAAGTATCCAAATCAGAAGAGCAAGGTGTACGAAGGTCATCGACGTCGCTGCTCGAATCGCTCGGTGCGTAGTCCGCAAAAGAAGACAGGAAAGAATCTTTTTGCACCGTGGACGCTTGTTGCGAAATATTTCGAGAAGAATCCGAAAGGGTTTCGTTGACGATATTTTGCACGAGGTTGTGCTTGATATTCGCGTTGAGAAGGTCGATCTTGGGCAGAAGCTCCGGGTGTCGTGTCAAAGTATTCACCTAGTTCGCATAGTGTTAGACGATTCAAGATAGACGAAAAGTTGAACTTACCACCGCAACAATCTTGCTTATTTCTTTGCCAAGCGCACTGCGTGTAGCCAGGAGAGCGTTAAGTTCAACCGGAATAGCCCTAGGTTTGTCGACTTGGGCTAGAAAGCATGTGTCAGTTCGCCAAGGCATCATACCAGATAGGTCAAGACATACAATACTGATCTCGTTCAGAGATGATATCCTGGACCTTTTTTGACAAGTGGCTGTACTGGATATAAGTGTCAAAGAGCTTAGAGGTGTACGGCGCAACACTGTCATAATCGAGCGGCTTCATGATCTGATAAGCTGACCACTCATTGAAGCTACGATTTGCCTTGTACTTGGTAAGTATTGCCCTTTTCTTGATTAGCCTGGATTCAGTGCCCTAATATTGAGTATTACCAAGTATTCTGAGGATCTTGAGAAACAACACTAGGAAATTCGCGGGCTATTCTCAGAATAGACGGTACGTCTGCAGCGCGATTTACGTCTTCGACCTCCACGCCCTGGACGACAGATGTGATCGCAAATTCCTTGCAAACATTCTCCAAGTCCATGGTAGACTCGGTTAAACCCTTCTTGACACTATTGGAGTTAGCGTTATGTGTGATGATTCGTTAAGTTCTTACGCTTCAATCAGCTTATCCTTGCGATCCGGGTCAGAGCTGACGAAGGAAATGATACTGGTGAGGAGCCCGCCAGTTATGAAGCCTGCCATGGTCAGATTGTAGCAGCAAAAGGGACGCCTAGCTAATACATACCAGAGATATAGGAATCTCCGAATGTCTCGTTGAATCTAGCCGATCCAGCCTCCATGCCATCGATTGGAAGGAATCTGGCAGAGCCTTTCAGGCTGGTGATTTCGCTCATCACCCGCACTGACACCATCAGATTGATATCGGCATCGTCGATTTCAGCATCGTTGAGTGCTTTTGTGTGTCCGTGGACTTCCATCTCGCCAGTCGTGATGGTTGCAGCGCGCGAAATATCCATCGTGTCGACGACTTCGGACACCCGTTCAAAGAGCCTAGTCGAAGACGTGATTTTCGGTGGGAGTGTCTCTGAAGTTATCATGGTCTCGTCCGTAGCGTCGACGGCGCTGTCGATGCACATTGTCTGGGTGTACGAATTGAACCCCATGCCCTACAGATAGATTGTCAGTGAATGGTCTCAAACAAGGCTACGTATGGAAGAATGGTTGACCAGTCCTGATGGTTGGGTTCAAGAGCTCGCAAGGTTTTAGAAGCGGTGAAAGAACATACCAGACGCATGGCATCATTGTATGGTACGAGTAAAGGCGGCATGGCGACCTCGGGGATTGCGGTCTTCGGTAAAGATATTGCAAAGGATGGAAATTGGGAAGTGGATAAACAGGATCGCTGGTGCTTTTTTAAAGTCATGGCGCTCTGCCCTATTGCTGATAAACTTCGCCTTGGGTGCCAACGGATGCTTTGTGGTTAATATTTAGTGGACCGGAATAGAGTTTGGAGGCATAAATACTCATTGGGAGAGCCGGCGTTAGGAGGAAGGTTTGGTCGTTCTTGAATGGCTGTCCTGTATTTAAAGGTCAATGATTAAAAGGCGTCAAGCCTCAGGACACAAGCTGTAACTTTATAGAAGCCACAAGATTTCCAGAGGCGCAAGGTTATAGGTCATGAGACTGCTGACCAGTGTTGGAAACTTTTCCTCAGGCTGATATCCAGTTATTGCTCAGCCTTTGCATAACTCAGCATAATATAATTTTTTCAGAATCTTCCAGATGGTGACGAAATGTTTAGATGCGTACAAATCTTGCAATGGCTATACTTCACTAATTGCCAATGGAATTTTAATGTTACAGGTTTGCACGACTTTCCTACTGATACACCCCAAATTCCTATCCTCCTTTTCTCCAATCCTCCTATCCCACTTTTGGCCAATGTCACGTGACTTGATTTCTAAAATTGCTCCCCAGTATGGGTCAAATGTTTATTGAGAGAATGGAAGAAATTATTTCAAGAGGAAAACAAGCGATTACCTGTTCTTGTCGACAGGAAAGTTGAGAAACTCTCGCGTCGAGGTCAATCTCAGTGATCACATGATGCGGGGTGAACTAAATTTCCAATCCCTGTGCAAATCTCCTGGCCCCACAAGCTTAAATCAACCTCGCCCGGGAAACTCCGTGCTACCCTGTACCAGTCGCGTCGAGAATGGCACTGGAAACACTTTTCGCGAATCATCAGAAAATGGTCAGCATGGTGTTCGGAGCATTCTGAATCGTTACAGAGGACTGCAGAATCGGGGCAGGCCGATACTGGTACAGAGGTTGGGCAGTAGTTGCGGAAAGGCATATGATAGTCTCGCTGACGGGCGGCGATGCTGTCATCATTTTAAACACACTATCTAGACTGCATACTGAGCTCTTTGCCGTTTGGAATAGACTCCCTTGAGACAGTCTCATTTTTATACCTTGAACCAGGAATTCTTTTCTACCAAGTCCGGCATGCTTACCCTGGAGCTTTCTGGCCATGAATGCACCGACATGTTCTGAACTCAATCATGCAAATAGAACTGTAAACTCGACACCGACCAGCCCTGCTTGCTAATTCTTGATCTATTCTGCGACAAGTATAGCAGTAACGCACTCGAACGTTGCTGATCAAATGTCGATTTGCTGTAAATTCGTCCAAGTCTAACTTGCATACCCTGTGGCGGGTGTTGGCACCTCCCAGCCACCAGCATCAGATGTCTGGAGTAGACAAAGCCTTTATCTAACTCCAACTTAAGCGATAATCCAGGCTGTATATTACATTGGCATGTGCCGTGCCGTTGAATACACTCTCAAAACGTTGTGAAGCAGTCGCGCGTGGTGTAACTTGGCTGACATTACCACCCATGTCGTTTTGCATTGCACGCCCATCTCCATGATCCAACGCACTCAATATACATATGGATGGCTTGTGTCTTCCCATTCTGTCTCTCATAGCCCGTGTAACTCGTGTAATATGTTTGTCTACTTGGTTGTCCATATGTGATACTTGCCTACCCTGAACGTCCATCGACGAAAGAGCTGAGCCATCGTCTACTTGTCCAAGTTTAGGATGTTACTTCTGCTAACCATTCCATGGGCACACCATCAAGGAAACCGGCATCGAGAGTGTTTGCAAGCCTTGCTGGAGTTGTCTGCCCATGGGTAGTCTTCAGACTCATTGACATTATCTAGCTCAGATACATCTGCCCCAACAATCTCTGATCAAAACAGCAGTATCGACTCATTCGAACACTATCCGTGTCATTCATTCCTCCTCCTCATCTGCTAGCTCAACATAGACCGGCCCAAACTTGTGACAACAAACCTTGTCCTTCAAGTCAGGCCACATCTCAAGGTACACACCAACACACTCCGACTCTCCACCTGGCACCCTTCTCGCATTCGGGATTCCAGTACACTGTGAAGGATAAACTATGTGGGGATTATGATCATGGACTTTCACTCCATTGCAGTTCATCTCCATTCTCTTAGTATCCTTCAAAATGAACTTTGACCGTTAGCTATATCACTCGCGAAGGTTGAGGGAGAAACTTACAGAAACATCACGGATGTCACCGCTGACGTTTGTTGTCGAAGATGTAATCCATGCACCCGTGACCTTCTCGTATCGTTTGAGTTTGTAGGTCGTTTTTGTTCCCTCGGTATAGCCACCGCGTCTGATCTGGTTATCTTTGTATGTAAACTCCATACCGCACAGTCCCTTGGTGTCGGGGTTGAAGAAAGCGGCTATCTGGGACACACTCGTCCAGCCTCCCTTTCCATCTTCTATCTCCCAGAACATCTTGTCGCTCTTTGTACACAATTCCTCGCGTATATGCGACTCTGTCGAAAGGCATCTCTTGGCCAACGGTGTAGGTTTCCCCGCGATAATGGTAGTGTCGTGCATGTGGAAAACCTGCCAAACAATACTATCCTAAAACAAAATTAGCGTTTCTTCCTCAACATCATACCTGACTTACCAATCTCTCGAAGCGATTCTCCGTATGACTTGATTCGTGCATATCGCGGTGTGGCCCGGGATGCACCTCGACAGCGTTCGGTTCAGGACCAGATTTTTGGATCCGGACTCCGCTGTACTTTGCATATCTGCCATTATGATACGTACAACCCACTAATTCGTTCCAGAAAGTGAAGCTTGTGATTCTTTCACCTTCGCAGACGTCGAGATGGCCAATCTCTTTAAACCACTGACCAACATAAACGGGCCGACTGTTGTCCCAGAATTCGAAGTGGAAACCTGATACCTGTTCTGGACGTCGGCTGCGTCCTTCTCTTCCACATGAGATCCCTACGCGCTTGACGTTGTTGAGACAGACAGAATTTGAAGGCCCTGGGTGGCCTTTATAGCGTTTGCGCGCAGGTGACGGCCACTGGGGCTGAGATGAGTCTGGATGGTCAAGATGTACAAGTCCGAAGGATTGCAGTGACCCATACGATGGAATCATCTTTCGAGGTACAAGTCAGTGTCTTAAGTATACAGATAACATAGGAACGTGGTACAACTTACACGAACCTGCGCCAGAAATCCAGTTACAGGCTCTCTATAATGGACAGCCTCAGTGTTGATTTCAAGCCCGGCCATAGGAAGAATTTTTCTAGAAGTAAAACTGGTGAATAACTGAATTGGAAACCGGCAATCAGCTAAAGTCGTCTTTGAAATGATTCTCGCTACGTACCCTGAAGGACCAACGACCCATCGCATACAGGCCAACGATTCTCTCGCCCGCCGCTCCATCGATAGGAACAGAGAGTTCAATAGCCGTTAATCGCTGTCGGGAGTCAGATACGATTTCGCGGAAGCCGAACTCCCTTTCTGTTCCGTCAGTGTAGTAGAAGCCTAAGCCTTTGACAGTGTGATTTATATCATCGACAAATAAGGCGGCTCGAGTGAGGAGTGGAAGTAGTGAGCCACTTGGGCCGCCAAAGTCCATGTTCAAGATGAAAGCAGGTTCTTCATTGACCGTGGGAGTAAATTTGGTCACCACGTCAGGCTGAGGCGGTGCAGGATGCCAAACATGTTGTTGTCCAAGGCTTCTTCGCTTATCCACAGCAGTGGCGTCGCGTAGCTTCTCAACCAGCTGGATAGAAACGACTTTGCAAGCCTAAACTCGTTAGTTTACTCCCTTGTAGGCTGCAGCTTAAGACGTACATCGAGACCAAGCAGCAAGCCACTAATATAGGGCCCGTTCTGCGGCTTTAGCAGCGTGGTGCCAACATAATCGTCAGGCTTGTCGACTTTACCCACGATCTTCCAGTCTACACCACCGAGCTCATCCTTGATCCTAAAGGCGAGTCCGACTATGCCACCAAAGGTAGTCGCCACCTTGAGAGCGATGACCTGGTCAGATGGCTTGATGACAAATCTCGTTTCTTCGTAAGTGTTGATTAAGCCAATGCGAAACCTCTCAGTATGGTCTCGCCTCGTGACCCGAAATCCGGTTATGTAGTCCCTCCCATCGATATACGCTCGGGTAACGGAGATCCGTGCGCCGCCGAGTCGCAGCTTCAGGTATCGCGAGCCTCTGACATGAATATCCCCGGAAGGATTTGCGCCCCGGTCTCCCCCGAACCCTTGTACTTTCTGTGTCATTTCATATCCTAATGACACTAGCTCCTCTCTCAAACGAGTTGTGTCATCCAGACGTGGGCGTTGGTCAAGCATGGCGATCAGATAGGGCGTGATCATCCCAAGACCCCACCAGATCCGACGCCGGTTCGTCATGTGTCCTGCACTAGAAGTGTCTCTAAGAGCATCCTTCACGTTGAAGTACAGATCTCGCCATGTCTCTGTTCTCTTGTAATCCGTCGGAAAGAAGTCCATTTCGCGATCATAGTTGAAGCGACTTGCCCAGAATGTTTGAGGTAACTCGGTAGGCTTGCTGAGGTTTGCAACTGCCTTTGATGCAAGCCGGAGATTGCACAAAGACACGTTATCTAGCAAGTTGATTATACAGTGATTCAACTCGGTAGAAAGCTTGGAGAACAAGTCTAACGATGTCTCCGTATCATCAACACCATAGGTGCCTCCGTCAACTAAAGGACACGAAGCCGGAGGGGTGACGGATATGCTGGGATCGGCTTTCAAAAAGTCGCAACGGGGATAGTAGTCGCCTGGGAACGTTGCAAGGTATACCGCTGGTTCATTAACAGGGCAAAGATACGATATCCAACCGTCGCGATTCCTAGGCATACTCTGTATGAAGTCAAACAGCACCTGCAGGATCTGCTCGTTTTCATAGCGTCGCCCGGATTCCAAGAACATCTTGTCGCGGTATATAGGCCAGCATGCTTGGTGGATGAAGTATCCTTCATTCGGCTGAATAACTGGGTGCGGTTGCAAAGACCCATCTTGAGAATATCCGAGAGGCGTGAGCGAAAAGTGCGACTGGTCTTCTTCACGCTTGACTGGAGAATGTCAGCAGGTTTCCAGTTACACGTGATGTTCTGTTATGTTACCAGCGAAGATCTCGCGCCACCATACCCGTTGTTGTTGGTCTGCATGGCTGGGGTGGGCGCAGGGGATGGTAATTCCACAGAGAGCACATCTGAGATTTGACATTGTCGCTAGTGATCAATTCAGTTATTTTCTTGATTGCTGGTGAAAAAGCGTGCGATGTTGATGTAGTTTATCGTCTTGCCTCGGAGAAGTTGGGGCTGACGATGAACCTTGTTGGTGGGATTGCAAAAGATCGAGAAGGAAGGATAAAGATGTCACGACTGGATCTGACGTCTTATACCTCCTCAAGGAGTCACAAAGCTTATGAGATAAACTTTCTTGGCTGTGTCCCTTTAGCAATTGCCCAGACACAGTGTTGGAACCTTGGGGCAGATGAGATTTATGGCTGAAAGTATACACATGCCACGTACTGCTGACGATGGTTGATTGATACTTGAAGCTTATGACACCTGAGCGAGACATATTAAGCTACTACACTGAAAAATCCCATCTAAATTTGGAAGGAAAAATGCGCATAGCCTTAACAAAGATAGGCCTCTCAATTAAAAGCTGAATGATATGCTTGTGTAATGACCTGCTGACAATAGAGCAAGAGTTTTATACATGCTGTGATCAGCCCGAGTATAGTTAACTTCACGATACAGATAGCGACTGATCGATAACATCAGCCGTGGCTGGCTATAAAATTGCAGCATCGTACCCCTCCAACCTTTCTGCACAAAGTCTATCAACATCCACTAACTATCGCGCTTCTCCTTGGCCCTCAAAGCCTCCCACTCATGCTCCAGCATCCCATAGTCAATCATATCCCACCACCGTCTATCAAACCAAAGCGCCTCCCTACTCCTCCCTTCCTCCACAAACCCGAGCTTCTTATACAAATGCTGCCCCCGCTCATTAAACCCAAAAGTCCCAATCCCAACACGATGATACCCCCCAAACCTAAACGCCCAGTCCAGCGCCCAATTGATGCTCTCCCCGCCATAACCTTTGTTCCTAAAAGGCTCCGCAATCACAATGCCAATATGTGTAGCCCTATGCTGTTCCATGTTATTGCGTTTGCCGCCCCAGCCGATGCAAATGAATCCGATGGGTACTGGTTCTTCGCTTTCAATATTTTGCGTTTTGGCTTCGGTGGGGGAGAGACAGAGGACTACTGCGAGAGTCGACTTTTGAAACTCTGTTAAAAAGTCTTCGACGCCTTTTTTGTTCCTGGGACGAAGAACAGAAGGGTCTGCGAGGGCCTTTGCGACGGGGTCGTTCTCGATATGCTTGAAGAAGAATTCCTTATCTTTATCGTTATCTTCCGGTGAGCGATAGATAAGGCGTTCCGATTGGAACGCCTTGGTCACGCTTGCAATGTCCATGATGGCGATGATGAACAGAATGAAAGAAAGTGGTTGTGTTTATGGTTTATGTAGTCGTAGATGGTCGTTTATCGCATCGGGAATACGGCACGTATCTAAGCGTCGGGTCAGCAATGCATCGGCGCCTCCACTTTCACCTTCCTATTTGGTGATGGCTCATGAGTCACAACCCAGATTCGCGATAGTCGAGAGGTGATCAATTCTCGACGCGAATTAATTGCGCCTGAGTCATTGATTGACTCACTTTGATAAACAAAAGGACTTCAAGTTTATTGGTATTCCTCGGGATATACGGCATCGTTTTGCAGGAGAGCATGGCGTTAATAGGCATGAGCCCAAGTAATGCTGGATACCCTGGATCATTCTGGTCATCTCATGGCTACACTACATCTCATCTTGGTGACTCAGCTCAACATCCATTCTCGTCAATCTGACCCAGTCTAGAAGAAAGATATCGCATTGGAGAATTGACCTATGAGCTCGACGGTGACCTTCTACTTGCTTATCGTATGTCGCGCAGGATTCTCAATGGCACCTTGATCTGACGTGAGCCTACTATCGAGCCGCTCCAGGTAAGCCCCGACTATCAACTATATGAACGCTCAAGAAGTATTTCTATAGTCAAACTATGGGTAGTATACCACGAAATCATATTGACAGAACGAGAACTCTGCGATGGATGTCTTGGTAACAGGAGCATACAAATAACGAGTCGATTCCAGTCCATGCGTATGCCTATTTTATAACACTTCTCCCCAAAGTCCATCAGCCTCAGACTTGCCGTAACCAAAGACTGCCCTCCCCAAAATCCAATGATCTCCGTAGTCGCAGCGATCATATCACCCGGAACATATTCGACTTGACGCCTCGCTTCAATCCCTCCGCCCTACCATTCTCATACTCGACTCCCGCGCCTCCTCCATCACCAGACATACCCTCCAATTTCTCCCTCAGTTCCTGATCCAGCTCTGCACTTGTCTTTTTTCGAGGCGCCGTCTTGTTTGCGGACGCTTCTTTGCTTGAATCTTCTGTCGTTGGTGATTGAGTCTGACTTGGCTGAGATTTTGCGGTGTGCGGTGAAGCGCGCGGGGGGGTTGTGTGAAAGGTGCTTCTTGTCGCAGTTGCCCGGAGGCTCGATGTAATTAGAGCGCGCTTCATTTTGTGAATGTTGTGTTGTAGTAATGAGATGATAAAGGTTGAAAGTCTGGCCACCCAGAGTCTCATGATGAGTTTTGTGATGACTAAGGGAATACGTCATTGGTTGAGTTGACGGCATAATGTAGTCATTCGAAGTCGTCGATATAACTCTAGACAATGGGAGAGCTTCCACTAAAATAACATGTCTTAATTGCTTTAACCTATAGTCCTTTTTGCTTTCCCTTGAAAGATACACTGTTGACCAATCCGCACTCCCTTGTTGTTTGCCTTGTCCCAATACACCCGCGATGGCCTCTAAGAAATCCTCAACAACCATCCATCAGCCTCAGTCTCCCCCTTCGCATTAACACCTCCCCACATCAAAACCCCCTTCCCATCCAAACATCCATCAGCACCAAAGAACCCTCTCGGTCCTGGGTGCACCTTACCCGCCTCCTGCGTCATCTCCGCCGGTGCAACCTCAAGCTCATGCCAACTAAACGCTCCCGACTGAACACCTGGAATCGTGTCGCGAATAGCATCCTTGACCCGTGTAGCACTGTATCCATCGGAGGGAAGTTGAAGCGTCCACATATCAGAGTAGAACGGGTGCTCTTCGGTGTACGTCTTATCACTAGAAATTGATGCGTCTTGACGGCTGCCGAGGAGGTAGAGCAGGTAGCGGCGTCCGTGGCCAGTTGTTACGGGGATCAAAGCGCTGCCGACGCGGGGACGTGGACCGGGAACGAGAGGGTTGGAGGGAAAGTCAACGGTTGTCCACTCCGGAAGCTGCTCAAGAGATTCATCCTGGATCGTACCGGTCTTGATATAGTGCACCGACCCATGAACATCCGACTCTGCACTAATAGCATACAGCGTCCCCCCAACAAACTGCGCCGCCAAAGACTCAGCAGGCGCATCAGGCAAAGGATGCCAAAGACGCGTCGTAAAGTCAAACAACCACGTCGTCTTACTCCGCTGCCCATTCTCAAAACCCCCATGAAGAACAAGATTATCCTTCTTGGCATCGTAGAAGATCTGATGGCCGTAGCGAGCCTGGGGCGCTTTCCCAGCAGCGGTTATTGAAGACCATCGTGCGGCTTTGGGCTCCCATTCCCAGAGGGTGAACTCATCGTCGACGGGTTCGTCATCGCTGTTTTGGCCGCCGTGGATGATGAGCGTGTTGCGCCGTGTGCAGGAGGCGTGGTTGATGCGTGGGGAGGGGATTTGGCCTTCGTTGCCTACAGCTGGGTAGCATGCGTATTCGGCTTCACCTGGATGATCGCCGATTGATACAGCGTGGATGTCGTTGTTGCAGAGTTTACCATCATCTTTCTTGCCGCCAAAGATGTACGCTTTGCCATCGATGACACTGACGCTATGATGAGATCTCGCAAGGGATAGACTACTCTTGTTAGCACTGCCACCCAGCACTGCGTGACGGACATACGAATTATCCTCCTTTGGGGTCGTAGCGATTTGGCTCAAGACTGCAGTGAGCGGCTGCGTAGGACGCGCTACGGTGGCTGCGGCGCCGACTTCAAGGCCGGTTGAGACGAGTTGCTCGACTGCGATGACACCAGCTGCAACTTCTGCCATTGTGAATGATGATTTGGTGAGATTGTGTTGATGTTGAGAGGAGTTGAGATATACGAGGCTGAAAGATGACGGGGAGACATGACGTATGACGGATGCGGGCCATGACGTAATTTTGAGAAGGCCGGAATGTGTAGTCGTTGGAATGAGATCGACTCTCTTTTATGAGAAGTCAGTAACTACTACTTGTTCAAAGACTACGGAAGAAGTATCAATTGATGATTTTGGGTACTGTTTTCTACCGGCAGATGCGATGCGACTCTACGATTGATAGCTCATGAGCTAATGGCAGCGCTCACCAATCCGACTTCAGAGCCAATTCTCATGTCGCATCAAAGACAAAAGACTCAAAAATCACCTTGCGCTCATCAGCGACATGTGAAAGCATCAAGACTTTGTATGGAATGAAATCAGAGTCTAATAGCGAAAACGGCAGTGAGCCAATCGTAGACTTTTATCTCTCTCCGGAAATAAACGGGCGTATGCCAATCCGTCGCGTATCCATTCAATCCTCAACGATCAACGCGCCAACCCAGACGCGCCACCAAGTCATGATGACAATAGTATTAAGGATGCTGAAGACACAAGACTTGCACAGGCATCAAGAACGTAAACATCACGGTGGAATCGGAACGAAAATTAAGTAAATGTACGTGCTCAGAGCACTTGGATTAAATATGTACACTAAGGTTATCGATCATCATCTCTATCTCAATCTATAGTCTAACGTCTATAAGGTCATTCCATCATGCGTTTATTTGCTGCGACGCTCCCACTCGTAAATAGCCATCATGAAAGGTCCCATACCGCGAGTATCGTTAGGAACAACAGGAACCTCAGTGTAATACTGCAAAAGTCAGCCAAATCCATGATATCGCTCGACACAAACTTACCTCGAAAGAAGCATCACTGTTCAACGATCCAACCTCGACGGTTCCCTCCCAGGTGATGGTACCGTTGTTGTTTTTGGTCACAAAGTCTCGAATGAGGCGCTTGTAAGCTTGCTTAGCGGGCTTGGTGTACGTCTTCTCATCGAGAAGGCCGCGTCGGAGACCAGCTAGCCAGCCGTAGGTGAACATGGCAGAGGCGGAACTCTCAATGTAGTTACCCTCTACACCCTCGTACTCCTTGTTCATGACGAGTTCCCAGAGGTGAGACTCGTGGCCCTGGGCGCGGAGAAGTGCGGAGGAGAGATCCTTGTAGTATGTGACGAGACGCTTGTAGCCGGGGTGAGACTTGGGGAAGACGTCGAGGACTTCGATGAGCGACCAGATGTACCAACCCACGGCGCGGGACCAGACGATAGGTGAGGCGCCGGTCTCGGGGTCAGCCCAGACAGCGATCTTGCTCTCGTCGAAGCCGTGAACAGGAAGACCTGTTTCCTTGTCGATGGTGACTTCCTGGATCTTATCCCACTGAAGGACAATGTCATCCCAGGCAGTAGTGTTCTTGGCATCGAACTCAGCAGTCCACTCAGCGTAGAAGCTATCGCACATGAAAATGCCATCCAGCCACATCTGATCCGGATACGTCGGCGAGCGATGCCAGAACCCACCAGTCGGCGTCCTAGGATGCTGGTTGATCCTATCACGAATGAAATCCGCAGCGATCTTGTACTTCTCCTCACCAGTCTGCTTGTACCAGTACAGCAAGTTCATACCAATGCGGTAGTTGTCAAGCGAGTACTTTGTAAGGTCGTAGTTGATGATGGTGCCGTTGGGGGAGACCACGTCGTCCATCTGGTCGCGGTACCAGGAGAGCAGGGTCTTGTTCTTGGTGAGCTCGATGGTCGCTTCGATGCCCTCGTAGACGACCGCGCGGCCGTACCAGTATGCGCGTTGGGTCTCGCGGTTGTTGCGGATCCATGAGTCGGCGGTCTTGGCGAGGAGGTTGTTTGCGAGGACGAGGTTGGCGGATGCCACGGTGAGGAGGGTCTGGAACTTCATGGTGAGCGATGAGATTGTCAAAGTTCGATATCGAATCAATTTACCTGCGGCGTTGAGCTAGGTATTTAAACAGCGTTGCAAACATTCGATGCGATCCACTGTCATTTTTGGAAAGGGGAGGTTTCTCCGTGTCTATCGGACGGCCTAACCAATAAGCTTAATTGTCTAACCTTGAGCTTATCCATCTTCTTTTTTTGGAAGACGGACGTTTCATATTGATTAGGACAATTACCGTGCACAGTTACATTCACCATGGATTATCCCGGCGGACCGTGATTCTCCGCCAACCGGATACGATGGGAGAACGATCAGAAAAGTCAAGATGTTTTTTTCATCCGAACTGTTCATTTGTGTTGGGCTGAATTGGGAAGTATCAACGGTTCACCGTTGGGGAGATTGATAGCCGCATATACGAATGGGCTTGGCGCGATGACAGTCGTGAACGATTATCCACCTATCGGACGCTTATTTTAGAGTATTAAGTTTGTCTTTTGGTTTGTTTTAATTACGCTTAAGTCTGCTGAGCCTCTTGATGGCGCGATCCCCCACGATTGCCCCCAATGTCTGCAAGTGGGCGATTAAGGACACGTCGGGTTACGCGTCGCGGATCGGGATGGCGTAATGCCCCTGCGTTTGTGCTATCAGATCGATTGAAGCAGAAAGACTGTAGAACGATCGAATAGATCTGGAAGCTGGCTTTAGAATTGCCATATTTGTATCGAGACTGAATCGTTGTCGGTCGCGAAAAGTCGCGAAAGATAGCATATACGCGGTGAAAGAGGCTTGCGACACCAGCACCAATTGAGTCCGCGTAATCTTTTTTTAAAGGCTGAACAGCTGCAAGCTAAACTTGCAGACCACTTGTATATTGCAGAACACGGTGAAATAGCCATACTGATACAAAAGAGAAGCAATTGAGCCAATAGTCGATGCCAAGAGATGTTCGCCCAAGCAACCCCACGAACATTGGGGTGATCCACAAAGGCTTCACGTCTCCATACTTATTGGACATGAGCTCAATGCCTTTATTTTGCTACTATGCATTACAAGATGAACGACAAAAGCACAACAAAGGAGCCTAGTTATGGAAGAAACCTGAGTAGGGATCCTGTAGCTTGCTTGAAGCAACCAATGTTACTATGAACGCGACATACAGAGGTGATCCTTATCTTCCGACATTGATAAGATAAGCCTTCTCTGATATCGGCTATCAATCAGTTTCCAGCTACCCGGGACTTCAAGAACTGGTATTTCGTATTGAGTCCTGATACATGGAGAAAGTTAGTACAGAGTAGAAAAAACATGTTAAGGTCAATCGGCTATTCAATTGCAATTACTGGGGAACATTGGGCTCATAATTGTTACCGTCATTAGTACCATAGCAGAGGTATAGGAAAGTCATGTCTGGTGTCGCCCCACATCCGCAAGGCTAGGCTACGAAGCGCGAACCTAAGGAGATAAGTGACATTAAGAGTTGTGGACTGCTCGATAGAAATTAAGATAATGGCATTCTTGACAACAAGATGAGATGAAGTTGACCTTTAATTTTAACACAGATAACTGTGAGATCTTAACTGGCAAACGCTTATTTACCATATCACCCGCATCGGCTCCTCGATAGCCTTACACGTATCTGACTGAACCAGCTATCACTCCGGCTTTCTTCCCCAGATGAAATAAACAGGAAGATAAAGATGGATACTCGGGTCAGAGAGATCCTTCTTCACCTTTGCCATAAACACCTGAATCTCCTCATCACTCCATCCCAGAACACGCGAGAATATACCAGGAGTATACGACGTAATGACCTGCGCTTCCTGCACAGATTGAAACTTGCCAATCTCTTTGAGCTTCGCATCCTTCGGCCAAGATCCAATAGGCACCTATTTCGCCATCAGCAGACATTTCACAATCAGAAAACATCTCACTACAACGTAAGCACTTACCTTGAGAACCTTTTGCTCAACATCCACAAACCCTGCATCCTCCATCTCCTTCTTCCACCCCGGCGCTACATTCAACGGCTTTCCAAACTTCGAAGACCCGTCAACCATAGTCTTCATCCAAAGCAACGCGTTATCCGCTCTATCTTTCGTGTCATCGTCTGATTTGAACTCTGAGTGCACCGCCTGCATCTCGAGGTATCCACCTGGTGCTAGACTTGCCAGAGCACGGGTGAAGAACTGTGCATTGTTGCTGATGCAGCCTTGTAGTTCGCGCGCGTGGATGAAGTCAAAGGGCTGGCGGAAGAGCCAATCTGATTCGAAATCATCGACTTCGAAGACACAGTTTGGTGGGGTCCTGGGGATGTTAGAAGTGTTATGGGGAAGGGAGGGGGATATACCATGGGGGTTGGATTGGGCTTAGATCGGTGCCGAGAACTTCGGCTTGGGGATATTCGCTGGGGATTGTTAGATATAGGATGTGAGGGATGGGGGAGTGTGTACTCGGCGAAGTCCATGGCCCAGATGCCTGTTCCTGTGCCGAGGTCGAGAACGCGCTTGACTTTATCGCCGATGGGCGCGAGGAAAAGATCGCCGCCGAGGATGAGACGGTAGATATGATGGCCTAGATCCATTCTATCTTGCTCCTCGTCATCATTTGGCTTACGATCGTCAGTGCATGTTTGCATTGAGATATCTGTTGACTTACGACCAGGTAAGCGCCTTCACGAAATGCATGATATCGTCGTCCATTCTAAGATTGGTCAGTCAGGGCAAGTGTCTAAGCAGCTTCTTGAAGCCATACTTCGTATCTGTAGGCCAACGGTTAGATGAGAACGCATCCATGTAATGGTACATACTTGTAGTTCAACACGCTGGAGTTCAGTGAAGTCAGATAACTTCCCGACTCAAGGCTAGACAACACATCAGTGACTATCCATCAGAAGACGCGAAGCACGTACGAAGCAGCCAATGCAGAATCATGGCTCAAAGACGCAGCATCCTAGCAGAGTCAGTAAACAGTCAAGCCTTCTTCGGAAAGCGTACATCTGCCTGAAGAGGGCCTTCGTGTTCATTCGCTTCTTGCGCCATTTTTACCCTCTCCTTCGAAGTCTCGACGAAATTGAATGCGCGATAATTATATGTTTTTGCTCAATTGCGGGCGCCGCAGTGATCAGATCATTGCGTGGCGGGCGACCAACGCAGGGTTGTACTGGATGCCATATTCGGAAGCTGTTTGTAACGAGGGCGGGGGCTGGTCATGAAGCGGCTGCAGAGCAGCGGCGCAAGACAGATTTATGAGGGAACTTATCTTATTTTATTAATTAAAAAAAATCCGTGATTGTTAATAAACTCGAACTATGTACTGCTGGCCAAGAGATGTAGAAATAATTGACTATGTGTATCATAGTGCTGGTCGAGCCAAAATTTCAAGTATTTGCCGGGATAGGCATTTACGGCGGAGGCACAGCAGCCGTGGAACGAGCAGGGGCAGGAAGAGAGCTCATGTCGACCTTGAAGCCCAGAGGTGCTGCCTCGCGTTTATATGACAAGCCACTCATCACCCCATCGAGAAAGATCTGAGATTCGACTGGTGATGCCTCTGTCCGATGTCTCCGCACTTCCTCCAGCTTGATCTTCCTGCCTTGCTCAGTCCAAGGGAATGGCGATCCCAAAGCAAGCTCGACGCCCAGTTTCGCTGCTGCGACACTGCTTTTTGTCGCATGACCAAGGATCCTATCCTGTATCTCGATGGGGAGGTACCGGAGCCTACTGGGCGCAGGCTCGGCTCGAAGGTCTGATGCCCAGTGAATCAGGTCGATAGCAAAATCAGAAGGAGGAGTCTCGCTAAAAAGTGACTCGGGCTGTGTGTATATTACTTCGCCGTTGTGAACTTTGCAGCAGACGATTTGCCTGAGGGTCAGTATTGCGTATCTTGCAGTACCAGTCGTTGCGTCGGCGAGCACTGCGTGGCTTTTCATATGCTCTTGTGTCATCGCAAGGCCCTCGGGAATATCTCGTACCAAAACAAACCAGCTAGAGCCAACCTGAGCAACGTTTTTATCGGGGGCATCCCATTGTGGCAAGTCTGTCACTCTGACATATGGCCCGCCGCAACCAGCAACGTGGTCGAATCCCATGCGTTCCACTACAGTGAAATCCATAGTTGATATCCAGACAACAGCATATGCCAGCTTCATGAACGTGATATCATTCATAACCCTTCTCAGTAGATGACGCCATGTTTGGCCAAAGTCGCGGAGGATGCGACCAAGGAATGCCTTCGTTCGAGGATCAGATTTAGGCTGAAGATCCAAGTACGGTGCTGAAACGAGTGCCTCCTCTGTGATTGCTTCAGTTGGTGATTTCAGTATCTCAAAGTCGTCCAAAGTAAGTAGCCGATCGCGCGCTACGCTGAGAGGTGCAGAGCAAAGCCGGTCATGCTTGGTGAGAATAAGAACATCCTTATCGAGGTCAAATGTCCAAACACTATTGAAGGCCCGACCTCTTGCGTCGCCGAAAGGATTTACAAAATCACAGACATCTCCCCATTCGAGCCTGATACCTTCTTCTAGCCCTCTTGAGATTTCATCTGAGATTGAGTTAGCGAATGATTAGATGACGAGATGGTTTGATGGACCTGGGCAATTGTCGCGGCCAATGAGAATGCGAGAAAACAGCTCGAGAAACGCGACGTCATCTGCATTGAGCTTTTTTGACAAGCACCGGCGGAGGCACTTCCCTAGAGATTAGAATTAATCCATTGTCGCGTAGATGGAAGTGAGAAATAAACCTTTTAATATGTAAATAAGCACGAACAAGACTGACATCGTGATGGGTTGATGTAAGAGCGAGAATTGGCTGATCCATTTTCGGAAATTCGTGGAGCGGTTGACAAGGTCCATGCACGAGCCACCAAAACAGGTCGTCTATACAACACGAGGTTCGCGATGTATACCAAGATATGGCTTCTGTTTCAGTCTCTACAGATCTGGTTTTTACTCTTTTACGCCCTTCTAATTGTCGCATTGACTTCAAGAATATTGTTTGGTGAGATTCGCGCTTTGTGATCCACACAGGGATTGCGGCACGGACTTGGTCGCGTGAAAAGACGCGCTGTTTCACTTTGCTGACATCTCATCCTCATCTTCACGGCTGATAAAACCGAATCATCTCAATAATTAGACCTTTTACACTCAAGACACTTTCTTCAATTCCATACAAGGCAAACCTAGCTGCAAGCTCTTCAGCCATCGCCATCTTCAACGCCTCAGTCACCGCCAGAATGTCAACATCAGTCAAAGACCTCCTCCTCATCCCCTCAGACGCCATGACCCTCCATGGAAAGGTCCTAGGCGCAGACACAACAGCAAAAACATACCTCCTCAACTGTCCACCCGACTCTGATAGCTGTGACAGAAACGGCCAGACAATCACTCTAGAACCATGGGCCGAGAAATCACTCGCATCAAGCGCAGACCCAACAGGAACCATGGACGTAGTCATCACGGAGCCACAAGACGGCACAAAGTGGTACTACTCGCTTCACTGCGAGATGAGCAGATCTGTTGCGCAGGCGTGTACCATGATTAACAGACCGGCTGATGGACCCTCGACTATTGGATTGAAGACGTACAAGGGGGAGTCGGCTTTGAGAGAGATTTATGGACCTACGTTTGAGTATGGGAGGGTTACACTTACTGCTGGGCTGGAGAAGCTTAAGAGTGAGTATCCGAATACCACTACGGCTGAGGGTACAGAGTCTATTTCTAAGGAGACTGGCAGTTCTACGGCTGGTGCTGATGCCCCAGCTGAGTCGAACGGCGGTTTGAGGGGCGTGAAACTTTCTCTGGCTGCGGTATGCGCTGGATTGTTTGCTACAATGGCATTGTCGATATGAGTATCCATTGTTCCTCTCGGGAGAGACAACAACAGTCATTGATACATGCAAGGCAGACGAGATGCATAATATACGAGAGAGATGTATTTCAAATTGAGAAACCCCGAGCTATTGGCCTTGGATATTTAACATTAGAGTAGTCACTAGTCACTGCTCCGAATCAGGCCATGTTCATGAAGAGCAGGAATTGCATGCCACTCAACCCATTCCGTACACTTCCAAAGCGGCTTACGCTCTTCCCCATCACTATAAAAAACATATTCATAGTCCCCAACCTTCTCTCTAAAAGGCTCAACGCGACCTTGCTTCCTCGGATTCGAAGCCTTTTGCTGCGGCGGAGTCGGCAGGGAAGCAAGAACCGTATTCCATTTTTCCGGATGGACGTCGGAACCAGTATAACCCAGCAGTTGTTTAGAATAGAAACCCTCTAATTGAGCTGGATCAGGCGACTCTCTACTCTCATAGCTCATCCCGTTTGCTGAAGTGACGTCGCCGGTGACATGGTACAGAGTACCAGAGCCGTCTTTGCTGGTCTCCACGAATATGGCGTGATGGAAGCGACCGGGCGGCATGTGCGGATCTGGGAGGGCCATATGCGATTTAGCTTTATAGACGGGATAGTTATCGGGAGTCATGATGGCAGCGGTGAGGAGATGATGTCATGTCTGGAGATGAGAGTTGTGAAGATCAGTCATCGGGGTTCCGCGGCACGGACCCACTAGTGCCGCCTTGCCGAAGAGCGGACGGCCGAGTTCTGTATCACGCAGCTCCGGAGAACCGAGGCGCGCGTCGAATCAAATGGGCCTCGGCTTTGGAATAACCTCGATATAGGTCGGAGTGAACAACTTAGGATAACTCTTTGGTGTTTTGAACTAATCGACAGGTGCCATTGGCCGCATGATTGCTCACCGACAGCTGAACAGCCGGTACAGAGTAAGGCCGCGGTGTTTGCGTATACAGAATTGAACTTGACCAACGAATTGCGGAACAACGAAAGTGAAGATCCTGTTTTAGCTGAAAGCGTTTAATCTTGGAAGGTCAGGGATGTACGTCGTGTGATAGTATTAGCCACGCAGTTGTGGTTTCGGATCATAGGTCGTTCAAAATATCTCAACATGTCCTCGTGTTCTGAATAGCTGCAAGTCCTTTTGCAGCGTAGTCGAGTCTTTAATTAATTCATTTAATCACTTCTAAGTAGTCCGTCTTCTAGGCGATATTAAAGTGGTAGTCTCTATGCAATGCTCTTAGATCCTTTAGTCATGCTCTTCGAGCGAAGGAAGGACCATAAACTCGGAGGAAGAACTCAAGATTGAGACCGGGAACATGCTGACATGACTTCAGTGCCAGGCCGACGGTCTCATTGCTTCTGGGGTCAAAAGGCCGGTACTTGCGATATCTGAGTGATCCTCACCGCCTGCGAAACTTTGCAACGAGATGGCCTCATTCACCGGCGATGCAACGCAACGTTTCATTTCATAGATCTCTAGGACTCACAGATGATTTACCGGTCGACCAAAGATCCATTATCTAATCTTTCCGAAGTCTCATCCGCGATGAACGGATTTCTCGGCCTCCGGATATGACTCCTTGGTGTTGAGGCGCATTACACTCGGCATTCCCGAAAACCCCATTTTAGTGGAGTCGAGGCAGTGTACCGCCCCGTCTCCCGGAAAAGCGGCTCACAGGATTCACGATTAGCGAGGTCAAGACGAAGCTTATAACACAATTTGATAGGGCGTGATACATGTGATTGGGACTTTGGTGGTGGGTTGCAATGCCAAGATGACAGAAGGTTAAAGAGCTGGAGAACACGCTTTTGCCAAGGCCGAGTTATCCTGAAGATCTCCTTCTCTGTAGTCCCTTTCTGTATAAGGTGTTATTCGGCATTCGAGGACAAAGTTCCATTGTTGTCTTTTGAGGGGTCTGCTCCGGTGAGTGTTCTACAATCCCAGCCCCCTAACAAGGGCGACGTAAGCTACCGTTTACAAATTCAGGCTAATCTCAACCTCCTGAACGAGACGGCAAATGATATTGCTAGTTGAACTCTTCAATTGGCTCATTTGACTCTTTCTTTCGTGGTATTAACGTTATACAGCCATTCCGCATTCCTGTGAGCCGTAGTCCGCGGAGTGCACGTGCTCCGCCACGAAACAAAACGCCTGAATGTCTTTGTTTCTCAAGACTATCCTGCGCTTGGTCTAGTAGCCAAACTCAAAAGCATAACGTGGTGATTACCAAAAGTTACAAAGCTGAAGTGGAGCCCGGCCGTAGATATCTTATACGGGATAGTGTTTATGGTTGTCTATAGGCTTGTACATACGCTTAAACACCATTAATTCGATGAGAATAACTGTCCCAGCCTGTTTTGAGATCTTTGAGTATGGTGAATGCAGCGTTGCAGCCGTTCCGAGTCCAGCGTTCCGAGTCCAGCGTTCCGAGTTCCGGAGTGGTTCCGAAAGTGCGGAACGGGCTGCAGCATCATGATACTCCCTTTGATGCTTGGCAGTATCAGCCCTTAAACGACGTTGACGACATGTTTCGTCAATCACTGCAGTGTCAGAATGTTTTAGAATAATTCCGCTAGTCACATATCATCCTCATCACGGACAATTATCCCAAACAGGCTCGCCGTGAAGCAACACCTTGTAACTCAGTGTGATTCCAGCATCAAATTACAATTCGATGTTCTCGATCCTGCGCAGCCCCTGGGAGCCGCGTAATTCATCTCGATCTCTTCCTCTCTAATTCAGCCTTATCGGCTCTTGAGTGCCGAAAACGTGCATGCCAAGATGCGCCGTTTCAGGTGAATTGGGAGGCACTGCCAAATATGCATGATTCTCGCTGCTAAACAGAACCTACGCCTGCTAAACAATCATTGAGGCTTACGCAGTTACTGACTTCTCTCGGTATGACACAGACGGTTCCAGATGCTGAGACCCACGTTTCAGCCGACATTTGGTCACTGATTGGCTGCACCGTAAAGACAGGGATTGAGGCCCTGCTAGCGTGTAGACTGCGCCTCTTGGCGGGTGGAGAAGTGCGACATGTTGATATTTCCCCGTACCAAGGGCACCATCCAACGGCATCAAAATTCTCTCGCTTTCCCTGCCTTTGCTTTGTTTTTTTCGACCCAAGCTTTCTCGTAACTACCTACCAAGGAAACATGACTACCTCGTCGAACCAACTCGTAATCCTGCCCAAGAAGGTCAAATGGCAGCGCGCCTCTAGACCAAAAGTTCGCACTGGCTGCTTAACCTGGTATGTCCCCTACGCCGTGTGTTCAATTGACGAATCAGAGACTAATATGTATATAGCAAGTACGTATTTGTGTTTTAATTGGATACTGAGTCGTTGCTGATCACTGTGAGTTGTAGAGTTAGGCACTTGAAGTGCGATGAGGAGAAGCCGACGTGTCGCCGTTGTCGCGATGGCCGCGTTAAATGCGACGGCTACGCTACGCCTAACAAGAACCAGATCCAGCAGCGCGCTTCACTGCCCGTCGCAGGATACACCATCTCGTCTCTCAACCCCCGTATAGCAGAGTCATCCATTGAGAACTGCTATTTCCACCACTTTCACCACTGGACCTCGTCGCAACTCACCTGCGCGCCTGGCTCATCAAACTTTTACATCAAATATGTCCTCCCTCTTGCGCACTCGTGCGAACCTATTAGACACGCCATCATCGCTGTTGGCGCGGCGCATAGGTTCTACATGGCCGGCCAGGAGACGTGCTCTCCGCTGCAGCAGCTGAAAAGCTTGGCGATGCAGCAGTACAACAAGTCCATCCAACGTATAATACCCCACATGTCCATGGAGTCTGCCTTTGATCTGCAGTGTACTCTTGTATGTTGTTTGTTGTTTGTTGCGTTTGAGGGTATCACTGGTCGATATGCAGAGTCCATCCGACATATCCGCGCCGGAACGAAACTGCTCTCGTCGCCTCTTCTGATCAACGGTGCGAAGGAGCAGAAGATGACGAGGAAGCTTACAGAGGTGTTTGCGAACCTAGGCGTTGAGGCCTCGATGTTTATGGAGGACACCATCATTCCGGATATCCACTCTGGCTGCCTTGATGTTTTGCAGAGCGGCGATATCTCGGACCAGCCATTCCAGGACCTCGATGAAGCAGCAAGTTACCTACGCAGACTTGACGTCGAGACCGTCGACATTATCGCGCAGACACCTTATTCATGCTCCATGAACGGCGACGGCCAGATCGACGTGTTTACCCTTGACGCTCCGCAGAAGGAGGAACTTGAAAGGAAATGGGCCGAGATGGACGCCAAGTTTGAGGTTTGGAACTCGCGATTCGAATTGACAAAGAAACACATCGCGACATGGGAGTTCCAAGACCTAGCGTCCCCGCAACTCACATATCTCAACATGCAGCAAACCTTTTGGCGAATGGGCATGTCCTGCGGTCCCGAAGACCTCTCCGAACCAACCCCCGACACCGCCGAGGCATTCCTCAACGCCGCCGAGATCTTCGCCCAGCGGCTCATAACACCCGGCCAACCGAGCTACTCCCTCGACGGCGACTTAGTCTCTGGCCTGTCAGTGGTGGTATGGTCGTGCACTGAGGGCCCGCATCGTGATAGAGCGCTGGATCTGCTGCGGAGGTTGAATAGACGCGAGGGCATCTGGGATAGCAAGGAGATTGTGCAGATGCACGAGGCGGCGCTGGCGATGGATGATCCGAAGTTATGGTATAACATGGAGATTCCGGGCGGTGTGCCGGGGTTTGTGGCGGAGTTGGCGAAGATTTCGCCGAGGTTTGGGTTGCATCGCTCGGGGCTGTTGATACCGGATTTTGAGTGTATTTAAGCACGTTAGGCATTTTTTGGTGGGCGATTGATTGGTTTGAGTAATATCCCTTGCGCGCGATCGTCATGGCTTGAATAAAAATAAACATAATCATTACGTCACTTGCAGAATTGATGAGTCTCGGCTGTGAGAAATTAATTTGTTGTGATGCTTATCTTGCGATTTCCGATGTCATCTTGTCAGATCAGACCACTACGTCATTAGCCTCACCTAAGATACAAATGCCCGCCCCTCTCCACGCCTCATCTAAACCTCTTGCTACAAGAAGCACAATTGACGCTTACACACCAGTAATTGATTAGACTATTTATTTTAATTGATCGGCATGTCCCAACTCGAGCGCTCCCTTAAAGCGACCAGCCTCTCAGAGACGCTAAGTACATACAATGAATGGGCAAACACCTACAATCAAGACGTCGAAAAGGAAGAATACGTCGCTCCCCTCCTCGCATCCAAAGATCTAATCACCCATCTCAACACCCAAATCTCCTCCGCTAAAATTCTCGACGCCGGCTGCGGAACAGGACTCGTCGGCGAAGCCCTCACCAACCTCGGCGCCTCAAACATCCACGGCATAGATCTAAGTCCCGGTATGCTCCAAGTCGCCGAGCGAACAGGCGTGTATAAATCACTCAGCGTCGCGAATTTAGCTGAAACGCTGGATATTCCTTCACAGACTTATGATGCGGTTATTTGTGTTGGGACTATGACGGAGGGACATGTTGGACCTGAGGCATTTGATGAGTTTGTGAGGGTTACTAAAGCTGGGGGCGTTATTGTTTCGACGATTCGAGAGTCTGTTTGGCAGAGCAAGGGATATGAACAGAAGGTTAATGGGCTTGAGGAGCAGGGCAGGGTGAAGATTGTGGGGAGGAAGAGGGAGCATCAGAGGATTGGGGCTGGTGTTTATGCGTATTTTGTTGTTTTGCAGGTTACAGACATGGCGGCTTAGAACACCTAACTCGGATACCTCCGTGTCTGTTTGGCCTCAACGACTGTAGTCCGATTCTCACGCATGGAAGACAACATGCAAATGTAATCTGATCTCCAAAGTGTCTGACTGGGCAATGAGCACTTGTACTAGATAGTAGCGATATAGGTCTAGCGGTATATGTCATGACTTTTCGCTATACGAGGATGACTATTATAGCGCCACGCGTAAGGAGGCTAGTGGAACACGAAAAGGATGATATTTGCATGATTCAAAACGGTTAATCGGCTCTTAAACAGCCTAAGCCAGACGATCTTCACGATTCATTGGCCATTTTCGTCCCAAAATAAACGATGAATCCTTCGGCGAAGGCACAGAGCAGCTAAGCTTCATTTCGTGAACCTCATTCGCCGGGTTTTATCCATCCCCTATTTCTAATTTCCAGACCCATTCTTCAACCAATCATCGTCTCTGTCGGCCAAGTTCAATCAGAGACGTCAATGCCTTACAAAAAGCACGATATTCGCAACAACCGTTCCTCGTAAAATACATCGACAAAATGGCTCGTCCATCTAACATATTGATGCTTCTTAGCGTCGTAGGCGGCTTTGCGGCTGCTCAGTATGATCAGAAGAAAGAGAACAAGGACGCAACATGCGACGTGAGTTGATCCTATGACCTCGCAGTAATGGCGCTAATAATAGTGTAGAATAATTGTTTCTTCAAATATTTCACTAATAAATGCAACGCCGATAATCCCGCGTGTGTATGCACCCTCAAAGACATGCGCGAAAAATTCTTCTGCTGCATCGCTAAAAACTGCGCCGAAAACGTCTTACCAGGTAATGCCTCCCCATCAATTGACCAAACTGTGAGTAATTTGGGTACAGAGCAAATTGAGAGATCTTCGAGTGATTGCGATGCTCACGGCATTCCTTTCACTTTCGACGCTGAGGCTGTTTGTGGAATTAAATTGCCTTCATCTGAGACGGTCTCTGTTTCGGTGACTACCTCGGAAGCTACTACTGTTACCAAGGCGAAGGCTTCTGAGACTGTGACTACGACTGAGGAGGAGACAACGAAGGCTGTGACTAACGCTACGGGTTCTGAGAGCTCGGTGGCGAGTCAGACTACTTCCGCGGCTGCGGCTACTGTCACGGATAATAGCGCCTCAAGGGCGAAGGGTATGGTTGCTGCGGCTGCTGTTGCGCTTGGTGTATTTATTTAATATCTCGTCATATCCGAATAAAATTGATTGAGGCTTATCGCGGAATTGAATCGATGTTGATGTCCTGGTTAGCCGATAGGCGATCTTCAGAGCCATGACCATCAAAGATCACCAATTCAGATGAGCGAAGGTTTTATACAGCGAATCTAATGGTACTTGGTTCAAGATATATACATGAATGGAACAATGACTAGAAACCCTGTATTTCTAGAGCATAAGAAGCCGTGCATCCACAAAATGCGCCGATCTAAGGCTCCGTTGGCTCAGGCTGAGCCGCAAGCTCAACCGGTGTAAGATTAAGCCCATTCGATCCCAAAATAAGCCCATATCCAGAAGACCCAGCACTCTCAAGATAAAAATAAGGATACAATCCCCTCGCATCACACGTGATCTCCGGATTATAATAACAAAACTTGCCCTGGACCGAACAATTCAACTCTCCCGAAGCGCCGAGCTCACAATCGATAGGCACGTAGCGAGCATCCGCCTCGTCGGCAGGTGGACAGCCAACGATGTCGCCGTATTGTTGGCCGGTTCTGAAGAATGCGCACATGAGCTGGTTTCCGTTGACGAGCTTGCCGCGGGAGTTGACGACGAATGTGCCGGTTGTGTAGTCGCTGGAGGGGTTGTTGAAGTAGACGGAGCCGCCAGGCTGGATTCGGACTTTGAGGGGGCCGGTGGCGGATACGCCTTGGTTGGGGTAGATGTTGAATTGGGTTGAGTCGGGGAGCTCGGCGGTCGTGGTAGTAGCTGCCTCTGTAGTTGTAGCTTCTTCGGTGGTTGAAGCGTCTTCTGTGGTCGTAGTCTTTTCGTTTGTTGTCGTGGCTGCTTCAGTGGTGAGGGTTGTCAGGTCGCTGGTAGCAGTCAAGAGAGTCGTCAGATCAGAGGTCAACGTCGCATCCGATGTAGCAGTAGTGGCGGTCCCAGACTCAGTCTCAGTGACGGTCACAGCAGTAGATTCGGTGCTTCCGGCCAAAGTGGTGGAATCAACAGGAATGCTTGTATCCGAGCTCACAGCCACTGCAACACTTAGTAAATTAGATTCACGCATTGAAGCAACTGACTTACACGAGGTTGTAACAGGCTTACAAGGCCCCGCCGACACAGCGACCAGGCCAAAGGCCAGCAAAACCTTTGCAGAAATCATGTTTAACGAGCGACTAAAAGAGCGAAAACGGTAGGTGAAGAAAGAATAAATTACAGCGGGGATTACTCTGTTTTTATCTTGATGCTTATCGCAGTGGTTTAATTTCCGGCGATTCAATAGTTTGGTGTCCAGCGCCGCACTAACGTCGATGGTTTCTCTAACAGGCTTAAGCTTAAGAGTGACTAACTGCAAAGGTGTCTTTTGGCGCCTGTCAGGCCTAAATTTGGGAACAAGAACGGGGAATCAGCCAATTGGAGTGTTTCGAGATGCACCATTGCTGTAGGTCATAGGGGATGCCAAGACGCGAATTGATGTGAACATCCGTTAGAACACGAGGCGGCGAACACTGATCCTTTACTTTTTACCTCCAGAACACCACGGGCTGGCGTGATCGCGTCTCAACTGCTTTAGATCAACGGGTTGTCGCATGTAAAGCACTGTCGCTGCTTGTATCTGGAGACAAGGCGTTCCCGGCTTAGTTGGATACGGGCTTCTGGGGGCACGGAGTTGGGATATCTTTCGTTCGTTGCTACTTCTTTAGATTGAGTCTGTTCGACCTTAGAGTAAGCTTTAAGTGCTCCGCTTGATGGAATACACTGAACATAGGCAGATGGAATTGAACAAGTTGTGCGAACGAACAGACATCCCAGCAGGCAACAATAAAGATCTAGACTTTTCAGTGGAACTAGGACACCAAGGTTGGTGTTTGTTTGGACATGCGTCACGGGACTAATCGCTGGCACTGGCATCTGGTTTCATCCGTGTACTCCTCCCATCAGACCTCTTCTGAATCTCGGATTCGTCTTTGACATCTTATAACTCTCTTCCATCACAACACCTTCCATCATCTCATCTATCATCAACATCTCAAGTTATTGAGATCTATCATCAAAGTCTCATCCTTGTCATCAGGACCACAGAACTACGATACTTCATACTCACTAGAGTCTTCACTATCCTCCATCTACTTGGTATGTCTCATCAACCTCAACAAGTCTTCCCATCTAACGATGTGACAGCATACTCTAGCCAATACCCAACGGACGCCTAAACCCAGTACACCAAGACCAAGTAGCCATCGTCTTCATTCCGCTGCAGCCAACCCCTCGAACTCAAAAAGCTCACCAGGGCCGAGCATCAAGATGGATGAAGAAGAGGAACACTACGACTTCATGTACCATGGATGGGTCGCTCATATGGGTGAGATGCTGCATAGAGATATGTCGCATGTCATCGCTCATATGCGAGCAAACGGCGGCGTAATGCCGGAGTTTGAGTTGCCACCTCAAAGACTAGAGTATCCGTACGACCATGGGCTCTATCTCCCCTTAGACATCCTTCCTCCAACCTATACTGAAGAGGTCGTCGTCGACTCTCTGGAGGATGACGAAAACACTGTCGTCAAGGCCGAGCCGGCGTCGCCTGATACCCTCGCGGCACCCGAGTCACCTAGATCGCCATATCTTTATGACATTCCTCCCTTTCGACGCTCGCAAAGCCCCTCGCCAGTCAATTTTGAAGAGGCAGACGTCGATCCTTTTGAGAATGAAGCAATCGTCGCTGCAAAGCCAGAGCCTTATCCAGAAACTGACGACGATGTCGTAGAGGTACCTCGATCACCAGGCTCACCCTGTCTCTACGACATCCCCCGCTTCTACGCCGCACCTGACATGTCCCCTCCCGAACCAGACATGGAACGACCCATCCC